TTAGATAGACTGATATCATTTGCAAATCTGGTAATATTCAAATTACAAGCTCTCTGCTGCTCTATGGAGCTTATGGTTCATGCAAAAAGGTTCAGCATACTATGCTACTCTGGTATGTGGCAATCCAGAAGAACTATGAACATCTTGAAGTCAATAAAGCTAGTATCTGGTTACAGCTCTCCACCACATATAGAAATCTAGTTCCAGAGTCATTATCACTCTCCAGCCATTCAAATTATTATACATCAGTTTCATATCAATTCTCTACTGCTATTCAATTGCAAGACTTAGAAGCTATATCAGATATCTTGATAGATTAAATTAGGTGGAACAACTCTGTAGTAATTGAGGAGCTTGATACTCTTTTTGAACCAGAAGAGAAGAAGACTCACAACTTTATTAATAACTAGCATCTAAAGACTATATGAATTGCTTTGAATACCATTATCAAAACATATCAAATTGAAAAGAAAGCTTTTGATAACAAATTCTATTGGCATTGCATGCACAACAACATTAATCCAGTGTCAGTTTAATCTTCTTCTTCTCTCAAGAACTTGGTGGAAGAAGAGAATCATGATAATCACTATTAGAAATTACTGCTGTCACTCTCTTTATTTTTATTTTCTATCTCTTTTCTTACCAGATTGTTACTAATTCTTATTCTCTTATTTTCTTTATTAAATTACCTTTGTTTTGTTTCATATATTACTTGTTGTCAGGGGACACTAACATTAAAAGCCAGGAGAAAATGTAGTGGGGATTCCAGTACCATATTAGGACAAAGATTGTTCTGGTCTGAGGCACAAAACTCTCCCAGCTACTATCTCTGAGCTATATAAACTGCTTATAGCCTCTGCATCTCACTCAACATCTTTATGCATTTTTGCATCTTACTACTCACTTGTTCTTTATTATTAGTTCAGTTATTAGTTAGAGAATATGAAGATTTCTTGTTCATGAAGCTTGCTACTGTTTCTTATTAGAGCTGCCTGTATTAGTATGAGCTCTTTACTACTATTATTTCTTATGAGCTTAGGCATCTGTTAAGGTATGCTTCTCTGTTCTTACTACTTGGCCATTACTATTCTTACTATGTTGTGATTTTTCATCTTTCTTGCACTCTCACCACATCAACCAACTCGCCTACCTTGATGAGGCATTCCATTGTACCCTGCTTCACTAGCTGATTTGATAGATATTCAAATTGAAAATTCAGACAAGAAAACAGCTAATGATAGTCACATAAATAGAATTAAAAATCTAGATAATAGATCTTTAATTTTCTATTCAGATGAATCCAAAGCTGAAGAAAGTTAATATACTGGTGCTGGTGTATACAATCTACAAGATAATATTAGATTTTCATGGAATCTAGAAAAATATTTTAAAGTCTTTAATGCAGAACTGTTTGCTATAGATAAAGCATTTTAATTAGCAAGTTCTATCTCTCAGTCTCAATCAAGATCAATATCAGATATCTGGGTGTTTTCTGATAGTCAAGCTGCTATTCAGAGACTCATGAATCAAGATCTTAATTCTGGCTTATATTATCTTTAATCTATAAGAAAAACTGCTAAGTCTATTAAAAATCAGCAAATTAATCTACATCTTCATGGAGTTCCTGCACATGTAAATATACATGAAAATGAAGAAGCTGATCTAGCAGTAAAAAAAGCTACAAAATTAAATCAAGTTTGTTCTAAAAGATATATATCTCTTACTTATATAAAAAGACAAATAAAAGAACAAGCAATAATAGAGTAGTTTGAAGATCTTTTTAATAAAGAAAGTTCTACAAATTACTACTCTTAATTCAAAATAAAATTCAAATGGAAAGCATCTACTCTTTCTATATCTAAGAAGATATGGTCAACTATTTGCCAATTAAAGCTTGATCATGGATATTTCAGATCTTATCTAATAAGATTATCTGACTACTCTTCCAATTTATGCTATTTCTGTAATTGTGTTGAAAATTTAAAGCATCTACTATTAGACTGCTCAGCTTATCATACTGAAAGAAGAAAAATTTAACAAGAACTTGATATTTCTCAACTATCTTTAAATTTTATTTTTGAAACTGAATTAGGCTTAAAATGGCTAGTTTTATTTCTGAAATGTACTGGAATAGCTACTAGACAGTGGCTTTCCTAAATATGCTAATTTTATTTCTTTTTAATTTGTATCACATTGCTACAAGAATTATTATTTTCCTTTAAAATTAATATTATGTCCTATCTGCTATTTAACTTTTGTGGAGAAAGAACATCTCATATTGTCTTAAAATACTTTAAATTTTTTCCTTTATTCAGTTTCTACAATGTATACTAAATAAATTCTAACAGAGAAGCTGTTAGATAGTCTTTATAGTTACTGACTGCATAAGACTATAATGAATAATAATAATAATAATAATAATAACTACTTTTTCTTCTGAAAAATATCTTTATAGTCTCTTAACTACTCAGACATCTCTGTCAGAACTTGATTGTTATCTGACATAAAAATAATATAAAAGAATTTATTCTTGATACACACTACTTAGAGAAATTTACCTGCACTCAGAAGTTTCACTGTTTTCTTTAAATATTAATAATAGTATATTCTGTTCTTCCAGTTAATATCTGGATTGAAGTCTTCCAACTATAATATATCTAAAATTATATTCATATCAACTATATTAATTACTGCAAACATTTATCTTATCATCTTTATGGTTCTCATAAAGTCTATTATAGTAAGTTGAATCTTATAGATGTTATATCAGTCAGTCTCAGCTTTATTCAACATCTTAATAACTTTTATAGATATCTCTGACTGATTCCAGTTCAATTAAGATGCCAGTTTATAAGAAATACTGTTTACTATAGTATCTGAGTTTAACAGTACAGCTTGTTTTGTAAAACCACTTAACAATATAATCAGTATAATCAACAGATACATACTGCATCTGCTTGTCTTCTCTAGTGAATTTATACTCTATCTTTTCAGTATTTAATGTGATTTATGTATGGGCTTTGCAGCTTTAGTCTTTATCTAGTTCTTATTCTTTTTATTTATCTGCTGAAACTTGTTGAAGTTATTCAAACAAAACTTCACTTTATAATCTGATTAATTATATCTTAGACAGAGTCTTTTCTCTATTTATTATTTATATTTCTCTTCAGATATCTTCAGAGGTCGCTTCACAAGTATCTTCTTTAACTATAAAAGTTTTTCTTTATTATCTTGTTGGAATATATTTTTTTCTTGAGAGATTAAGATTTTTTATTTTTTCTTATTCAAGTTCTTGTTATTCTGACTTTACTTCTTCTTTTCTAGAATAAACTTAATAAGAGTCACTTGTTCTTATAGTTCTGTAACTATTTTTAATTAATATTGTAATTTTATCAAGTTCAGTTTAGATGATTGTTTTGAGCTTTATTTATAGAAAGAGTATGTGAAAGAATTTATCTGATAGATTTTCCAGATCTTGTTCAAGTTCAGTAATATATATAAAAACTAAAGATATTAACTAATCTTTCTGCTGAGTAGTATTATGATATTATTATATTGTATCTTAATAGTAAAATATCTTGAATTCAATATCATTCTTACATCATATTTCAAACTCATCTCATAATATAAGTATTTAATCTTCTTTTATTTCTAACATCTGCCAATGTATCTGAGATTTATCACAAAAATAGCTGAATATCCAGTCAATTCTAACAGTATCTGTTGCTTTTTATAGTAATTTTCTCAGACAAAAATGCTGCTTTATTAAGAGTAACTATTTTTACACTTATTAAGTGATTTACTGTAGTAATAAGATGCTTTTGAAGATTTCATATTCTTAAAATTATCTAATTTCTCTATTAGTCATGTCTGTAGAGAGAATTTTGAAGAAAAATTATTATTTACTAATCTTTATTTGTATTTAATTTGTTTTTGCAGTCTCTATATTTTATTTTATTTATATATATCTGTCAGATTCTTTTGCAAATATGTTTTCTTTTCTTTAAGAATTTCTTCTCTTTAAGTTTCATCTGAAGCATTAAGAGATGTATCTTTATTATCTATATTATTTGCTGGTATCTTACTGATAATAGCTTTACTGCTATCAGTATCTTTATTAATATTTATTTTCTTCATATTAATCTTCATCTCTGTCAGATCTGTAATGTGGGATGTTGTTGTGATTTATCTTGTGAATCTTGATAGTATTATATCAATTTAGGCAATCATATATTGGAGTGTTCAGAATGTTAGAGAGAATCCAATATAGACTTTATGAATTGTTCTAGATTTAGAGGTATGAAAGAGCTAAATAGATGTGATGCCCACAACTGATGGGAGAGAGTTATGTATAAAACATATAGGTCTGCTAACTAGAAGACTGAATGCTGAGGTTCTCATGATCTGTGAAGATCATGTGATCCTTATACATTCAGAAGTATGGCCACATAATGTTTTGAACATCTGATGTGGTCTGATGCAAGGTTAGTCTAGGCCTACATTTGTAACACAGTAACAGATTTAGAGCTTAACCTTCAATTTGAACTTCTACTTATTATTTACTAAGCAATATTCCACTTATTTGATTATTGAATCAGCTTGAATCCTGGATTTGTTGAATTTATGTATTTAGAAATTTCTCTTCTTCCAGCACTGGCTGGAGCCTAGGGGGTGGTGTTGAGACACTAGTCTCTATGTAGTTAGCCTCCAGCTTAGTGACTTAGATCTTCTTCAATCTAATGCAAAGTTTTCATCTTGCTTCTCATCTCATTCTCTTACAATGAGCAGTGAGAGCACACACATCTATCAAGTTCATGTTCTGTGGTTCCTATAGCTTCTGCTTATGGTTAGTAGCCTTGTAGGCCCTTCAAGACCAAGTTACTGATGACTTATTTATCTTTTCTCAAAACCAAAACATATAAAATCAAGGAATAGAAAGAGGAAGTAATAAAAAAAAAAAAATGAAATGAAAATATTGAGAAATGAAGCTCAATCTTCTCTCAGAGTCTCAGAACATCACCCATTCTGAATAAGAAGTTCCACAAGATGAATATACTTCTCATTGCCAGCTCTCCATTTCCAGCCCTGCACAACAGCCAGTGCTTTCTGAACATGTTGTTGAAATGTTTCTTGCTCTCACTCTTCTTGTCTTCAATATTGTCTGGTAATTTTGAGAACACATATCTTGACAGAACCTGAGTAATATCAGAGCAGATAGGATGCTGCTGCATACTCAATGGCAGGCTGAGGAGTTTCTTGATCTTATAGAGCAGATATCTTTGTGGATTTGGGACCAGTAAGCTTTGTTGCAAGTTGACAGTGGACAGGACTCTCACACAAACATTGAGTGACAGGAGCATATAGAACAGTGGTATAAGATGAATACACATTGCAGCATAATAGTGCATTACATCTATTGTCTCTTGCTCACTGTAGTCTTTTGCACAGGACTTCAGAACACTGCTGAGTGGGATACCATGCTCCAAGAGGGTTTCTGATACTAGAGGCAGCTGTGAGTCTGGAATAGCCCATTCAAATGTCTATAGACAGGAACAGTCAGCATATCAGAACATGACCATTTAATATTACAAGAGAGGAAGAGGAGGAGGAGGGGGAGGCAAAGAGGGCTACCATATCACAGCAGGATATCTAAGGCGGAGATGAAATATCTTGCCATACTCCACCAAGAGAATGTCCTTTTTATTCAGCGCCTTCTCAACAAGGCCCAGAGCAGCAAACAGATTCAGCATGTCAAAAAGGCAAGGGCGTTTGGTTTGAGATCAGTTGAGGTGCACCTAGGTAGTTAAAGCAAGCAGTGGTCTTCTTCAAAGCTGAAGAGCTCCATCAGGGTTGCAGCTCACTTCAACCTGAATTTTTTAGGTTGCGCGCCCGGAAAGCACTTAGTAATCAACTTTTTGCGTCACATGACAGTCACGCAAGAGCGCACAGATCAGAGGACCTTGTAAATAAAGTTTGCAGACCATAGCAGAAATGGGGAGGATTTGTAAACCGTAGATCCACTAGTCCTGATATGTTTATGTCAGAATATACATTTATCTGAATCCATGGTTGTTTGGAAGTTTAAAAATATATACATTCCAAATTCAGAAATGTAGCTTCCAATCCTCAATGTAGAAATCAGGAAATGTTCAAACCCCTGATCAACAAATATATCTAGGAATGTTTGGGATACCTTTTCAGATTTATAAATGTTTATAGTATAGAAACCATTATAGTATAGAAACCATTATAGTATAGAAACCATTATAGTATAGAAACCATTATAGTATAGAAACCATTATAGTATAGAAACCATTATAGTATAGAAACCATTATAGTATAGAAACCATTATAGTATAGAAACCATTATAGTATAGAAACCATTATAGTATAGTTACTCCAGCAGACACTGGAGAGATTTCAACTAATGCATAATACTACATACATCAAACTGCCCAATCCACCTATAAAAAGAAAATGCTTCAAGTGCAGTTGAGAAAGGTAGTTGGCAGAGCAGAATCCAGTTTAAGTCTTTTGGAATCTTTGCTGACAGATATTGTGTAAAGGCTTAGTTTGCAGATTGCAGATAGGCTGATTATATGAATCTTATTCCAATTCACCTGCAAAATTGGCAAATTCAGTACCCTCTTGTGCTGAATTTCATGAGCAGAGAACATGGCAAAAAAAACCCTCCAGCAGCTGCTCTGGTTGTGGGTGAATATGCATCTTATTTACCCAATCTTGGTGTCTGACACATAAGTATACTCAACCAGATTATTGAGTTTCAATGTAGTGTGATGTGCATCTTTATTGAATGTAAAGATCAGCTTTTGAAACAATTGAATTGGGGTTGAACCTCTGTCAAGCATATGTTAATATATTTAATTACTGCTGTATGAAAGTTGGAGCTTTTGCAAAAAGAAATGCATAATTGATAGTTTGGAAAGCTGCATGCTTTGTAAATCAAGCAATTTCATGACTTTGCAGCTAGCTGGTAGTTGGCAGTAGGCATTGATTAAGATATGGAAGAGGGTAGTAGCATATAAATTATTGGCTTTGTTGGCATTCTCATTATCATCTTGTTGCTCATTGTGTTCTGATTGCATGAGGTCTTGCATGAGAATTGGACATTCACAATAAAGTTGCTTCATCTGGCTGCTGATATAGAGTTCTGATTCCATAAGAGTCCCATTAAAAACCAAGAATATAGTGCATTTGAAGCTCTTATAAATCAGTAAAATCTTTTCAACATCATGCTTGTTGGTTTGCTGCACAAATACTTTATATTCATGATATTTATTCTTTCCAATCAGTATATTGCAGTTATTTGGCACAGTATACTTCTTTGCCTGATTGGTATAGTGCATTCTGATATGCATGTTTAGTTGGTGTTTCAAAACATGTAATATCTTATCTGCTTTTAGAGTAATACTGACAGTATTGATCAAAATATTCTCTGTTAAGAGTGTTATAATCTGATTGAACACTGGTGAATTCTGCCATGATCTCAGCATTCATACTGTCTGGCTAGCTGACTGTAATGCCTTGGCAGTCATAACAGTAGCATCTATCACTTTCTGAAGTATAGTTTGGGCATTGGCAACCACACTTTTAAGTTTATTGTACCCAATAGATGTCTGAGAAGTCAATAATGAATTGCTTCTTGCAATAGCACCAAAGATTTTAGCAAGCAACAAATACAGAATATCAGAATTAATTGACTGTTCACTAAAGAAGTTATAGAGAGTCTGCTAAATAACAGTCTGAATCCAGTCAGACTTTAGAGCAAAGTGGAGTATAATTAAAATCACAATTAAAGCTCAGACATGTTTCTGGATTTGATAGAACTCCAGATAGGTAATTGAAGACTGCAGTCAGGCTCAGTATCTCTGAAATGAAAATCTCTGTAGGGTTTGGCAGTATTTCTTCTGCTTCTCAGATGTTAATATATATGATATCAATAATATATGTGCAATTTTGGACAGGCCTAAAAATTCACTATAACAGAGATTAGAGAGAAAAGATGTCATCAGATTCAGTACTGGACAGATCTTCAAAACTGGAGAACTTTTCTTAATCAATTTATGAGTCTTCTACAGTACTTCTCACTCATGAACAGTCTGCTTCATCTTAATTTTGGCCTGCAAATTAAGTAGCTGGTAATAGTATCAGCTATGTTTCATCAAGTTGAAATTCATATTAAATCTCTCTATATTAAAGACAGTACAGCTCTGACAGAAGACTGTTATAGTAAAGTATTTGATTCCAGCATTATTATTTTGCTGCAGCATATCATCAAGATAAGTAATACAAGAAGCAATGATTCTGACAGTTTCTTCACCAGTTACTATAATGTCAAATTCTCTTTCAACTGCTTGTAAACCAGAAGCCAATGCCTCCACAACATTAAGAAAATTTGTAGCATGAGATCTGAGAGCAATTGTATATACATTGTTTTGTTGTCTTCTTTTGGAATTATTAAGTTCTGCAGGAATCATATAGAAGCCAGTTATATTTTGGTACATGTTCTGATATAGACTGAATCCATTAATAAATAGCAGAAAGAGAATGAATATAGTTCTCTTGATAGAGTTGTCTGAACAGAGTATCTTGATCAGTATATCTCTTCTGTATGCTGCAATTTCCAGTTCACTCTGGAGTGAAGTGCTAAGTTGAAGCTCTTGTACAGATGATATGTAGCAAATTGTATTTATCACTTGCTGTACAAAGAACTCATTTATTTCTGAGGGTTTGTAGCTACCTAATCTGTTAAAGATGTAGTCAAGATGAACATTCAGTCAGACTAGAATATTATCTTTATGTATGATATGAGTTTTCTGATCTTCCAGTAAGAGCAGCTTGTTCAGGCAAAGTAAAGATCTTAGCAAATGGATTCTTTTATTAAAGCTGCTGACAGTAATAGTGTACTGGACAATAAGAATAATTTTACTGGATTTTGTGCAGGCCAGTCTCTGGTTCTGACCCACAAATTAAATTCTTCTGATATGAATTTCTTGTTTATTTTAAGTGCACTTACATGCAGCATTATTGCATCTGAAATGAACAAAATTAAAAGAAAAGACTAATATTCTGTCAGAATACCATGCAAAGTCATCTGATAAACATCTAATGAAGCTTCCCCAGCTCTATAATTGCTATAATTTGGTCAGGTTGTTAACTAGATTGGTCATACTAATATGTATCTTCTTGCAAAATACAGGAGATCTTGCCAGTAATAACAAAAGAGCTACAGAATCCTGAAAGAATAAATTAGATGTAAGAGATATCTGTATTAGTTGCTTCTTGACAGGCAAAAGAGTTGGCATTTTTAATGAAACAGCTGGTATGAATGTCTGTTGAATGAGAAGTATAAAGAATTGAGCTCTGCATTTCTTCTTCAATATGCTCAGCTCTAATGATAGAGATCTCAGTATACTGATGTCTTTGAGAATCTGTAAGACTTCCTGCAGTATCTTGTAGTGTTGGTGAGATATTCCTGATTTTTTGCACCATAATTCTAAAGCAAGTGTAAAGTGATTCAGCATTTCATCAGGCTCTGCACACACATGGACTAGGATCTCTGATGGGTCATTCATTATAGTTGGAATGTAGGTCTCAGCTGGCTGATCACCTAATGAATCCTCTAGTTGTGAATGAAAATCAGAATCTCTATTGCTAACCAGGTGCACTGGATGTAATATAGTCTGTAATCAGGGTTTGGATTTGAGCTCTTCATACTGTTGTGATTCATTATTATCAACTGATTTCATGAGTAGAGCTGTCACTGCTTCTTGTATAATCTCCTGCATTCTGATATCTTCTGGTTCAGAATAAGTGTTAAATAGAGTATTGAGAGAAGTATTAGAGACATCTGAAAGACTTGCTGCATCCTGTATACAGTAATTAGAATGATGCAGGCTGATAGAGAATTCAAGATCTTACACTTAATTCTGACTTCTCAGTTTAATTGTTTGACTGAATGTCAGGTTCTACTGAAGATAAAATGTGATTGCAATCTTGCAATTTCCACAACAAATAGACAGGCTGTCTGTGTCTTTGAAACTGTAAGACTAGAAATAACAAATAAAGTTGTCTTCTCCAAAACATATAGTACTCTATATGTCTCAAGTATCTTGGATCTTGCATGTTTGCTTGAGATTTATATGCTGGTTTCTGCAGTAGTTAAGTTTCAAGTTGCAGAAACAGTAAGAGTTGCTGTGGAATTGCTTTGGAACAAAGTATATAGAAATTAGAAAGAAAATTACTGTTTGATTAGAGAATTGGATGTATTATAGCAAAGTTGAATGTTAGAACAGCCACAAAATATGCTAACTGTGCTACAGATTAACTGTAATATTCTGATTATCTAGATCTGTAATTAGCTTTAAGAGATGCAAGATCAGTAATAATCTGCATTCTCCTGAATAATCAGTCTATTTTAAAGAAATCAATCACTTAGCAGTATTGAATTTTAGAATGTAGAGAAATATGGATACAGATCTAAATAGCAACTTGAGCAATTAAATATGCTTCAAGTCAACTATATAATAGATAGTGAACCTCTCTGAAATTCAAGCATTCACTCTCATTCATTCTCAACAGCAATTCAATAGCCAAAATGTTGGAGATACAGAGCATGTCAGTATCAAAAAGAACAGCTTACATCTTCTTATGGGCTCAATTGCACAACATGCTAAAGACTCAAGAGATATTATTCAGTTTGAATACAAGTACCTGAACTGAAGTGTTCTCTAATTATACAGAGATTGAAAAGTGGGTTCAAGTGATGGAGCATGAGATATGAAATTGGGTGTGATAAGCCTATATATTAACATTAAATACTGATCTGATTCCTGATACTATTCAGAAGATGCTGAGTCTTAAGAACTGGAAAGCTGGAAATGACTCATATTTTTGTGAACTTTTCAGACACATGTTGAACCTCTGTAAAGATTGAAAATGTAAGATCTTGAGTAGCTTGAAGGTTGAAACAACATTTCTAAACTTCTAGTTATAGTACAAACTGATCTCATTTGCAGAATCATGTCAGAAAATGTATTGAACTCAGCTTGACTGAGAATCTTGATTTCAGACTCCATGAAATAACTGATTAATAAAAGCTGATCAGCTATTTTACCTGATTGTTCAAGTGAAATCAATTCTGTAAAGTCTTTTACTGGGTCAAGCTGTATGTTAATTTTAAGAAGTCAGCTCCACAAGAGAAATAGTATTTTAAATGTAAGTTAATGGTAAATTTTAATTATCATGATTTCTGCTCTGACAGTTATGATAATAGAGATGTATGCAAATTTAGCAGCATATATAAAGCTGTATCTTGATGATAACAGTCTGAAATGGAATGCATTCACTCTGTTAATCTACATCTGGAATTCTGTACTCAAGTTCTGGAACTGCTTGATACAGAAACCAGAACTGAGAGATGTTAATTTGAATGACTTTGCCTAACAGAAGATTCAATCAAGAAAGCCAAAAATTGTTCATGTTGAGACTTTGCCAGAAATTCTAGATGTAGTCCAGTTAACATCTAGTATGCTGTTCAGAGAATCTGATTTATATTCAGCTCAGGCAGTGCAAGCTCCACAGGAGCCAGAGAATAATAATTCAGACAAGAAGAATCAGAATCCTTTACAGAATATTATGAAGAATTATTTTGAGACTGCAACAAATCAGCCTGTCTGTTTAAAGAGACTCATGCCAGCTACAACTGGTCACATGCTCTGAAAGAGATGCAGATTCTAGTTAAATACATAAAAAGGTGTCTTCTTGAGTCAAAATTGGCTGTTAGTTTGTGCTTTAAAATAGATTTCAGGGTTTGATATCTAGACTTCAATGCAATGCTCTATTATATCAATGCTTGCAAGAGCTGAATTTTGCTATATTCAATATATATCTCTTTATTATTTACTGTAATCAGTCATAGAAGCTCTAAGCAAAATAAGTTAGCACTTAGAAATGTATAAATAGACATGTTCTGATTAGAAAATCCAAAATAATTAAACAGACATGCTAGATATAATAATCTCTTTTTATATAAAATCTCTCTCTTCTTCTCTTCTTTTCTTTCTTTTCTTTTCTTAAGCTCATTATATTTCTTGTTATCTCTCTTCTTCTATTCCAATATTGAGGTAAGTGGTGGATTTCAGAATGAAATAAGAAACTGCAGCAAACTGAAGAATAATATATGCAGAAATAGCAAAAAATGACTCTGCAAATATATAAATTAGCAGCAGCTCAGAACAAGCACTCTCTGATGTTCACAAAGAAGAAGCCAGAATGAAAGCTCTTGACTATTAAAAAAGAGTCTGTTATAATAGATGATATATTCTGTAACTGCTATTTAATGTTTGTATATATGATGTACATTAAAAAGTCTTGTTCCTGCAAGCAAGAAACTACAAAGATCTGCATTAATTATGCAGAAGATAAAAAAGTCTGTACTTCTGTCTCTTCAGAGCTGCAGAAGAAAGTAGCAGTATTGCTATCTAATTATAATGATTTTCTCAGACTTAAGAATATGATGCTCTGAGAGAAATTAAAAGCCAGTATAGTGAAACAGGCTGCTGATCTCAGTAAATTACTTGCTAAAATGACATTCTCATCAGTCTGAACTAATGAATCTCTCTCTTTCTTCTCTTTTAATACTGAAGTTAGTGCTGTCACTTTGACAGTATTAAAAAAGCTTGTGTTCATTCAAGCTAAATAAAAAGAGCTTGCAGAGTATACATTTCACTCTGTCAAGATAAATTGAACTGATTGAATATCATACATTCAACTCATGCTAATATAGTTATATATATAGAATATTAAAAGAACCTTGACTGACATCTGTCAGAACTTAAAGTTTAATTGTTTATCTTCTGTAGTCAGTATACTTGATATAATGTTGGAATGAATTGAACTGACTTTGATATTTGATGATAGAAAAAGTGAAAGACAGAAGAAACTGTCTATAAATCAGCAGTCAAGATAGACTGATTTGCTGCTGCTCTGTCTTCTGCTGTGTCTGCTTCTCCCCCCTTCTTCTTCACTCTGATTATGCCTTCTCTTTTTGTTCAGTTGCAGCTGAATATCTTTGTGTCAGGCCTGTCTCCAACTAGAGACAGTAGAGCTGATTTGCTTGAAAGTATAATCAAGTAGCCTGAATGAGCTTGTTCTGATGATTCTTCTGCACTGGTTTTACACCCTGTCCCTGAACCAGAGACTCCAACCAGGGAGGCTCAAATTTAAAAAAAAAAAAAAAAAAAATTTCATTATGATTCAGGTTGTGCAGGTGGTTTGTAATACTTAGTTAGTTCCTAGTAATTGAAAAGCTTCTGAATCAGGTTCAAAACCCTCAAGTTTAAAAATATATATGTTCTGAATTCTATACATTTTGGACCCTTTATATGTGCATTGTAAATATATGGTTGATCTACAGTTTCAAGCTTGCAACCTGTGGTTCAACAGGTCACATCAGATAAACATTTTCTGATGGTTGCCCGAAAAGCTCATTTTTCCAGTATGGGACCTTGAATATGTCATGTGATGCTGACTAAAGAGGTCCAACCTTCAGTAGTTAACTTAGTTAGTTAGTTAGTTAGTTAAGTTAACATATTTCACGGTGAACTCGGACACACGGTGAACTCGGACACTTTTGCATGTGACATAGTCTGATTTTTCAGCACCAATCAAATCTCTCAGTCTTCATCATCATACATTCATTTCACAGCAAAAATGAGCACAAACAGACTTTTTTTGGCTGCTTCCACAGTAAAGGATCAAGGATTGAGTCAACAGAGAGCTGCTACATTATATGATATTCCTCTTTCAAGTTTAAATAATTATATGATTTCATTTACTCCAGTTGTACGGAGCCTGTGTACAACACCTAGGCATGGCTTGCACCTCTACATGATGCCTGGGACTAGTAGCCTGTTTGGTGAAGCCAAGCAAGCCATCTTAAGAAGGTTTTATATCACGTGCAAAAGTGTCCGAGTTCACCGTGTGTCCGAGTTCGCTGTGAAATACATTAGTTATTAGCTGGATTACATAACAGACCAGACAATCCTATTTTCTGCTGTGGAATTGATTAGATCCTTGCATCTGACCAGGGGTTTAAGAATACTCCGTACGGAGTACACTCACATCACATTCACATTAACTAACAAAAGCCAACCAAATTTGGTAATTTCAAAAGGGGTTTCCTGTCTGCTTGCTACTCTGTTGATAGTTCCCATTTATCTTCTCTTCCTCTACGAAGTACAGAATACAAAGTACTCTGTACTTCCTACCCATTCCGTTTTCTTTCTGCCCCTATCGCAAGGGGAGGGTGGAGGAGCTCATCATGTACCAGCCTCAAGAAGCAGCCCAATGGAGAACTACATGATTATAAGATACTGTGTCCAGTCCATCAACTAAAAAGTTTGCCCCCCAATCTTCTACCTGTCTTTTCCCACAAGGCTAATGTATTTTCCAGGATGAAATTCGCGCATAGGTATTCTCATACCTTGGAAAGCGAGGGATTTCCTCTGCACTGGGTGCGTTGTGCTATTTCTTATCGCCAACTCAAAAAATGCATCAAGCGAATTCGTGATGAACTCGCCGAGCTTGGTCTACCGCCGGAAATTCTTAACCACCTTTGGCTTTCCGAAGACGTGAGGGATAGTATTGGTAAATCGGACACGTCAATTGTTGGGTTCTCCTACTCTTTCTTGAGTAAGCTATGGGCAGTCTTTTTGATGTGTTTATCTAGTAATTCTCAACAGCTCCAGGTTGTCCTTCCGGCCTTGCTCCCAAATTGACATTTCTCATTGATCCCAACGAGTCGCACATACCCGAATCTTTGTCCGCCGAAACTCGCGAATATCTTCGTATCCTCCTCGGCACCTCCGGTAAACAAGCCGCATCATCCACGAGTGAGACGTCTGTCAGCCTTGCCCAACATGTTGTGGTGTCGTGTGGATTGGCCAGCGGGGAAATGGGTAAGTCCTTTGTTTCTGCCAGCGAAGCTTGCAAACCAATTCAAGAAGTGGAGATACCATTACATTCGGACTCCGAATTTTTCCAAATTCTCAAAGAAGAACTATCCATCCTCCATGATTTACAAGAACGAGAGCGAAAGGAATTGGACAGTCAAGTGAAACATTTACGTGACAGCCTCGTTGAGACGATAAGTTCCCATTTAAGTTGGTCAAGGCCTACTCTCTCCACCTGGCGCGAAATATTTCGGCTGTACATAGATTCTCAAGTATTTTTCTCTACCGATGAGCTCGATTCAGGTGAAAGAACATCCACGGTGGCCCACCAACAGTTGGTGAAATTCCAAAGCTCTTTATCAGAAAACAACCGGTATAAAAAACTTGGAAAAAACGGTCGGGTTGTTCTTGAATCGTTTTTAAAGATTAATTTCGTCCTCCTGCAAAGCTTGAAGTTTCAGGAGATCAATCGGATAGCACTTCGGAAGATCCTCAAGAAATTTGACAAGCGAACAGCTCTTCGCGCTTATCCAGCAATTCCGCTATTGGAGCCCCTCCTGGCTCGCAATGTCGCAAAGATTCTTTGTCAGACTATCTCTCAGGAGCTTCTGAGTATTGTCCCCCAGATCACTGATTACCTTTGTCCAATATGCTTGAGCATATCCTTCAAGCCTGTTAGACTGCGCTGTAACCATGTTTTCTGTATCCGCTGTCTTGTGATCATGCAACGAGCACAGCAGAACCAATGTGCCTTATGTCGCAGAGAAGTTGTCATGGAAGCCACAAGTGGTGAGTTCCCCAGAGTTCTGGCTTGTCATCTGTTATGATTGACCTCCGTGTAGACAATCTGGACCAGGAGCTTCTTGCATTTCTGAGTACTGTTTTCCCAAAAGAAACCAGGATCAAACAAAAGGAAAATGAAAGAGCTGCAAGGATGGATCTTTATGGCAACACGTATGATGCCTGCACCGTCATGTAACTCTTGTTGGCCTCTTTATTTTGTACTCTTTTACTTTTTATTTTTATTTTTATTTATTTTTTTTTTTCCCCCAGACGGGCCAAATAGCTGTCTGTATCTATTCATAGCCATGGAGCATGATTGATTATTTAAAGTCCAATAATAACCTCTAAATGTCATCGATCTACGGGGTACCACCTCAAAAGGGCCTTCGGAGTGGGCTCACTATGTGGTCATTGTTACCAATATATTCCTCTTTGCGTCAACCCAGCAATTTAATCCTCACATCATGATTAACTGGTTAGGTATATAGAGAACTCATATTTATAGCCATTTCTGCAAGTCAACTTTAGATCCCGGTCAGGTACGCAAATTTTCCATGGGCCAATCCCAGTCAGCAGATGGTGGGAATGGAGATCCTCACAGGAGAGAACATGATGAGGCCAACGGCAAGAGGGACTTCTATGAGATCTTAGGGGTAGAACCGCTTGCAACCACAGAACAGTATGCTCATTGCCTCTCATTTACTTGTGAACAATTGTTGGGTGACTTGCTAACAATCTTGATATAGCCTCAAAAAAGCATACCGCAAGAAGGCACTAGAACTTCATCCAGATAAAAACTATGGCAACATTGAACAATGCACTGCGCTCTTTGCTGAAGTTCAGGCAGCATATGAAGTCTTATCGGATCCGCAAGAAAGGGCTTGGTATGACTCAAATAGGGATGCAATTCTCTACAGCAAGGATAATCCACGGGGAGATCAGCATTCCTACAATTCTAAGGTAACTGGGACGGAGGATATTTTGAATGCCATGATAAACTTCAACCCGCGTACGGAATTTTCTGATGACTCTTCTGGGTTTTTCGGTGGAGTCCGGGAAATATTTGAACGGTTAGCGCAGGAAGAATTAAATGCGTGCATCATGGACGGTCTGGAATCAGTTAATTATCCCTCATTCGGCTTCAAAGACGATGATCTCGATAGCATTCGACCTTTTTACGGCGTATGGTCTACATTTTCCACCAAGAAATCCTTTGCGTGGAAGGATACCTACAAATACTCCGAGGCACCCGATCGACGAGTTCGGAGGCTGATGGAGAAAGAAAATAAACGCTTAAGGGACGAAGCAATCCGGGAGTTCAATGATGCAGTGAGATCACTGGTGTCTTTCGTGAAAAAACGTGATCCCCGATACAAATCAGCAGTCCAGAATGAACTTGAACGTCAGAGATTGTTACGGGATTCTGCTGCCATGCAGGCTGCTCGCTCGCGAGCAGCAAACGAAGCAAGACTTGGAGAGTACTCGGTGCCTGAGTGGGCGCAAAGGGAACAGCTTGAGGAGGAAATGTTCAGTGCTACATCTGAATCTGAGCAGGATCATTTTGAGTGTGTGGTTTGCCGCAAAACATTTAAAAGTGAAAAGCAATTTGAAGCCCACGAGCGGAGTAAAAAGCATATTAAAGCTGTAAGGCAGCTCCGCTACGAAATGAAGGTTGAGGATGACCACGTTCAGATAAACACATCTGAATCTCAGGAGGGAGTCGTGTGTGGGCCTGAATTTGACACAACCACTGCCAGAGAAACGGATACGGCCGACAATTTGCAGAAGGAAACCCTTCAGTGTGAAGACATTGGTGAAAATGCAACAATGGATAATGAAGGAACTGAATTTTCATGCAACAGTGACACCCCTGAACAGCCTCCCACTATAAAGCATCCATTGGGAGAATCTCACGATAGTGCTGTTGATCAGGTTGGTGCATCCTTTGCAAATTCTTCTATTGCTGATGCTCGGCCAACGGAAAGCACAGTGAGGAAGGCGGGGAAAGCAAAGCAGAAGCGAGCCAAAAAGGCAATCAAAACTGAAGGCCAGAACGGGAATCTTGCTTGTGGAACCTGTGGACGCTCGTTCATGTCCAGAAACAAGTTGTTCTGCCATCTTAAGGAGGAGAGTCATGGCATTCCTTCCAGTCAGGTAAATGAAAAGCACTAGATGATTTACCAAACCTTCCAAGATTCAATACCAAAGCAAACAAACATGGTGCTTAGGAAGTCCAACCTACAGGGTCAATGTTATTTAAGTAACCAAGCTAACAATCCTTTCACATGATATTTAGACTGTTCTTTAAAAATGTAAGCATCAATCTCTCATTGACCCAGAACATCCGTACACCCCATGGGAGAGCATATTATCACCCAAGGCATGTTTTGCTTGTTTTCACCACATGGACAACTGGATGCAAAATCCCTTGGGTGTTTATTGCCCCTAAAGTTGAGCCTTTTGTCCATCCCATCTTCTCCAACATCATTCGTCCTCGGTTTTCGGCGCCTAATTCAGGGGCAGATGCTCCGACAACATCTCCATCCATATATGACGCTGCTCTAATGCCGTTCCCTCGGCCCCGGTGGCCTTTACCCATATGCTGTACAGTTGACGCAGAGCCAAACAGAGCTTCAATCTTGCCAATGGACTCGGTGTCGAAACTGCGCGTCCGCGCAGTTTTAGTTAGTATAGGAAAACGAGATCTTCCATGTCCTCTGGATTGTGACTTCAACGACAATATATTTGCCAATTCGTGGACGACTTTACGGGTTTTCTTATCCATCGGCGGAAGTGCGAGTCTAATTTGGGATGTGTGAGCGTTTCTCCATATAAATAGTAGTCAAGGCAGCCATCTAACGAAAGAGAGAGACTTACACCTGAGTCTGGGACAACAAAAAAAAGCGAATCTCCTGCCGAATGTCATCGAAGTCGATCCCATTCGAATATTTAGCATTTAAGTTCACCTGGCCTGGCTTGCCACCAAGTAACCCTTGGGCACGTAACTCCTCTCGGTGCTTTTTTGCCTTCTTCTTCTTTTTCCGATCATTTTCCCACGACAAATGCAGCTCCAATTCAAGGTCGCTATCTGACAAGTCAAAAGTTGGCGGCGGTTGTCTGCGGTTGGCCTTAGACTTTTTCAAACTTGGTCGCTCGAAATCCATAATGTCAAATGACCCATACGACTCTACATCAAGGGTTAAAGTAGACATGGATAATAGCTTTGAGATCCGACGTTGTTGTGCAAAGCGGCCTGTTGAAGGCAAAGGAGACTTTTCCTCAATTTCATTATCATCACCATCATCGTCATCGTCATCATCATCATCATCATCATCATCATCATCATTTGGCCCATCAACATTCGCGCTACCAGGATCTGGGTCCTCAAAACCAGGCGTGGAGGAACCATGGACATGGCTGGAGGAAATCTTATCGAACGAAAGATTGTGGATGGGCTCCGGACTCGCTGTCTTGTGTTTTGTGCCTGAAGAGCATTCCCCATCCGCCGAGTCAGACTCATCTATATGCGCAATATAATCTGCTATTGCGGCATCAGATATATTTATATCCTCATAGTCGGTAGCAATTGCGAGATGGTCCTGGCGATCCCGAAATCCTTCAAGATTTATGTTTTCAGATGAATTGGGTGTCAATTCTCGACTTGTAGTGCTGACCTCATTGTATGTTTGAAGTTGGGACTCTTTTTGAAAGTTATCACAAGGAGTGGCGCGATCCATTTCCGTTTCTCCATGCCAATGATTAAATGTGGATACATGTTTTCTTCCTTTGAAAACTACCTCATCATCGGAATCGGAGGAAGACGCAGCGATAACATGTCCTTGGTGAGCCGAAATATTTTCTTCGAGGGCTGGCTTTAATTCCCCCATATTAAAAGGCGCGGAATTGCTCGGAGACCGATCCAGCCTTGGGGACTCCTCCATATGGTGAGGTTGTGAATCTTGAGACTTGCTTAGAGATATTGGATCATCCGGTGCCATGTTACCAGCACTAACAAACTGTATTCCATGATATCGCAATTGTTTAGTCGACCTCGTTAACGAATGGCGCTCTGTATTCAGAGCCTCCTCGCTCATGGTAAATTTCTGGCTGTTGGCGGGTGCTAAAAAAAGGTTAAAGAAATGTGAAGTCAGCCATACATCAAAAAGAAATTCTGGATAATCTGGCTAAATAACCTCACCAGCATTGCCATCTTTGTAATTGTCCATGGTTTCCTGTTAAATATGTCCATCATATGTGATGCGAACAAGACATACCTGTGTATCTGCTGGATTTATGATGCTGAGAACGTACTTTTGATCTTCTTGATTTCCCCATCCTTGAAAAGTGAATCCAGAAAGTTACAAAATCAGGATCAAAGTGTTCGAGATGATCACTGGTGCACCTGCTGTGGGTTGGAGGGGTGGCTTTTACAGGTGAAATGTGCACAGTCCTGCGTGAGGAGGAAGTGATGTCACTTTGTAGGTACTTGAGTACTCTGCAGTTTTAGTAGCCTGGAAAAAAAAAAAAAAAAAAGGAAATCTAAGTTGTGACATAGGCTCCACAAGGGCCAGCGCACAAGTAAACAAACCAGCAACTTGCACAGACGGATATTAGTAATCAGTTGAGCTGGGTACTGGCGGTTCAGCTGCTGGTTACGCCACAGACCGTGTTGGCCGAGAGAGCTGGGGAATTTTAAGCAAGCGAGAGTTGATAGCTGGAAGGACAGAGAACAGGACCATTATATCCCATGACCAGAATTTCTGCAGTACAGAGGACTATCGGTCTATGATGTTTCTTCCAACTTAGCCTACCAAAGCCTCACATAGGCAATTCTATATTAAGTAGGGACCTTGGATTTGAATTATGTGATCTTGTGGAATTAGTTACCTCACTGAGTTCATGCGTTCATTCTTCAAAAAGCCCACTTGGGCGAATGCTGACACTGAAGCTCCCCTGACTGAGTTTTACCGTCGTTCACAGCACCTTTATTCGGATATAGTTGCAGAACAGCAGCACAATGCTGAAAGCGATCATGAAGAGGAAAAACAGCCCAATCCGGTGACAGATGAAGAGTTGAGAGGGGAGAGACATGTGAAGAGGCAATGTACCTCATCTAATAATACAGTGACAGTATCTAGTTGTCCTGGTAAGGCTGCTGTGAGGGGCAGATCTCCAACCAAGACCATATGATTCCAATGCATTCCTGCTAATTAACCCTGTTTTCATCAATAGTTCCGAAACCGACTTCATTTACCGTTAATGGTCGACAGACAAACCCTGTCGACCTCGATATAGCGACCAAACCACTCGAATGTACCACGACAGTAGAACAGTTACTTCCTGAACCGGTATCCGAGACGAGCAATGATGAGTCACTGTCGGAAGAGGAATTTCCGGAGCTTGCACGAAAGGCCCGCGAAAGGGCACGCCAACATGTAGCATTTTCGAGTGGCCATGCTCCAGCGATGCAGAAGCCCGATCTTCATAAAGCGCGAAACGAATTTAATGCAGAGTCCCCGGATCCTATCGTCCCTGGGCTCCACTGCAAAACTGGTGAAGCTCCTCTCTGCGACCCAGTTGTACAGATTCTTATTACTTCTTCGATTGAAAATACAAAACCACTGCTCGTCCGCCGGCGATTGTCTCAAAATCTAGGGGATGTACGAAAGGCCTGGTGCAACAAGCAGGCATTCAGCCCCAAACTCGCCTTTTCTATTTTTCTCACATGGAAAGGCCGACGAGTGTTCGATGTTACTACCTGTCAGAGCCTAGGGATCCGAGCTCCGGCAGCCAGTGACAGCTCTTTCTTTGCGAATAGCTTTTCAAACGATGACGGGATGTTACGTATTCATATGGAGGCCACTACGCAAGAATTGGTCGAAATGCAGAAACGGCAAGGATATATGAGCCTACATCAGGCAGAGAGATCAAGTATTGCGCGGGAAGAGATTACAGAGCAGGTGATTCGCATTACCCTACGGACTCCAAGCTCGGAAGATTTCAAACTCAAAGTTCGGCCGACATCCAAAATATCTGATGTCATTAAAACCTTTCGCACTGCTCTGGAAATTTCAGAGAAGGTGGTTGACCTTCATTTTGATGGTGAACGTCTTAATCCTGATTCTTCGGTCAGGGACAATGATATTGATGATCTGGATTGTATTGATGTTGTTATAAAGAATTGTAGATGATGACCCACAGTGCGTCTCTCAAAGGGTAGCTATTCATTAAAGGATGGTATTTGATTCATATAGCCGGTAGCTAGCTTTATTCCAATTCAAATGGCAGTTGATGGTAACCACAATCTGGAGAGAAATTAGCCACAAGTATAGAATGTGATAGTGAATGCTTATATTGCTAGTTAAAGCTGGCGGAACCACAGCTGCAGAGGGGCAGGAGGAACAGCAGGACCACAAACCAGCAGAGACAAGAGCATTTAGCATGTGTTAGTCTTACTCCAACCTTGTGAAGGCAACCCCCTGCAAGCACACAAGTCAAGGCACAAGAATCCATACAGATAGAAGACTTACTAGCTAATATGGAACCTCAGTCTTTCCAAGGTTATTACTTATTATGCTAGGAAGGTGCTCATGTACATAAATATATCTTTGTCCTCAACCACCAGTAGTTTTAGAGCATCAAGCTTATCATACTTATCATTCTCCAGTGCTGCGGTGATCTCTACTCTGTATTTAAACACTTTTCTTCTTCCAGCACTGACTGAAGCCTGGAGAGTGGTATTAAGACACTAGTCTCTATGTAGTTAGTTAGTCTCCATTAGCAGCTCATTATCTTTGATCTGATGCAGAGTTTTCGTCCCAGTTCTCATCCAAATCTCTTACAAAGTTGGTGAGCAAGAGCACAAGATGCATAGAGTTCATGTTCTGTGGTCCCTATAGCTTCCGCATACGGTTAGTAGCCTTGTAGGCCTTGGAAGACAAAGTCCTGAACCGAGAACTGGAAACCTCAATAGTGGATGCCATCCCAGGTTCCTCAGTAATGCAAAAATGAAGGTTCTAACAGCAAATTTTGTGACATGTGCTGTGAAAAGCTGCAAAGCTTCCCCTACTTCATTCCCACTCCATTTCCATAATGCAGAACTTGAACAGCAGGAGATTGAGTTCTCACCCCAATTCCTCTACAATATCCTACCTCGCATAGACTGGGATGCACTGCAAACAACAGCAAATGAAGTAAGTTGTCATATGTCTTATCCTTGTGACTATAGCTTCAATAAAAATTTGACCGACGAGTATTTATACTTCTTGATCATTTTGATATTCCTAGAATCCAAGCTGACGATCCAGATATAGCTAGGTTTTGCGGGTCTAGTTGATTCAAAGCCAGAGAAGGACCAGTTGCAAAACGAACAATTATTACGAGACCTCCACCGGCTTCTGCTTGAAACTTCCGTTGTCGAGGGTAAACTCGTTTGCGGCAACTGTGGGCACGAGTACAAGATTAAAGAGGGGATTGCGAACTTTTTGCTCCCGAGTCACTTAGGTATGTCTTTATTCTTCTCCACACCGAATTCCTAATGAGCGAGCACGGTTGTAACTTCCATTTTATCCTTCGATTGAAACCACATGTACCAGTGCTGATCTTCGTCCCACGCATCTAGTCTGAGGGTATAGTAAATTATTGAGCGAGTGGTTGATGTACGAGAGAGTTCATCAGGATCCTGGGCATGATGTAAAGCCTTTCGAAGCATCATTTAGTGGCGGACGAGGAAGGGTGCACGCATCGCGTATAGAAGTTGCTATGGTCATTATTATAAGCAACAAAGAAGATCTCCCCGCAATTCCATATCGAAAAAGGCAGCATCTATTATAAAGCCTCTTTCTAGGCCCGATTATACTACCGCCAAGTCACCAATAGGCCTTTAAACGGTATCCTCGCTTTCATTGGGCCCGCAGGCTTCGATAGGTACATTGATATATATGTATGCTTCATACATACTTATTCGCAATACTTAGGCAGCATCTCCCATAGATGTCAGGATGATTGCAAACATGTCATTTTTCTTGCACTGCAGCATTAACTTCCAGGTAAAACTCCAAGTATTTAAACCTAGCCCTAGCCATGAACTTTCGCCTCCGATAACAATTGAAGGTAGAAATTAGACCTATTTGGGACGGTACAAGAATATATGGAGGATACATGACCATTGTAACAGACGTGCAAGATCCTAAGAAACAAAGAAAGAAAAAGGAAGGACGCCTAACACATCGCGGAAAAGGCAATATCGAGTCTCGACGGTTGTCCACAGCCCCAAAATCAAAGCTTGTTAACGCTATGAAGGTTACGAAAATAGATCTTTACAAGGTGTATTTAACTGTGTTTTAAAAGGAGTAAAAACCAGAACACCGAGGGTGGAAGGCTTCAGTATGTCGAAAAGTGAAATCAGTTTAGGAACCCCTTACAGCCGGCCGAGCCGCAAAGGCATGGTATTCTATCATCGCTATCCCATTCCCGCTCAAACTTGTAGTCATAGGTGAGTTCCTCGTCTGTAATAAGCGTTAGACGTGAGAGGACAGCAAAAGATCCAGTGGACAAGTCAACGTACCTCGGTCGATATCTCTCAATGCATAAATAACGATCCGTTTGCTACCATCAACTTTGATTATCTTTGCAGTGCAATTTGGAGTGCAACTATGATTGATAAATCTTGCAATTCCACCTCTTTTTGTAGCATCAATAACAGTGTTTTCGTCAATTCGGAATAGGTAGCTGCTCCCTATACCGCTCTTCAAATATCTCCTTTCACGCATGTCTGCGACTTGTTGACGAACTTTCTCTCCAACATACTCAATAATCATATCGTTGGCGGAGATATTTTCTTCGGCGTACAGTCCCCAATTATGAATAGCCGATCGAGCAAATCGCACTGGCTTTTTCCGCTTTTTCAGTTGATTGAATCGCAGGACGTCGCTGTCCCCATTTTGCATTGGGAGCGCTTGCTTCTGTGCATTGATATCAGCGATCAGACGCCGATTATTTACACGGGTAGACCGAGACGTAGATTTAGAAAGTGATTTAGCCGCAAGAAGTCTCGCCGCTTCGGCGGCTGCTGCATGAGGGTCATTCTTCGCTTTAGCCAACCGTTCTTCGCGAGCTTTCTGGACTTTGATCCGATGAGGCAGGTACTTCGATTTTTCTGATTCCCGAATCCTTTTTCTTCCCTCTGTCCTTGCCGAACCAGAAGGATTTGGAACATAATATCCGTCAATCCTTGTCTCAGAGTGCACTGGGCCTCTGTCGCCGCCGCGATTAATTGCCTTTATTTCTTTATGCTTCCAAGTCCAAGCGGCCAGATTCCCAATATCCGCCGCGAGATGCTCTGACAGAGCCTTTTTAAGGAAATTAATATCCTCGTCATCCTTAATGAGACTCTGCCAGCCGTCCAAGTCGAGGACAATTGTATCATCGTCTTCTGCTGTTGGTCGCGGTTCGTCTGTTGACACTCCCCATTCCACTTCTGGTTTCAGCTCTTCAATGGCCGGTTCAGAAATTTCTATTTCCCCTTCGGGTAGCAACTCGACTGATTCTTCGAACAATAGAGGCTGCGTAGAATCAATTTCTTTCCGTTTCGGGGCTTGCCTTTCCTCAAAGATCTGCTTCCCGGATTGACCCTTCACTTTACGTTTCTTGTCTTTCAGTACCGGTGTTACCGTCCGCAAAGCATCGGTTGAATCTGCAGGCAGAGCCTCTTGTGCCGTTTCCTCAACCAGTGATTCCAAAGGTTTGGCGTCAAGTTCGAATAAATTATCGACTTCTTTTCGCTTTTTGCGTGTTGCAAGCTCTTCAATTAATCGTTTCCTCTTTTTAGACGAAGTTGGAAGTGTGTTGATTCCCCGTTCTAATTCTTCAATGATACTCTTCTCCCTGTCCGGCAGACCGCTCTGCTCAATACCGCCCGCCAGGCTTTCAGACTCCGGCAGGGGTACGTCTAGCGGTTTGGCATCCAACAAGCTTGGGCTTTTCCGCATTAAGTCATCCTCATTGTCGGATTCCGCAGACTCCGAACTTAGACGGCTGAGAGGGCGGCTTTCCACCTCTTCCGTGTCTCGAGCGAAGGAAACCTGCTGGTCATCATCTGAATCTTCAATCTCATGAAGTTGCTGAAGGCGGTGATATAGGGGCCTAAACTCTCTTTTCCTCGGTTTGGCTCTTCGCCTTTCATCGATATATACCGCGTTACCTTGCTCAAATCCTTTGACCTTCCTTATACGCGGAAGCGCCAAGACATTCAAACTGGAAACACCACCGGGTCGATGGTGACGAGAATAAGCGTCTGGTTGGGAATGGACCACGGTGCCATCAGTCGATGCATCGATCCTAAAGCTGGGTCGCCCCGTACCCTCAGGCGCCGGAATTCCAAGTTGTTGCCGTTTAGCGTTGTGACGGTCAGGCTCAAGGAAATCATACAAAGCTGGAGCCGCCACTCGGGATTTAACATCATCTAGTAGCTTGTCTCTCAATTCAATGATAAGAACGCTGAGGGCTTCCCGCGCGGGATCGAGGTTTTCTACTCGGAGTCGTTTTTCTTCCTCGATATCTAGCTCCATTTCCCGGTGCAACCTCTCCCTTTTCGCCTTCTCCCGCTTCTCTGCTTTAATGCGCTCAGGACTCGGGCTTCTTTCGTAGTTCGGGTTACCATATGGTTGGCATTCCATGTTCATAACATAGGTAAAAAGTGCAGTCATATGACACATTCTGTAGCATCGTTCTGCTTCTAATTCACCACGGCGCGAATTTTCGAAGATAATATAGTATCCGGTCTTATCGCATCTGACCGCCTTCCAATCGTAAAGCTTTAAGCGGCGCTCTAGGTGCGGAACTGTGGTGCTCAAAACCGGAACGTAACAATGGGCAATGAATATGTACGGATCCCGTTTGATTTGCTGCAAAATGGGCGTTTCTTCAATTCTCGAAGGCACCGGCGACTTCAAGACCGCCCGTGGGCCATCGGGAGCCAGAAGAGAAGGGTGAAGAGAAGATCGTCCTGATGGCCCCTTCGGAGCTGTAGAGGGTGGAAGATTGTCTTTTGACTGTTCGTTGTCCTTTTTCGCACCATCACCTATGGGTAGCCGGTTATCATTATCTCCGACAGACTCCTTCCTACTTTCCTCTAGCGAAGGAAATTCTGCTTTCTGGGCTGTAATAAGTTTCGCAACCATTCGGCCGCTGACGACGCCATTTCGATCCAACTCGACCCGGATTCGCCGAGTTCCAATCCTCTGTTCTTTTTTACATTCAAGGTACGCCCTTCTGACGGCCTGGGAAGCGGATAAAGATATACCACCGCGGAACGCTCGACTATCCTTATATTTAATGGAACAAACTCCAAGGAATCTACCAGTCATAGGATCGGTTCGGTTATTGATCTCTCCAATGTCCCCAAAGCTGGAAAATAAGGCACTTATAGCAGCGATCGGTGTTAAGGGATCAAAACCAGTCACCACTATCTGAGTCGGAGGTCCGGGACCGACAGAGGTAGTAGGATCGTACGCCCACGGTCGAAGAATATAAGGTGTTGGTCGATACTTGGTCTTTTGTTTGCAAGCAGCACCGCGGGTATAGTTTGCAATTGCCATGCGAGGGTCGCAAGGGGGAGGGTCCTTTTCATCGTCGACGCCGAATGTCTCGTACTGGGGCTTCCTTCGCCTGGCTTTGGACGGAAATTTCCTATCAAGATCCGGATCATATGTTATTTTGTGGCCTTTAACCTCGCTGTTTGCCGGACGTGCTTGTACGCGAGGAGTCGGAGGGGTGTGCAAGGGCGTAATTGTGACAGGCTCAGGTCCGCCATGAGCTTCGCATGTCGGTGCGAGCTGAGGTGCAGCATCCGTGGAGCCAGATTTGGAACCCAGCGGGCTTTCGATCTTACACGGGGGGGAAGAATCGGTATTTGTCAAGGGGGTGAGGGCACAGGAGCTTATCCCATTCGGTTTCGCTACCCCGGGTGGCGCAGAGGCAGAGAAGAAGCCCGAGGAGCCGGTGCTAAGGGAACTCGAAGATGTTGCTCCATTGGTATCACCGAGCGCAAGAGTCGTCTCCGCGCTTCGCTCACCCACGGCCCTGACAGGATTATCCGCTGACGTGCCCACCCCACCTTTGATGTCGGGAGTCGACGATAGCCCCAGGTTCGGTAGCGGATCGGCCGCCTTTGGCGTGTTGGCCGCGTGTCGGTCCTGGGCAGCTTTGCTACGTTTCTTTTGGAGAACAGATGGAGCGGTCGGAAAAAAATCTGCGAAGCCAGCGGGGGCACGCGACATGGTCACAGAGATGGCTATGAGCCTGATGCCGACCACGTATAGCGTGCAAACACCATCCTTGAATCTTATTCACAAGCTGAGCAGTTCCTATGCAGTGCCACGAAACGGGCTACAACCACGAGATGCGACCAGCTGTTAGGGGGCTGGGGATTAAAAGGTTCTAAAAACGCGATTGTGGCCGGCAAGAGAGCAGATGCGGCGAGTGAAAATCAAGAAGGAACACCAATCGAAGGGGTTGCGGGTACTTGAGTTGGTCAAGAGGCCGGCTTGGTTTGGGAGCAAAAGGGCGTTTCCCACATGGGCATTCACCTTGACAAAGCTTCGCAATCCACAGAAGAATAGTGCAAGATGGGAAAAAACAATTTTGCGGAGGTTTGGATATTGCTCCAGGGCTGGATGTCGAGGGTCCCAAATAGGAATAGTGAGATCACTGGTAAGAGGTCATGGACCGACATTACGGAGTGCAAAGAGTATAATACTGTAATATGTGAGAATCGACCTGTGACAAGCCAAATACTGCCTTGGCACTAGACCCGGAGGAGCGCTGGAATCACGCCGCTTTACGCACTCATATTATATAATCACACCGCTGGCATGTCTGCGTGGTTTGCTCACCCTAGTTAATAGTTGGGTGGTAGTTAGTTTATGTAAGCCCAGCAGGGGCTCGGTTTCGGCCCAAAGAACGGAGCACTCTGGACAGACCACAGGGCTGAAAAAGATGTGTGGATGGAGGACTTGTGGGCGAGCTCACTAGCGGATTCTAGGGGAGGGATGATGATGTACGGAGTACTCTCGAGCTCAGGAAAGGAAGCCAGGATAAGCAACTCCTCTGCGGAGGATACAGAGTAACTGCTTTACTGTGCTCCGTACCTTTGAAGGAACCCTTACAGAGTACCCTTTGTGCGCTGAACTGTGTGACCGAGGACAAACAGTCACTTGGAAAAGTATTCGAATTGTGAACTCACTACCCCCCCCTGGTGCGGCTGTGATCTGGCGGCTACAACAAAACTAGCTGTGTAGTTAACTACTCTGTAACCACAGTACAGAGTACTCCGTACATAGTCAGCTTTATTTCAGGACCGAGTCTGGGTCAAGTGCTCCATACATAAGATGCCATCTTGCTCTGCGCAATCCACTAAAACTAGTTCTCCATAGTGCAGACACCCAGAGGCGAAGATCATAGCCTTTAGTTGTCTGGGCGCAAGGGGACCGGGCCGGGTCTGCTGGAAGGCCGGACGGAACCCTGATTGGCCAAATTGCTGGCGAGTTGGGAACCATGGCAAGGTGCTGTCTCACGTCCTTTTTCGGCGCTGTTCCTGGTCCTCGGAAGAAGCCCCCCGGGGCGGTCAAAATTCCGCAAGTTACCATATGCCCTTCCGGCATCGAGCAAACAGGATCTATGCGATCAAACAATACGTTAAATAGGTTACATACAGGCTCGCAAATACTTCAGCTGGCAGGCAGTCTCGAATGGCAGCAGGTTCCGACATTCGACGAACTGCTCCGTGCAGCTGGGCGTATAATTATCGGAAATGCCACTTCGATGGCAAAGTGGAGAAAAACTCCCTGTTATGCACGGTGATTAGTTAGTTCTAGCGACGGGGGGACCACTCTCAAGGACTGTGTGCTGTACTAGTTTCCCCTACAGGCCCGTAAAAGTGGGAAGAATGCCTATATTTAACCACAAGATATGAGACCCGAGGCGGAATTTAACTGGCCGCCGTCGGGCACAGCCCTTTGAAAATTGACCACACCGCATTCCGGCTCCTTTCTCTTACCCCCCCCCCCCTCCCCGAGTCGCCAGCTCCCCGTCAAACACCGTCAGCTTTGGTTGGTATCTCTATCTCTTCTCCCTCTTCTGTCGCTCTATCTCCCTCTCTCTTCTCCTGTGCTTCCTCCCTCTTGCCCACTCCGTCGTCATCCAGGGGTTCAGCCGCTCCGGATCGTCCTCTCCTTCCTTTCCCTGGTACGGAGTATATTTAGCTGCCTGCTCCTCCCTCTTTCCCCGCCTCTCACCTTGCTTCACTTTCGTCGTTCCCCCTAACGAACTCCCGACTTTCCCACCCATATTCCCTCGCTCAACACAACAGTTCCACGTTCGCTGCAGCTATATCCTCGTTCCCCAAACCTTGCCATTCGTCTTTATCGCTCTTTGAACCAAAAAACCACCCCGTGTCTGACAGCAGTTGACCCTATTCCACCAGTACATCTGCAACCATGTGGTATGAAACCTTCCCCCCTCCCCAACCAAAGCATTCGATCATGCTCGCTGACCATTGCGAATCCAGCGGTATTTTCGGTTACATCAACTACCTCGTTGAGAAGGATCGTGCCTACATCATCGAAACCCTGCTCAATGGTGAGATGTTTCCCGCATCGTTTGCATTCGCTTTAGATGCATATCGGGCGTTTTCGCTAATCTCTCTCTTTACTGCTCTGTTTGCCAGGCCTATCAAGACTCGAATATCGTGGCTACGATTCTGCTGGGCTTGCCATCGATGGAAATAAGAAGAACGAAGTCATGGCCTTCAAGGAGGTTGGCAAGGTCGCCAAGCTCCGAGAACTGATTGCCAGTGCCAACCCAGACCTAACCCAGGTCTTTGACTCCCATGCCGGTATTGCCCACACCAGATGGGCCACACATGGGTCGCCATCCCGACTCAACTGTCACCCACACAGGTACGCTTGCTTCCCTGTTTGCTCCATGCTCTACTTGATCATGGTTACAACGGATTGACGATGGCTCGCTCACACGCCCACAGGTCCGATCCAAACTGGGAATTCTCTGTTGTCCACAATGGGATCATCACAAACTACAAGGAGCTCAAAGCGCTTCTTGAAAGTAAAGGCTTCCGTTTCGAAACAGATACAGACACCGAGTGTATCGCAAAGCTTGCCAAATACCTCTACGATCTTCATCCAGATATCGACTTCACCGTTTTAGCAAAGGCTGTAATCAAGGAGCTTCAGGGTGCCTTTGGTTTGTTGCTGAAGTCTGTGCATTACCCGCACGAAGTCATCGCTGCACGAAAGGGATCTCCTTTGGTCATCGGTGTTCGCACGTCGAAGAAGATGAGGGTCGATTTTGTAGATGTTGAGTTCTCCGAGGATGGTCCGCTTCCGGCGGAAGAGGCGTCTCAGAACCTCGCCATCAAGAAATCGGCCGCAAGCTTGTTAGCCCCGCCGGACAAGTCGCTCTTGCATCGATCGCAATCTCGCGCGTTCTTATCCGACGACGGCGTTCCCCAGCCCTCCGAATTCTTCCTCTCTTCGGACCCTTCTGCCATCGTCGAGCACACAAAAAAGGTCTTGTATCTCGAAGACGATGACATTGCTCATATCCACGATGGCCAGCTCAACATTCATCGTCTGACCAAGAACGATGGTACTTCAAACGTCCGTGCTATCCAAACCATCGAGTTGGAGCTGCAGGAAATCATGAAAGGAAAGTTTGATCATTTTATGCAGAAAGAAATTTTCGAACAGCCCGAATCTGTTGTCAACACGATGCGCGGTCGTCTAGACGTCGCAAATAAGAAAGTCACATTGGGCGGCCTTCGCCAGTATATCTCAACTATTCGACGCTGCAGACGAATTATTTTCATCGCCTGTGGTACCAGTTATCATTCGTGTATGGCGGTTCGTGGAGTGTTCGAGGAGCTAACAGAAATCCCCATTGCTGTCGAACTAGCATCGGATTTCTTGGATAGAGAGGCCCCCGTTTTCCGCGACGACACTTGTGTTTTCGTGTCACAATCAGGTGAAACTGCTGATTCCCTCATGGCACTGAGATACTGCCTTGAGCGAGGCGCTTTGACGGTTGGCATTGTGAACGTTGTTGGTTCATCTATTTCTTTACTCACTCATTGTGGTGTGCATATCAATGCCGGCCCTGAAATCGGTGTTGCTTCAACCAAGGCCTATACTTCTCAATTTGTGGCCATGGTCATGTTTGCTTTGTCACTTAGTGAGGACCGTATTTCCAAGCAAAAGCGGCGCGAGGAAATTATGGAGGGCCTTTCAAAGGTTTCTGATCAATTCCGGGAAATCCTTAAACTTAACGAACCAATCAAGGAGATGTGCGCGAAATTCTTCAAAGACCAGAAGAGCTTGTTGCTTTTGGGCAGAGGAAGCCAATTTTCTACCGCATTGGAAGGTACACATTCCTCCCCTCCCCGCCCAAAAAAAAAAAAAAAAAAGGTGCAATACCATATTAACCCTCGCTATAGGAGCCCTCAAGATCAAGGAAATATCGTACCTCCACTGCGAGGCGGTAATGTCTGGAGAACTTAAACACGGTGTGTTGGCATTGGTTGACGAAAATCTCCCAATAATTATGATTTTGACCCGGGATAAAATCTTTGCCAAATCTTTGAATGCCTACCAACAGGGTATGATTGTTTCCCCGTGACTAACGTGATACATCACTAACATATTCTTTACAGTGATCGCTCGCGGTGGTCGCCCGATCGTCATTTGCAACACGAACGAAGAGGAGTTCCCAGCATCGAGAGTGGAGAGGATCGAGATTCCTCAAACGGTCGATTGCCTCCAAGGCCTTCTCAACGTCATCCCTCTCCAACTTATTGCATACTGGCTTGCCGTTGCTGAGGGGTTGAATGTTGACTTCCCTCGTAATCTTGCAAAGTCGGTGACGGTTGAGTAGATGCTCCGTATTATCTTCAGGCGCCTTAAAATGACTCCAAATGTTGGTATTTTCATGGAAGCAAAGGTCATGTTATCTGATGGTACTCATGGAGCAAGGCCAGGTGTTAGCTTGTTAGTTGCTGCTACGTCCCCGGGTTATGTCTTTATTGCCGCGTAGGGATTGATCAAACATAGATATTATACTTTGTTCATATTCTTAAGTTTATACAGAGTACTACTACGTACAGAGTATTCTTTTGTATGTTCTCGATGGGGATAACCTATGTGGATGATAAGCACATAGGCACATTAGTCGTTTGTTTTGGTGTACGGAGTACAAAGCGTCCATCACTGCGCTACTCCATACCTAGGTTAAGTATAATATCGGCAGCTGGATCGCGGCCATGGCTTAGCAAGGTTCTAGACAGAATAGGGTTTTGGAGGTCTACAACGAGTCTGCTCTTTGAGGAGTTACAGCTCCACCAACCACAATTACATCCAAAATGGCTGCATTCAAAGGTCCTGGTCAGACTGAAATCTATAACGGTTAGTCTTATGTTTCTTTTTCAAGAAATCGAAGTGGAAACGCCATGCCCGCGATGTTGGCGGGAGCGGGGCACTCCATCGACCAGATAGTAACGGTTCACAATAGGAGCAAATCTCCGCATCGCCATCGTTCACGCACGATGGAATACCCCGATAATCGAGGCTTTGGTCGGAGGTGCAAAGAAAAAGATGCTCGAGCTGGGGGTCAAGGAAAGAAATATCGTTATTGAAAGCGTACCGGGAAGCTTTGAGTTACCCTTTGCGGTCCGAAGGTGAACTACTCCTCCCTAAACCCCCTCTTCTACTCCCCTGTTTGATGCCCCCCTCGGGCGAAGTTTGGGGAGTTAACCGATGGTTGGATCATGCATGTGACATTTTACTCATTGAATATGTAGGGTCTACACAGCATCGCACGTCCAAGCAGCTTCCGTTTCCTCAGGAGCTTCTGGAAGTGTAACGACCGATCTTCTGTCCTCGTCGACAGATTTTGCAAAACTTTCCACCACAACGGGCACAGCGTCGGATACGACCACCCCCAAGCCCACGTGTGCTAGCGCCCCCGACGCTACCGCAACGGGCCCATTTGACGCGATAATCGCCATTGGCGCCCTTATCAAGGGGGAAACGATGCATTTTGAATATATTGCCGATGCGGTTTCGCATGGGATTATGCGTGTCCAGCTTGACGCCGGGGTCCCGGTTGTGTTTGGCCTGTTGACCGTTTTGACGGAGGAGCAAGGACTCGTGAGGGCTGGAATGGTGGAAGATAAAAATGGGAAACGGCACAACCACGGGGAGGATTGGGGTAGTGCCGCGGTGGAGTTGGGAATCAAGAGGAGAGCATGGGAGGAAGGCAAGATAGGGTAGATAAATACATGGGGGATTTTCGCACTGGGTGGCTGGATGGAATGAACGGCTCTCTTAGGGGTGATATCGAATCGTTCGGTGGAGACGATGAGGTCCATCAAATGTAGATTACACATTGAATAAACAACATGCACGGGTAAACGATACATAAGCATCTGAAACCGTAAAATTTCGGATCTAAAGTCTGAAATTTCTAACAACCCCAAGAACCATTGAAAGAAACCGCTCAAAAGAAAATCGAAGCGATCTATCGCAAAGGCTTGTCCGATTATTCTTCCATTTGGTCACCTTCCGCAGGCTTTGACTCGTCCTCTTCCTCTTCTTCCTCAGATATAGCCTTTTTCGCTGCATTTTCTGCTTCTTCGAGCAGCTCTTTTGGTACTTCCATATGTCTGCCCTTGGTGGGGCCGTCCAAAGCGCTGATCCACGTCATTTCTAGCTCAAAATCCTTGTCCTTGCTGTCCTCATGGGCGATATAAATGATGCGTGCGGCTTCCTTAATCCCATCCAGTAGGCTAAGATTCTCCGACGGCAAATCTAACTTCTCAAGCTCAGCCTTGGCAGCTTGTCGACCTTTTCCGGTGGCAGCACCATAGTAACCCTATGGCGCGAAGGTTAGCTGGTAGGGGGTTCTGCTAGTGAATACCATAAGCTTACCCAGTAAAGTCCGCTGGGCTCTATCATGAATAGGCCCGGCCCTCCAACCTTTGTGCCGTCTACCTTCCCGCCAGAACCCGACTTTGGTCCTGATCCGACTTGTCCATCCACAGGAAGCTCTGCTTCGGAGTCCCAGCCCCCTACTATGGCGGTGACACCGAATGGTCGAACGCTGGAGTATAGGGTATATGCCTGGACGTAACCTCCAAGTCTGTTTGCGAGTACTCCTGTAGGGATGGGTGCCTTGTAAGTGTTTCTCCAAGAGGCAGCTTCGTCTCTAGCTCTCGCCACGAAATGTCGCCCATCAGGAACAAGACCTGCTGATACCTGTAACGCTCGTAGCCAAGAAAAGCCAATGCAGTCAGCAGCAAACTTCGACACAGCCTTCATTGCCATGCCCCGGCAAGGGGTGACTTCGGTTGTTTTTGTGTGTGTGTGTGTGTGTGTGTGTGTGTGTGAGAGAGAGAGAAGGGGGGGGTTGGGGTTCAAAGGGCACTGACTATGCCGATATTCCGATCCACCGTCGCTATCCTCTTATTCGCGCCTGGCTTAAGCAGCCTACTCGAAACGATCTTCTCTACGGCAAGGATCACGCCATCTTTACACCTTATTCCAATCGCAGTGCCTCCATTCTCAACAGCCTTTACCGCATACTCGACCTGGATGGAGTCAGTTAGAAGGATTCCATAGTAAGCGGCTGAACGACGGGGATGAATGCTCACTTGAAAATTTCGTCCGTCCGGTGAAAATACAGAGTTGGAAAGATCGTAACCCGTGCCTATGGACGTCTGGGTTCAAATCAAAGGTCAGTCTCAACTCCGAAATAGAGCTAGCCCAGGGGTCGGATTACAGACCATTGTGTCGAAATCGGACAAATATGGGTTATAGGAAAATGAATGGTAGTGGCCCTGATAATGGTGATAGGTATTTGAAAAGCAATTAGGAATTGAGGATTAGGAAGGAGGAGGAGGAAGTGGGAGGTTGGCGCAGTCGACGATATCGAAGAGCTCGCTCGCTTTGGCGTTGAGCTTCTCTGGGCGCGATGCACACACACACGTCACGGGATGGCAGCCTTCAAGCTCCAGTCACATGACACGCCTTATGCTTATATAATTAATCAGCTAAAAGCGAACTAATCTTTGATACGCTCTATATGCCGTACATAGTAAGTCCTGAAGTACTCTGTACCTGTAAGTTACGCCTCTAAGATTACACTGTACATGCCGAGTACTTATCGAGTACTTACATCTTACCCATTCATTGTACAGCCTCAGTACGCGGTATCCGAACTTTGTACGGAGTTGCCCGTACAGTACACTACCCGATGGAACTCCTCCGTGAGCTTACTCTGTACGGAGTGGGTGTACAGCGTTTATCTTGGGAATTATTTAATAATTTAACTATTGGAGCAGAGCTCTGTTTGTGCAATCTCATCTGTGGATATCCATTAACGACAAAGTCCTCTGTGTTCCCCTCACTAATACTGCGCGATGTGTCTATCCATGTACTGTTAGGTACGAAGTAACTACCTAACTTCCAAAACTTACCCCCTCCTGGGCTTGCAAGATTTGGGCAGTTGAGGAGGCACATGTGCCCAATTGGTTGGGTTTTAGCAAACTAACTACTCCGTACAGAGTAATTAACTGGAACTCCCAAGAAATGAATGGACGACACAGGAAGAGGTCTTGGTTGGGCAGACACCAGGTGTCCAACCATTATCATCAGTTGACCTGCCCTCACTCCCCTTGATACCCAATCTTCATTTCTCATCATTAAATTTTCACAGAGTTCTTGAAAGGTTCTCCAGTGTTTGCATATAAGAGTATCTCCACACATTCCCCCCCGCCGCCCGCGCCATAGTGCTGTCGTCCACATTCGCCCAGCTTGGCCTTTGACACACTCATAGCAGTGCCTAACTTGCTGGCCTGGGGTGCCTAATCATTCTGGCTACCTAAAAACATCTACAATCTCTCTGGCACCTGTGTGTTCTTTGCTTTTCCCCTTTGCAGAACATAGGCGATTTTATACCCTATTCTTGTCATCCAATAGCTTTGCGCCCTCTATCTTGATCTCTCAACGGCTAGATATGTTAATAGAGAATTACGTGAATTTATAATTGTTTGCAGATCGAAGAATACATCCACTACAGGCCCCTGATTAATCTGTCTCACGCGTGCCTGGTCCAACTTTTCTTTTCCTTTTTTTTTTACCAATCCCATAAATTCTGTGCTAGGAGGAGTGCATAAGCTCGCTATGGCTTCCATGCTGCATGCTTGTCCATACTGTGGGTATGAGACTGAAATCGTGAATGTGCTGCCTGCGTTTTCAGAGAATCCGCACTGCCAACGGGTATGGCCTCGAAAATTCTATGCCAACTATGCTAAGTGACTTTTCTGACAACATTTGCTTAGTGTGGGCTATCTGTCACTGAAGGCGATAGCAAGGTAGACAATGACCTTTCTTCTCTTTTCGCTCGTCAAATGACGATGAACCATAGGCCTCAAGGCCTCACACCTATATGCCCAGCAACGCCCCCAACCCCTCGCTTTTCCAAACCGTCTACAGTCCCAGATGGCCCTCCGATCGCGTATAGCATAACTCAGCATTATCATCACTCCTCTCACCAGGCACGTATGGGACTCCAAAAATCGGATTCAGACATCGCAGGACCTTTAGAACAGCAGAAGCCTCCCGCTGGACGATACATGTCTTCCAGGGAAATGCTCTTGCGACATAACATCAACCCTGATACCCTCTTTCCTTCTCAGCTTGCGTTATTCGAACAAGCGGACCGGGAACAAAAGGCCCGGCTTGTTGAATTGTGGCAAATATCGCCCCCCACTTTTGGAAATCCATCGTCTCTCCAGCCTTTCGCCAATAGTCTTCCTGCTGCGGAATGCTCCCAACTCGACTCTTTTGGTAAGGCGCTTGATCCGCATAACGATGTTATGATGGATGAAGATAGTACCAATTCCTGCGATACCCATGCTGCTGAACCATACGTGGTTTCAGGTTATGAAATGCTGGCACAGAGAGAATATAATCTGCCCACGCAGCCTTCACTCCCCTTTCCCCGGGGAAACTGTCCCGCTGAAATTCCATCCAGCGCCACTTATAACCCTTCTACAGACCCTGTCTATAAAAGGGAGGATCGACAAGAAACCCAACCCATTGAGCACCAATACGGCGCGTTTGAAATGAAAAATTACTACATTGGGTGTGGGGTTGCGAGGGCTCATTGGCTTGAGGATCAACACTTCTTTTGAACTGTGGTTCTGGGTACTTTAGCGTTTCGAGAGGCTGGGCCGCTTTCTGTCTTCGGGCTCCGCATCTTTGTCAGAGATATATCCATGCAGTTTTCAGTGAGCTGGAATGATGCCTTTATGGTTGACCCGCGTGCCATGTTGGGATTTCTTTGTCAGTTGTTTTGTTTACCCCTTTTTTTTTTTTTTTTTTTTTTTTTTTGGGGGGGTTGGTGGGGTTTGAAATTGTATTATGAATTATGAGTATGTTCATGTTCACCAATACCCACACGCGGTCCACATTGTTCTTCTGGATTTATTTTCAACTTCTTTTCTGGTTTGAGCCGAAACTGCATCTCTACCGCTTTGAAACCTTATCACTTGATCAACTAAATTAATCATGGAAAGATTTGGCAAGGAATATTTACTATATCCTCTGTCAGAGATGATGATAAACAAAGATGCACTGTCTTGGTTGCGTTCCTGAGTGGCGACTGCGAAGTCTCCAATATGTATTGTATATATCCCATATGGAGGAGCACCTATGTGTTAGATTGTCAATCACCGCTGCGCAGCACCATGCACATTAGAGCCTTGCTATGGAGTCTTTTTCCCAGTCCAGATAAAGTTCACCACCTGTATGCAGTCAAACGCAAGACAGACATACATAACCACAAGGTGCCACGTGACACAATACAGTTCAAGCATACTCCATACCTACATGGGGAGGGGAATTTCTGGAAGAATGTACTTTCTTCTAAAATCCGTATGTACATATACATGTATAAGACAGATATATTCCACATTATAACGCGAAATATGGGGAAGAAAAACCAAGAGAGAAAAAGCATATCTCTGTATATGTCAAGGATTTAAATTGGACAGTTCATTAATCTTTAACAATGAATACATGTCACTCTTTACTTGGCCTTCAACATCATGTAGTTGGGCTTTGAGGAACAGGGAGAGTTGTCCCAAATGACTGCACTGTAAATTCTTGGGCCATAGTTGGGAAACTGTAGTAAACCAGGAAGGTCCTTGTAATAGGAACAGTAAACAAAACAAAACCAGTGACAATTATTATAATGGGCTGTTTCCTTCCTTCAATTGTGGCTCACCAGTGGAGTGTGTAAAGGTGTAGCGTCTCCAAGCTAAAGTAAAGGAGCCGTGTCTTAAAACAAATACATAGACCAGAAACGAGCGCGGTCATGACGATATGACAAAGTTTTCTTCTTCATCACCAGGATTTAGGATACCATCCGGGGTATCCCCGCCCGGTGCTGTGGAGGGATGACCATAAAAAGGAATGTCTAACACGGTACACCGACGCGAAGGCACCATCTTTGATGGACTGTTCATTATCAGCAACTCAACCATCCGAAACCAAGACGGATAGGGCATACTAGGGTTTGTGGTTTCATCGCGAGTAGTTCCAGCAGCTAGTCTGGTGGCCCTTTCTGTGGGCATGGGTAGAGCTGGCACTATGGCGGATATCGCAGCGACAGTAAAGATGAGAGCCACGAGCTTCATTGCTAGCGTCCCGTTGCTCTTTTATCGGCTCCCTTGAGGAGCGCGATAGGGCGAGGTCACTGGTGGTAGCCGGGGTTCTGAGATAGTCGTATCTTCAAGTAAATCTCCAAAGGGAAATAATGCATTCGATTATATGGGCGAGTCTAAACAAGGTTGTCTGGAAAATTTGTGACCGTAGATGATATAGAAACCATAGATCAGTTGCAGCAAAGGAACTGGGTTCTGGAATGCATTCTGTGGGAGGGGTTCTGTTGACGCTCGCCTTGATATCACTGAACACCCCGGGGACAAACGAATAAATAATGTTATTCACACCTCAAAAGAGAGTGGCGTGCAACGACATATCAAAGATGCTGAGCTTTGGTGAAAGGAGTAGGAATAGCAGTCATTTAGCGCCAATGGCGATTGATGGAATCCTGGAAGTTCCCGATCTCCAGAGGTAATGGGCGAGGGATATCAAGAGTTATAAGCTTAGGTATCAGGGACCCAAAGTGGCTTCTGGAGGGAGCCCTTCCCAGGCCGGTGGCTTTATGCCAGAGAAACGCCCTGCTCTCTCCATTTAAACATGCAGAACCTTGCATCTTGGACTCGTACGCATCTTCCAAAACGGTATACAAAGAAGCCTTTCATTGAAGGCGGCATTTAGTATGTTAACCATGAAGAAGACGTGCCTTATTGACGGTTCTCCGAATTTGGGTATCAATAATGCAAGACAGGCAAGCTTTGACATTAGCGAACAATAAAAGTGCCGGCCGGCTTTATGGGGGAGAAGCGACTGGATGAGCATTCGGTTCATGTTGCTCGACCCGGTTCTGTGATTTGCCCAGGCAGCCCATGCACAACCGGCGATGCTGGGCTAAGAGGAAAGCTGGAAGCGGAAGAGGAACGAGGACGAAGACGAGCGACATGCAGTTAAGGCGTAGTGTTTGACGTGTTTGTCTGGTTAATTAGGTAAGGCTGCGAGCAGAAGTGGGTCTCAGATCACGTTAAGGTTTTTCCGAGCAGTGCATTATGTAATAGCCGGTGGCTGTTACCAGGTAATTACGGGCGAACTTGCAGGTAGCTTCCATGCAACCTCGATTGCGAGAAATCTTTCTTTGCCGCGAGAAACCGCTCCTGCAACACGAACACACACTGGCTGCCGAATTCTTGATATATCCGAGCAATTGCAAAAATGTTTTCCATGAGAGTTGCGCAAAACGCGCAGGTATGAGTCTCGCAGCATTTATTCCCCGCAGCACCGCTCTAACCTACCCTATGCTCGACAGTCTGTACTCCGCAACGCTGCAAAGTCTCCGTGTTTCTCTCAATCCAAGATTTCCACAAGATGTCTGTACACTTCAATTCCGCAAATTAACCATGAACCAGGGTTAACTTCCACTTAGGCATCACCACCGTGCAATCTGACATCTTCAAGCCCACCAAATATGGCGGCAAGTATACGGTGACGCTGATCCCGGGTATGAGTGCCTTATCCCCGTTCGATGCTGGGTCGAATTCGACATGGTTGCTGACTTTGGGGGACTAGGTGATGGAATTGGAGCCGAGGTCGCAGAATCCGTGAAAACCATCTTCAAAGCAGACAATGTACCCATCGAATGGGAACAGGTCGACGTGAGCGGTGTGGACGCGGGAACTAAACATTCAGAGGAGCTATTTAAGGAATCCATTGCGTCTCTAAGGCGAAACAAGATAGGGCTCAAGGGCATTTTGCACACACCAGTCGAAAGATCAGGACATCAGTCTTTCAATGTAGCCCTTCGGCAGGAACTCGACATCTACGCCTCGATTGTTTTGATTAAGAATATTCCTGGTTACAAGACCCGGCATGATAACGTTGATTTGTGCATCATCCGTGAGAATACTGAGGGCGAATATTCGGGTTTGGAGCATCAGTCCGTCAGCGGCGTCGTTGAGTCGCTCAAAATTATTACCCGAGCAAAGTCCGAGCGTATTGCGAAATTTGCTTTCAGCTTTGCGCTCGCGAACAACCGCAAGAAAGTCACATGCATACACAAAGCGAATATTATGAAACTCGCCGATGGACTTTTCCGAAGCACCTTCAAAAAGGTCGCCGAGAGCTACCCGACCCTAGAAATCAACGATATGATTGTCGACAATGCATCCATGCAGGCTGTTTCTCGCCCACAACAATTCGACGTAATGGTCATGCCTAATCTTTATGGAGGTATTCTTTCAAACATCGGTGCTGCACTTGTGGGTGGCCCGGGTATCGTGCCGGGATGCAACATGGGTCGTGACGTTGCTGTCTTTGAGCCCGGTTGCCGGCACGTTGGCCTTGACATCAAGGGCAAAGATCAAGCAAATCCAACGGCCTTGATCTTGTCAGGCTCCATGCTTCTCCGTCACCTTGGTCTTGATGAACATGCAAATCGTATTTCCAAGGCAGTCTACGATGTCATTGGCGAAGGGTAAGTTGACCTCCAATCCCCCAACGTTCAAACCCTCCTCGCAAGATTTTTCAATGATGCCGTTCCGTTTAGAAGCTAACTTAATCAGTGTTGTTCGGACTCGGGACATGGGTGGTCAGGCTGCTACCCACGAATTCACTAGAGCTGTTTTGGACAAGATGGAAGCGGCCCTCTAAGCATCGGAGTCGAACCACTGTATGGACTAAGGGCAACCGCGCGAATCGGATCCGCTCCGCGCACTTTCGGCCTATTTACAACTGTTCGAAATTCGCGGCAAGATGTATTCGCGAAATCTACGCCCCAAAGGCAAACTAACGGCCCCAAACGAACTCTCCTATCCTCAATCCACCATGAAAGGTAAATTATATATTTACATGAACTGCTGATAGCTTGATATTGACTCGATTTTCTTTGTTGTCCTAGCATATGTTTGTAGATATTTTAAAGACATGTTTCCAAGCTCACTGCATTTTGTTTTGAGGGTTCCTCGTGAAACATAAAATACTTGTAAATTAGGTGTCGCACAGCCCTCGAAATCCATATTCTTCAATTTTATCCTCCTTTCTTCAACAGAGGTTCTGATTGAAAAGTGTTTTCGAATTGGTTCAAAAGCATTAAGGTGAAAGAGCTGAAATAAAGCCTAAGATAGCTACCGGTACATCACGCCGGCGGAAAAGGATGCATAATGAAAACAAAACTTCTTCGGGGGGAGAAGACATATCAAAATCGCCTTGCCTTCTGGCCCCCCCAGAATCCCATCAGCTCACCCGTTTCAGACACCCAGCCTCGCGCTCCATCCACCAAAGCTTTTGCCATTGCCTTGCTCTTGCTCTTCTTTTCGTTTCCAGAGCCCCCTAGAGGCGAGGTCGAAGACCCATCTGCGCCGATGGAGGGACCTGAAGCATACCCTGAGCCTGTAGTGGGCAAGACGTTCTCGCCCGCACTCAAGCTCACGAATAGCGAGAATGGGACGAGCCACACACAAAGGCCAAAATATGAGGCTATCTCTGTAAATGACGGGAGGTCGGAGCCTGCTCCATAGTGCTGTCCGCCTGTTGAAAAGGACGCTGAGTGAGAGGATGACCGACTGTATTTAGTTTGCAAGGTGGCTGGATCAGAAAAGTGGCGGAACCACACCCAGTGATTCAAGCCGACGAGGAGACAGGAGAGGATGAAGAGCGGGTCTGAGAGCTTGACGACTGGGAAGCGTCGGAGATTGCTAGCATATACGAGGTGTGAAACTATACTGAGGAAGGTAAGGGAGATGGGTAGCCCGTCGATAAGCCATAGTAGTACGTGGAGAGCAATGACTGTGTGGATAAGCCGCGACAGAACGCGCCGGGCAAGCACCGTGTGTTCTTCTACAAGCTCGGATAGATAGTATAATCCGGAGGCTAGGAGAGACGGGCATTATTAGCGATCGTTCACGGAATATGTTTGCAATCTTGAGGTATCATACCAATTGCTAGGGTGAGAAAGCAAAAGCCTACTATCACCCCTAAGTAGCCGACAAGGGGTAGCACCCACATTGTGAACTTGAAATCGGCACTGTTGACTTGAAAAGATCAAGGAGCCTGCTCTCCATACAGGCGTCCCGGCGGAATTGGCTCAGGTAGAGTCAAGGTGGCCGGATTGTTGCCGGAAATGATGTCCTCCCGTCGAAGTAGTTATTTCGCAGACATTGAATGATCCTAACAAATTCCCAGCTTGAAGATCGTGATAACTTTTGTAGCAGCAAAGTAAGAATTCGACACAAACAACCACCAAGGTAATTAGTGATGTTGTTCCTTTTTTCTTTGAAATAATCCAGTCGTTGGAGGGTTAAAATGATGAGTGAGCTGGCCCGAATGGAGCGCCTAACCACGGATAAACTAAACTAGTTAACTAATATGTACTCCGTACGGAGTAACTATTTTCAAAACTAAAAAAGGCTCTCTCTCACAACTAAATGATCATCATTGGATGCGCTTAACTCGTTTAACTAGCGGTTATTGAGTGGACAAACTAGGCGATCATTTACAGAACTTTGGCAGCAGAAAAATAATCGGTCTCCAAGAACGCACTGGTAGTTGACGGTTAAGAAGCCCCGACGATTCCCATTTTTCAACACGCGCTACCAAAATGTCGAGACCCGAAGACTCATTGTATGTTGACCTTCCCCTTCTATTGGAAAATTGTCATGCAATATTGACCCTGCATCCTACCTTTCCAGGCCCCCCGATCTGTATTACAATGACGCCGAATCACGGAAATACACATCGTCCTCGCGGATTCAAAATATCCAGTCGGAAATGACCCACCGTGCACTAGAACTCTTAGAACTTCACTCTCCTTCGCTCATCCTTGATATCGGATGTGGCTCTGGCCTGTCCGGTGAAATATTATCATCTGTGCCCCCATCCCAGGGCGGGCCCCACACATGGATCGGAATGGACATCTCACCTAGCATGCTCGACATTGCACTTCAAAGAGAGGTCGATGGAGATCTTTTTCTGGCCGACATGGGACAAGGGATCCCTTTTCGCCCAGGAACGTTTGATGCTGCTATCAGTATTAGCGCCATACAGTGGTTGTGCAACGCCGAAACGACAGATGTCAGTCCTGAAGGTCGCCTGCGTCGATTTTTCGACGGCCTGTATGCTAGCTTGCGCCGTGGAGCCCGTGCTGTTTGTCAGTTTTATCCTAAGAATGATGCGCAACGAAACATGATCAGTGCGGCGGCGATGAAAGCCGGGTTCGGTGCTGGTATTTTGGAAGATGACCCTGGAACGAAAAACGGTAAATTATATCTGGTACTGACAGTTGGAGGCGGTGGGCTACAAGGGGATATTACAGGCGTTGTGAAAGGCATGGACGACGTAGAGGTTGTTGATGGAAGAAGGAAATCTCAAAATCTGCGGAAGGGAACGAACCCAGCAGATGTCAAAGGGAGCAAGGCATGGATATTACGAAAGAAGGAACAAATGGCGAGAAAGGGCAAGGTTGTGAAGGCGAGTTCGAAGTATACCGGAAGAAAGAGGCGCCCCGTTTTTTGATACGCTGCTGCGAACATGCTTCTTACGAAGTCATTGCTTCTTTATCGAACAACATCGATAATTATGGTTCATCCCATAAATCCATCTCTGTGCTTGGAACAAATAGCCCGTCGATTTATCACCTCAGCCCGAGTCAGGGAATGGCTTGTCGTCGATGGGAGACCGACGACTGGTTCAATTACCGTTTCCTGGTGGACAATTGTTGCCAAACTGGAGCCAGCGCGGTAGGGTACGCCCATGAATGTTGAAAATCCTTTTCTCTGGCTGGCTTGCAATCATTTGCAAGCAAAATCTCTGATTTATCCCGACGAATGGCTAAGCTGTGGCCATTTCATGGCTCCCCATTCACAGTCAAGGACATGAAATGGCATGAATCAGCTTTCGATCCCCGTTATACCTATCTGAAAGGTCATAGATACCCAGTCTCTACAACTTCAAAGGGCTACAATAAGGGTGCTAATGTACACCGCTCTGCAGCTTAACACTGGGAACGGGTCTTGCTGTCAAAATTCATTTTCGCATACTGAACGTTGGTTGATGCTTTTCCGTGCCCCTTTGTTTCATCTCAGTATGTAATCTTCCTATTGCCTTTCCTGATTTCCACCAATGACCTTTGGAGCGTTAGAAGCAGAAAGCAGCTGGAATCATACTAGTCTGTATGTACGCAGATAAAAGTTTGCTCACCTTTCCCCTAGCATAGAGCATATATGCAAGTAATCATCACTGATGTTCCTGGCGATCATTGATATTTGTGCCACATACAAACGTTTCAGCGTATATATGCATTTGTTCTGAGAAGACAATGCTGTTGAAAGCTAGAATAGGAGTGTATATCTGATTCTATTACCAGACAGTAGTCATATACAGGAAAGGGCATCGTAGCTAGAAACATAAAGGTGGAACAAGCCTCAATGAAATGTACATGTAAATAATCCACATGGAGACTGAAAGAAAGGACATAGTCTGCGATTTGCATAAGAGATACAAAGGCGGAATGCAAATGGGGTATAAAGATCTCAGCCCAAGCAAAAAGGCAAACGTATGGGAACTTCCTCCCCCGGCGGAAATCAGTGCGCCAATAGTACAAACCTTCCGTGTGGACACTAGCCCAATCATGAATACATATAAACAAAGCCCAAAGGGCGGAGAAAATAAGACTTAAAGGAGGGGGGGGATAGAAAAAGAGAAGGTGCAAAGGTATATACGATCCCTTCGGAAAACCGATCGTAGAGAGAAAGGAAATATTTCCGAGGTGCCCATTTAGAGGAGAGGATATTCCTCTTCTAGAGCTATAGTTTAATGGTGTAAGACAATTTCAGCGGATTCATAACAGGCACATTCAAGTAGTCCAAACAAAAGGGCGATGGCATACATTGTTAATTATAGACGCAAATATCTCTTTCTTTATTTTCCGATGTCCATGAAAAGGAGAGAGCTTTCTCTTCGTTTACTTTTTGTGGCATGCGTCCCGGGTGCAAGCAAGCCATTCATGGAATGAAGATGTGATAGCGTCCCCTCATCCTGCTGTTGATGGGGCACCGGAGGAGGGTCATAAGTAGGATGTAGAGGGGTAAACCCTGTGGTGTAGTTTCCCCGACGCTTAAGGTCTTCTGCTTCCTCGGCTCTCTGAGGCTCAAACGAATTTTGGTCATATGCAGGGGTCGGTAGATCTGTGAACATCTGATGGCGTGGGGACCGAATATCCTCAGGATTCAAACGTTGATTATTCAACGTCAGCTCAACTGTCCTGGTGCCGTGATCGATAGGTGGATGCTTTCCAAATATTGCATCAAATTCTGTAAGAAACATTGAAAATACAGGAGCAGGTATGTTCAATGTTGGGGCAAACACAATTCCGACATTTCGAACAGTCATTTTGTTCACATCGGCATTTTGGATAATGATAATTAGGAACTGAGAGATGGCTTTTAAAAGATCTAGGTTAGGCCGCGGAAGCCTATGAACTAGGGTATTAAATGCACTGATCTTTTGGTGCTTCTCATCCAGATCTAACCCATACTTTGTTAGCGGCAATAGCCAGTTTATTATGGAACAAGACTTACCAAGCACACGAATAAAATCTAAATGAAGCTCCTTAGTCAATACAGTTGTTGGTAATTCTCTTAGGTATTGCTTGAATAGGGACGCGACCGCATGGACATCGTGATAGTGGTCCCCTTCCAAGAAGTCCAAGTCGCCTTCTGTATTGAATCTTTCTTTAAGGGCCTTTATAACGACGTTTGAGCCACTCAGCCGGAAAATACCCTCTTCCAACTCCGCACGTTGGGCTCGCAAATATTCGAGGCAGCGATAAACAACAGCAGGAAGTCCGCAATCAAATCCTCGAGGACCACAAAATTCCACCGCCTCAGCCAGGGGAAGCCCAAAAACAGGTCGTACCGGTGCTCTTCGGTCGAGGAACACATCATGTACAGAACCAACTGAGTCCTGCCTTGACCCTTGGCTAGCCAAGTCCGCTGCTGTTGCGGCACGAAAACCCCATATGCTCCGCTTCTTTTCCTTCGTAGATGTTACGGTCTTGTTTCCCCAGGCACCCGCATCCTGAATCTTCATTCCGTTGGTAGGACCAGAGATTGTTTTCTGCGTCGGTGATGAATTGTCTTGTTCAAACTGACGGCCTGAGTGATCCGCCATGTGACCGGCGGGAGGAGAAACCTTACCGCCGCTGGGTCCACGGACTGGTGCTTCTGCAGCAACAACATCATCGTAGCTCAGTGCTTGAAGTGCGTTCGAGCCTTCTAATTGGCCACTTTCCAAACCGCCCTTCTTTGAATGAGGAGGTTGAAGACGCGATTTAGGAGTAGGACCGGTGGGCTTTGAGGACTGCGCATGGTGACCATGGTATTCCTCATCTGGCTCTCGTGGTTCCACGTAACAGAGGAGAGTCTCAACCCATACATCTCTTTCGTCGTCGCTTTCAGCACACAAAACGTGTCGAACCAAAGCCGAAGAATCCCTCTTCTTTGGTTCTAGGATTAAGAAAGCATGTCGATATTGACTATCGGGATCATCTTCTGTCCGTGACGGCGACTGGTTCTTTCCAGATGGCGACTGTTTTCCGATCTGTGCGTGATGTATCTTGATGGTTCCAAGATGAGGCCCACCGGGGGATTCGTAATATTTCAACTCCGGTCCATTAAGGACGAAATACCTTGATTTCCACCCGCCAAAATTCTTTCCCCTTTTGGTCAGATATCCCTCCATCCTCGGCTTCCCGTCAGGCCCGAATGATATTGGAGGCTTCCCGTTCCCTGCTCCATGGAGTAAATTGGACTCGTCGTCACGAGGTTCTATAGCATCCGCCGTAAGGAACTGGCATACCACCAGCCCTGCAGCTTCTTCCATCGGGTGGTTGAGCAAAGCTTCAAAGTACGCATTCAGGGCAGCCCTCCTAGCATCAACTTTAGCAGGGGAATGGCCAGTGAACATAGACCTCTCGGGTAGTTTTGTGGAGAAATTGGTGATTTGTTTTATTTGATGGTCTAACTGTGGTAAAGCAATGATTGCCTTCTCCACACGCCAGAGCTCGACCCGTTTTACACGCGAGTAGACACTTAATGTGAATACGGGTTCCTCCTCCATTGGCTTCAGTGCAAGGTAGCTACTACGAGACGGGCGCAGCCTGGATGACGAAACTTTCACATCAATGGAGGACAAGGAGCTGGGAGGAAGAAGCAATTCAGGGTAATCGGCGGCCACCATCCCACGGTATATTGTGTGGGAAGTTTCACGGCCAGAGACTGGACTATTTTCGTTGACCGTGAGTTTATACGTCGGAGCATCGCTATTTGACCTCTCGTTGGCGTTTGGCGCCTGTTGCGTTGTCTTCACTGTACCGTCTCTAGGGGCCTCCTGAGAGCCAGGAGGTGAACTTAACATATTTTGGAATTGGCCCTGCATTACGTTCCTCGGGGAAATTGGTGGAGAGACCAGAGCATTGGGGTCTTTCGGGAAACGCGGCATTGGGGATCCTAACGGGCGATCTCCAGGTCTCGGGCTCTGGGGTAAACCGGGGCTTAGGGGTGAGGTCAAACGAGATTTATCGGAAACGCTGGAGTCGGAAGCTGCAGGGTGCAACATGGCCGATAGTGAGGCGGGGGGAGGGGAATGTAGCCCGACAAGCCTCGGGGACGGTGCCATACCAGAGCGCGGGCTTGCTGGAAGACCAACTCCAAGGAATGCCTGTGCCTGTTCCTTCTGAACGTTCTCAGGTGGTGCAAAATTCTTGAGCTTCTTCTTATTCGATCGGCTTCGAAGTTCTTGTTCCTTCAACATCATAGCCTGCCGTAATTTATCGTCCTCCTCCCGCGTTCTTCTCCGACCACGTTCAATCGTTGGTATTTCATTGTCCTCCAGTATGTCATCATAATCAGATTCAGAATGGTCCTTACGGTGATCCACAATAATGTGAGGCTTGACCTTCTGCGCTTCGTCTAGCTTCAAGGGTGCCGGAGGAGGCTTCCTTGCAGGCGGCGGAATTTTGGTAGTGGTCTGACCAACCGGGGGCGGCTCTTCTCTGTCGAAGCTACCGTGACTTGTCAGAGGAGTCGCGTCAGGCAGCCCGGTGTAACCTTCACGTGCAACATCTTTGCAGGTGCTCCCACTAGCTTCAAGAGGCGTTCGATATTCAGGTGAATCGGTAGCGTGCGAAGAAGCATCAGGGTTGGGGTCTATCGGAGACTGGGTATCTGGATCCACTGCGAGCATATCAACCGGTGACGATCGAATTTCCTCGTCAAGATCGGGCTGAGTGTTTTCCCCTTCGTGCTTTTTGTGCGAAGCTTCGTTGTGATGGGCATGGCTAGGTAGCGCGATTTCAGACCTCTCCCACTTTTTATGGTCATCATGACGGGCTGTAGAGCGAGGCGCATCGGACGGAAGAGGTGGGGGAGCGTTTTGGATTTCTTTAAGTCGTTTTCGATACCTCTCTTTCTCCTTCATCGCCCTCTCGAGATCCTTGTTCAGTGCCAGCAACATTGTTCGTTGTTTGTCGACCAATTTCCATAGTTGCGCATTTTGAGATGCTGCGTGCTGCTTCTCCTTGAGTAAATGTATGATAACCGCCTCGGGAGATCCCGCAGTCGCTATTAGATTTGCAATATCTGCCGGAGTGACATTGTTGGAGTCCAGAGAAGACTTGTGAGAATGAGATGTCGAGGAGAGCGAGGAGATGGCGGAATCTATTGACGACGTCCTCGGCACCACCCTGTGACCCTTGCCCTCTGCCATTGCGGAGACATTAATGGAGTTTGCGCCTGGGAATTTGTAGAGGCCGGATGCGTAGGCGGAATTGAGCCTGGCTGTAGGAGAGGTGGAACTTGGAGCTGTGTTCTGAAGCGTGGATGCTGGTGTCCGACCGAAAGCGCCGATGCCAGGCACAGGATTCGACGAGACAGACGACAGGCTGGAGGTGGGCGAAGTGCAATTTGGTATGCCCGTTGGAGGAACCGGGAATCCCGAGTGGGTTACCAATCTCGTGGGAGATAAGGGCAACTGTGCAAGAGCAGTGTGGTCAGGGCTTGCAGTGGATCGGGACGGCTGCAGCGGTTGATCGCGCTGACGCGAGCGGAGGGTGGACGGAGCTTCAGTTGGGCCCAAGGAGCTAGCGACAGGTATTTCAGCATGTGAGATGGGGTAGTTTCTCGGGGTTGAAGCGGTTCCACCAGCGCCAGGGCGCGCGCTCAGAGGGTGGTTCGACGGCGGGAGTCTGTCGGGTGCTCTGGCTTTTGCGAATTCGGGGATCGCAGGAGAGGAGGCAGAAGTCGAGAAGTGTAAAGGGGCAGCAGGGACCACGTAAGGTTGTGAAGCAAGAGATTGGATTTCCGCATCACGGTGTTGCCGCCGTGGATGCGACATGGCTCCCTAGCACAACCATGCAGGGGGGTGGGTGGGTGGTTTTGGGCGGGGGGTGGAGAGGTTTGTCACTGGGTCTTGGGGGTTTTGCGGTGGGATTGTTCGAAGGATTGCGAGGGAGAGAGTCAGGTGGACTTCGGCTCTTGGTCAAGGGGCTTTGAATTTAATTAAAGAATCGCAGACTAACTCGACTTCATCGTAGTCTGGCCCTCTCTTGTCTGGTGATTGGCTGCCCAGAAAATTAAGTCGGCTCTCGCTGCTGTCAAATGCTGAGCGGGCCGAGTTCTCCTGCAAGAATCATCTCCCCGTCTGTCGAACTCGCTGGGCAACCTGTTTTCTTCCAGTCGAGCTTGGCCGTCTCCGTCGATGCTTTCCCTCAGCGCGTAGGCTGTGCTCGAATTCGGGCACAGCACAACCCCCCGCTGCCCGTCTACTTGGCTCGCTAACAGACTTCAGGAGCGACATTTGGTGTAGCATGAATCCTGGCCCATCATGTAACCGATGTGAGTAGCTAGCAGTCAGATCAGGACTTCATGCTCCGTGCAAAGCTCCGAGAAACCTCCGATGGTTACGTATCTGCCTCTGTCCACCACGGGCTGTGTGTGGATTGCGGGATATTAGCTGTTGTACGGAGAGGTGATTGGAGTAAATTGAGATTTTCATTTTACAGAGGTGTCTAACCTACATGACCATTTCCCTACCTCTGTGGCTGGTTATGGGTGATCATACATAACTAGCCGTTGTACTCCGTACTCCTACAAGATATATCGTATACATCGTGGCCAGGAACCCGCCCTTGCGCCCCCGTTAAAAACGATAAACCAGATCCAATACGCCTCCTGTCCGGCTTCATGCTCCCGTTTTCTTTTTTCTTTCCTTTGCTTTTCTTTTCTTTTCTTTTTTTTTCCCCTTCTTAGCCTATGCAATATTACCAGCCATTCCCATAAAGATCGCTTGAGCTGCAAGCTGGAGCGACCACAGCCCTACCTTCTTGAGACGTCGTTTTCGCGCCTGCTCGTCTACGACATCTCTTGCGAAGGCTTCGTATGTCTAATCACACGCAACATGTTAACAGAAACAAGATGCTCAGGGTCCAAAACAAAAAGTGGAAGACTCACCTCTGCCGACAGATCATCCATCAGTCCGCTGTCGAATATAGTCCAGCTCCCATCAAAGTCGCTCACTCGTTTGACAAGCCGGCATTGGATGGGAATGAAAGTACGCTTGGAGTTTATATAAGCCACGATCGGCCGGATGAGCGCATTGTTGATATAGGAAAGATCCCGTGTGAAAAGAGGAACAACCGCTCTCACATTGTTTAGATGGATTCTGAGATCGGTGACGACAAATCTCTTGTCATTTTTGCTCGCAGCAGACAGGAGGTTGGCGGTGCCATCCTCCACGTTGGTAGGCAGAGACTCCGCCAAGGACTGGTATCGGTTGGATGTTACCGTTGCCTCCAGGCGGTCATAAAAATCCGCCATTACCTTGGCCAAACTCTCGTCGTTTTCAGCTGGAAACATGATGTCGGCAACAATGTCAACGTTTCCTTCGTGGATCCACGAGAAGGGGCCTTCAACACCTCGGTTGAGATGGTCGATGTTGAGTCCATCAATCCGAATTCGACTATGCTTCTTCCACGGGCTGGGTTTCCCATTCTCTTCCACTCCGTTATTCAATTGCGCCCCAGTGTAGCTGTGTGTCTGTCGGGGGTGTATGGTAAACAACGAGTTGTCAAATGACCCAGACATAATGCTTGCAGATAAAAAGTCGTAAAATAGCCACTGGCGCCTCAGCTGCGGCAGATGGCACGTAAATATGCTCACGGGAAAAGGCCTGAAGTTGTTAGGTTGGTAGACTGTGACTAAAACATCCTCCATCCGGAAAGAATCGATTTCGAAATCCCCTGGATTGTGTTCGTGGCGGTAGGACTTCGGATCTATGGGTTCATCTGGCCAATATACATGGGTCCGATCAACAACGCCCCGTATTCCCTTCACTTCTACATCCCGCAACAGGCCCTTGCCGTTGAACCACTTTGTAAATGAAAGAGTAACGTTCACGGTATCAATCGTGACGTCAAATTGGGTATAGTTTGTATCTTCTTCTTCGCCGCCGTAGTCTTCTCGCTGCTGGACGGATGGAACGATGCTGTGGAGAGCCGCCGCGGCCGCTGTTTTCGACGAACCTTTACTTACATTCCCACCGCCTTGACCAGGCCTTCTCGAAACAAACACATTTTTGAAAGAAATAACGCCGTCCCCCCATTTTGGTACAATTGCTGATTCGAAAACGACCTTAATTCCAGAAGATTTCGTCAAGTAATTGCCGACCCATCTGGCTAAAGTTTCTGCATTGAAAGAGTTAGCAGTTTTACTTAATCCATACGGAAAGGAAAAAGGGGGGGAAGGGTTCTCTAACCTTGTGCAAATACAGTATTAATAGCGAATATAATCAAAGAAAAGAAAGTCGTCGTGCCCAGGAAAATCCACAGCACATGACCTAAAAGGACCCAAGAGAAAAAAGCGCCAATTTCGTCGATATTAAACGGCCGCACGCTCCGTATAGAAAACCACTTGAATCGTATCTTTAACCGCGACCAAAACCCAGTTGCGGCTGCTAGCAGTTCTTCCCTTGTTGGACTCCGGACGTGAGAGAACCGGTCTATCAGGTATATGTGGTGTGAATTCGGAGTATGTTGCTGAGAACCACCCTTGAAAGCTTCAGTGCGATGGGGTTCTGCTTCTGGATCTGACTTTGCGCTGCGCTGGGACGGTTCTTGGGAACGGTTCGTGGCATCATCTTTGCTCGACTTTTGCGACGCAAAATTCTCTTCTGATGTGTGTAGATTCCGTTTCCAGGCGTAGAGGATTGGGGTGTATATTTTCCGGCTATCTCTAAACTTGGTATGTCTTACTCCTAGCTGTCTTGGGATGAAAAATGCGAACTGTGCGGGCGACTTGGTATTTGCGCTCATGCGATTGAAGCCAAAGGCCGCATAATTTAGCCTAGAATTTCTGCATCCGACAGGCGTTGGAGTAGCTGTTGTCCCCCGCGAAGAATAATTGCGCCTTGCCAGAGCCGTCTGTCGACTCGATGAGCATGTTGGGCCCGGTTGTCCGGTGCTTGGAAAAAATTGAGCAGTGGATCTCCATGTCGTGCCAAACAGACTGCGTCCTATATGTCTGGACATATCTTTCGTGGCATCCTGGATCACCTGGTTGAGTAGGATATCTCCATATGTCACTTTGATTAAACGACAACAGGAGAGCACAAGCCTGACAGCTTCCCAGAATCTTGCTGCGTGCAATACGGAGTAGTGATCGTCAATCGGCAAGCTTGGAAGTTTTGAAGCTTAAGTCCGGGCCTGTGCAGGGTGTGTGTTTGCTCGGTTTGCATGTCAATTTTCCCACACCAACAGAAATCCTCGAAAGATAAGATCTAAAAAATCACTGATAAAGGCGTGTTTGCGACCCGGCCGTTAGCTCTCCCTTGAGACTTGTGTTGTTGAATCCGATAACAGCATATTGCTTCTAAGAAAGAAATATTTACAAATACCCTGTTGTCAAACCATGCCCGCTCCAACAAGTCGTTTGAGAGCGCCCGAGGAGCTTGGGAAGAACGCCGCCGCATCAGCTCCGCAGATAAACCAAAGTACGTTTCCATCCGTCTATACTACAGACCTACCTGGATAGCTGCTTATAATGGCCTAGATGAGGATGATGTGTTAATAGACTCTTCCGCGCCCTTGCCGGAGATAACAACAACCTCCCAAGATGCAGACACCGACATGCACGTTGACGAGGAAGGACGGCCACTATTCACCCCTATAACAGCGACAGACGGCGCGTATCGTATAGAGAATCGGAAGGTGCCCGTTCCGCCTCATCGAATGAGCCCGCTGAAAGCTGCATGGCCGAAAATATACCCCCCGCTCGTAGAGCACCTAAAGCTACAGGTCCGAATGAATATTAAAAGCAAGGCCGTTGAATTACGGACCTCGAAAAATACTACCGACACCGGCGCATTGCAAAAAGGAGAAGATTTCATCAAGGCGTTTACCCTTGGGTTTGACGTAGATGATGCGATTGCGCTACTCAGATTGGATGACTTGTACATTGAAACATTTGAAATAAAGGACGTCAAGCCTTTGAACGGTGAGCATCTGGGGCGAGCAATTGGCCGTATCGCTGGTAAAGATGGAAAAACGAAATTCGCCATCGAGAATGCTAGCAGGACTAGAGTTGTCCTTGCGGACCAAAAAATCCACATTCTCGGGGGATTCCGAAACATTCGCATTGCTCGGGAAGCAATTGTTAGTTTGATTCTGGGCAGCCCCCCGGTAAGTAACTAGGATAATTCTATCTCCGTATTACCCTATTCTCTTTTTCGACTAATAAGAATGGATTGACAGGGCAAGGTATATGGGAACTTGCGGACCGTGGCCTCACGGATGAAAGAACGGTTCTGAAAAGGTTCGATTTTTTAAACAGATACCAAAGGCGTTTTGGGCTTTTTACTTTTCGAGATGGGATTTTACTTGGCGAACGAATTTGCATGGCATACGGTTTTACAAATAATGAATAGAAACGCACGTTGCGAAATCTTCTAGTGAGGTCCGGAAATAAAAGAAATTCAAATTGATAATCATCTCAAAGAATCTAAGAGCCAGCCCAATACCTTGACGCCATAACTCAACTCTAGTCCTGCTTCAGCGGGGTAATCACTTCTTCTATTCCGTCCGCCGTAATAATCATCGTTTGCAGCCCATCGCCAACTTCGATGTGCCTCTCCACAGCGCTGGTAAAGGCATCGCGAACCAGTTCCAGAGCAGTAGCTCGAGACAGAGGCTCCGGTGTCACCTGAACCAGCTCACCACCGTGTTCAGCACTTTTAACGTACTGGTTCTTAAGGTTCACTTGATTGTCCAGGAAAGGCATAATCAAGCTAGCAGCAGCGCCTGCCGCCCGACAGTACTCTCGTTCATAAGAGCCAACAGGATCATAACTATAGAGAGCACCTTTGCCATCTTCATCTAGGCCACCTAATATCGCATGAACGTAGTAAGGAAAGAATCGTTTCGAGTATAAGATGGTCGATAAGCGCTGGGCGCATGCCTTGACGGACATCCGCTTTCCATGGTGGTACTCATACATCTTAACAATCGCATCGAGCCGCTCTTTCAAAGCCTGGCCATCGGCCGAGAATCCGACAACGGAGAGGATGATATGGCCCCCTTCGCCTGTCTCATCCGCACCAATCTTGAATATCTTTGGAGCGAACCGCGTGTTGATATTGTATCCGGAAACTGATCTAGTGTCGCCAGCTAGGATCGCGAAATCTGGCCCCGTTATTCCCAATGTGGAGCCACCATTGTCGGTGTATCTGTGTATTGTCAGGTAACCACTGAGAAGAGTACCCAACCCAGGAAGCTTACGGGTAAAAGCCATGCTGTTTGTTGGACCCAGACTCCTTCGAAAATGAATAGCCAATGGCTTCTGAGGGTCGCGACGTTTCCAGGAAGGTAGTCATCATGAAGTAACGACTTCGGTTTGCCTTGGACGACGGTGCTAATGGGGGTTATCTGGAGGATTCAGAAGGGAGGAATAGATATATTTGAGCAGAATACGGTGTTGATAAAAGTTGGGAACAGTGGCCTTCCCGTTAGAGGTAAATATGGATTTTTCTGGCTTCGTTGATGAATGATGAGAGCTCCTCGTTTGACGATGAGGCATCTGAGGATGAACGGCCTACCAGCAAATGGACGCGAAGCTCCTGCTGCCTCCCAAGCCCAACAAAATAACACGCCGCTAACGAACGACTAGATTACGTAATGATATAGCTCCCACCCACTCTACCTGTCTTGTTCTGCACGCCCCTGCGAGACTGGTTGACGATTCGTGGTTATGTTCAGCCTTTAAGGTACTATATATCTGGCTGATACTATGCTCGGTCTTGGGGCATATGGGAGCAGTAGCGAAGATGAAGGCAACGTTCCCCAGCCCTCTCACAAGTCCAAGGTAGGACCTACTGACCACATCTGGTGGAGAGTAACTTATTCACCGTCTCTCTAAGCAGCATGAGAATGAACATTCTCGACAGATAAAGGGTCAGCGGTCCCGGCTCAAGGTTACACTTCCCCACGAGATTGCTCACTGAAGCAAAAGATCAGGAAAACGAACGCATCCGACCTTCTAGCATTCACTCCACGGAGGACGTGAGCGGCCCCCTTATGGGTCCCTTTCAGCCGTCTGAGCAGCTAAATTCGACCGAAGAAGCCTCCAGCTTGTCTCATCAGCCGGTTACGTTGGCTGCTCAGCGTTCCCTCATGCGAGATATGACGCTACCGCCATACCCGAATCTTGATATTCCTCCATCACCTCCAGGATCCCCTCCTCCGGCCTCCAGCCAAAAATTTACTCATTTTTTATCCCTGAAAAAGCAAGACATCCATTTCAACGAAAAACTTGCCTCATCCTCATCCTTGAAGAATCCAAGCCTCTTCTCGAGCTTAAGGCAACATGCTGGACTTGAGGAGATGTCACAGTATGGAACTTCTCTCGACCACAGTATATGGGATGTCACTAGCCTTCCCCACTGGGGATATAAAGAAGAGTTGCAAAGAGCGCAGCAGGAAATTCGCTCCAAAATTACCGAGAAAAAAGGATTGACGCCACGGGCCAGTGTCGACTTCGTCGGGGCATCTAAAGAGATGAATCGGCATGACAACCCGGCAGGTAGAACGGTGAAACCCAGCGCAGTTGAACATCTGATGACTGATCTGGACAAGGAGGAATCGGATGTTCTAGGCCAAGGCCGGCGGTGAGTAGAATCACCGCCGAGTCGAATACATACTCCAGGCGCCCAATTGTACGGAATTCTTACAACCTTGGGGCATTGTTCAAGGAAGTAAGGGATATGGTTAGTACGTGCTGAAACAATGGCCAAGCGCTAAGGGAGACTCCTACTATAATATGTATTCTCCCCGGTGTATGTAATGGATTGTCAGCTTAGTTTCAAATGCATAATACGTTTGGTACATACCGAGCAAGTATGAGATACATAACGGCATAATGAGTTATCATTAGTTAATTTACAAATTCGCGTGGTTGGTCGAACTAACTAGCTAGTTACATAAGCAGAGAGCTGGAGCTCCCTGCTCGATTGGGTTCCAGGCAGATGGGGATGACACCTCTCTCTGGTGTTCCTGGAATACCTCCTTCGTACCAACTTCACTTCTCATCCAGCTCCATCATTTACACTACCACTTGCTGCCCTAGATATAACCTTGCTCTTTGGTCGTTATTTCTACTTTTTGACGCAATTACCTTGCCCACCTGGCCAAACAATCTTTTCTCTCAATCATGAACCATTATCCGGAAGCGTGGGGACGGGTTGGTTGCCTCTATCAGCCTCTTTGTTGGGGATATGTCAAGCTGACTGAACTACCCTGGTAGCCAAGGAACGATGTCTACGGGTCTTATGATCATTCATATCTTCAGAGTATGGGGCCTCAAACCCATACACAGTCTCCTATAGTGACAGGAACGTCTGTCGTCGCTGTCAAGTTCGATGGAGGAGTTGCAATAGCCGCTGATAATCTAGGTTCGTATTGTTTACGGCCCCAGTTATTTCGGCTTATTTAATTTCGTGACTTTTGGATATCTCAACAAGAAATGTTTATCTAACTGCCAATCTTCCGCGCAGCTTCTTACGGCTCCCTGGCTCGGTTCCAGGACGTGAAGCGCCTCCGGGTTTTTGACAATTCGTCCGTTGTTGGCTTCGGTGGTGATGTTTCCGACATGCAATACATTGATCGCCTCTTAAACTCTCTTGACATCAGAGAGAATTACTCCTCATATGGCCAGCACACACTTAACGCTAAAAACCTGCATACATACCTCTCGAAAATGCTGTATAGGCGACGCTCCGAGTTCAATCCTCTGTGGAACCACATCCTGGTGGCTGGGTTCGATCAAGATGGGAAACCTTTCTTAAGCTCCGCCGATTTGCTTGGTACAACCTTTTCGGCGCCTTCATTGGCAACCGGATTTGGTGCGCACTTGGCCATACCAATCCTGCGAAGATTATTTCCAGAAGGTACACCGATCGAAAGCATCACCAAGGAGCAGGCAGTAAGTGCCTTGAAGGAGTGTATGAAGGTGCTATACTACCGCGATGCAAGAAGTTTGGACAGATATTCCATTGCAGTTATTACCAAAGATGGTGTAGAGTTGAAGGAAGACGAACAGTTAGAACATCAAAGCTGGGGATTTGCAAGTGGGATAAAGGGTTATGGCGCACAGGTTGAGTGATTGGATGCTACGGCGCCTCGTTGATGTAGCCATTTTTGCTAGGTTTGACATGATATCCATGAATACATAACAGAATAAGGACTGGCCTAGGCAGATCACTGGTCAAGATAATACAACATAAGTGGTTTAACAACGGTCAGCGGACATAAAATTGGATACCACAACTCTTCACAACTTGGCTTGAGGCTCGCTAAAGACAACTTTGTTGCTACATGTTCCGACACCTTCAAGCGAAACTTCTACTTGGTCTCCGTCCTTCAGCCAAAGCTGGGGTTTCCTGCCCATACCGACTCCTTCAGGTCTAAAAATGCGATGCTGTTAGCTCCCGAGGGCTAAGATTCAGTAGAGAAGCAAGGGATGAACTCACGTTCCAGTAAAAATCAGATCGCCAGGTAGGAGCGTTGTACCCCGGGACAAGAAAGAGACGGTTTTAGCCACGCCAAATATCATGTCCTTTGTGCTCGAATTCTGCACAACTTCTCCATTGAGTTTGGTGGAAATGTTTAACGCATTTGGATCCCGTATCAAGTTTGCAGAGACGATTCCGGGGCCAAACGGAGCCCATCCATCGAACCCTTTTCCAAGCCCCCACTGACCTGCTCCACGTTTAAGCTGCCAGTCTCGATGAGAGACATCGTTGCCAACCGCATAACCTAGAACGTAATCCAGGGCACGAGATTCAGGGACATTGTACGCTTCCTTTCCGATTACAATGACCAATTCGCACTCATAATCTAAGCCCACCCCTTCTTGCGCAATTGCTGGAACGGGGATATCTTCTGTCGGCCCAGTTGCGGCAGTGACAGGCTTGAAAAAGAGCACGGGGTATGTAGGAATCGCCATATTTGCTTCTTTGGCATGCCGGGCATAGTTGAGCCCCAAGCAACGTATCGTTTTGATGTCATTGAGAGCAAGGGGGGCCAAGAGCTTCTTTACATCGGCAACCTGTTCGGTGACGTGGTGTTGGCCGAATATGTCCCCTGTGATGACACGGGCTTTGTTTGCTCTAGCAATGTCGGTGGCTCCTGTGGGGAGAATAGCATCACCATAGTAGACCTTTCCATCTTTTGCAAGGAAGCGAACCAGGCGCTACACCACATATGGTTTATCATCAATAAACCATTAGCTTTCTGTTTCTCCCCGAGTTGGACCAAAAAGAAAAAAGAAGAACGAAAAATCAACGAGGCGTGATGATAATATGCAGATATGTATGCACAGACTGTGAGCTACAGGAAGATATCACCGACGCGTACGCATACTATGAAAAGTATAATGTGCCACTTACAGAGAAAGAAGCCATTTTGATCACTTGGATATTGCGGCACAAGGGAAACTGCTTTTGATCTTGAACGACTACAAGAGAAAAAATGCCAACAAGCTGCAAACCGGCGAGGAGGTCGCCTTTCACACGCTTATGGCTCCATTCAGTCTACTGTCAAATGTTATTCCGTAAATACTCCTCCGTGCCGATTTTGGTGGACTCGGCCGGGAAATCGGTAACTTGAGACGGGGACGGGGCAGGAGTCAAGCTGCAAATGCTCCACCGAAGAAGCTCAGCTTCGGCGCCATGCATTTTCTTGATTCTGTTCCGGCCAAGCGTTACTTACCTCAAGAAACACTCCAGATCGTCATCCTCGACCGAACTAGGGCCATGAGATTGTCTGGTCTACAGCGCCAGGTTCTGGCTTTATATCGTCAATGCTTGAGGGAAATCAGAAAAAAACCCGTGGTAGGTGATCATATATTGAACTACACCCAAAGAACTCCGTACGCCGCTATTCCGACTAGCTAATCACAAAGCCTCAGGGTTCACAAGCAAATTTCAAGCGCTATGCCAGGTAATTAATCAATCGACTCTTTACTTCGTACAGATTAGCTATCTCACAGAAGGGTTGACGGGAAAACCCCCAGGCAAGAGTTTCAGAAGAATCGAGACGTGAACAGGAAAGATTTCGCTACCATCGAGTACCTCTTACGCAGAGGGCAAAAACAATTGGAAATGTATGCTTCTCCAGGAATCCGAAATATTACCCCGTGAAAGATTGTCGCTAGGAGGAACCGATGGGCAACGTGATTTGGATGGAAATTGAGCTCTGTTGAGCGGATGAGGGCCCGATCGATTAGCTTTCGGCAACAGCGGGAGTGGCTTCTGAGGAAAAGTCCATTCACCCCATGCCTGAATGAAAGCTGTATTCATTCAAGCAGACTGAATAGATCAACTTATGATCGGTCTATATTTGAGGAGCCCTAGGGAATTGCATCGCATAGGCTCAATGAAAGCCTGTGTGGAGGAGAATATGGGAGGAGGATAAAACCAATGCTGCTTCACAACCGCAGGATTTGAGTTCGTCTGGGGACGAAAGATAGTATTTCAAACACCACTTTCATTTATCCAACAGTTGGTCCGTTTCCCTACAGGTCAATGCAATTTTACTTCTCGAATACGGGAAAGGAATAAGTGTCCAAAACTCGGAAATTTCCAGCAAATAATAACTAACTATAGACAATTATATTAAATAACAAAATGCTAATTAATCCGAGAGAAAGTACTCCGTATTGCATTTTAATCTTCACCGAAAATACCGGCGCTCAAGCTTCATGGGGTCAAAGGCCACAATAGCTTCCTAGTTCCACCAAGTCGCCCGACCAACGGGACGCAGAGAGTAAGGACACGCTAGTTCGGATGGCCGCATGGCAGCCCAGCGAGCTCGTCGGTCCAAACTTACCCGGCCTGATACAAAGCTGGCCCAGCCACAATGTGTGGATTGATCATAGAGAGGTTAAATGGCGATAGAACAGGATCACTATCTGTAACGGCAATAAACATGGTCCCGTTCACGGCCGGATCGCCAGCATACGTCTCCAAATTGGGTTGAATAGTCGTTCCCATGTTCATCCCCCCGCCTGTTTCATTAGACTGTAGAGTCAAGGGTGAATAGGTAACATTGAGTTGCGTCACCCACACGACGAATTTGGGATCTCCCGCATTTGACGACGTTATATAGCTGTTGTTTGGGCCAACAGGCTTTCCAGGGGTTTCCCACATTAATTGAACCTCACGCCCAGGCCAAGAAAGCGGCATGGATCTATTCTGAGTAATGGCTGGGCCACAGTCATTGGATTTATCAGTGGCATTGAGGCAGGATTCTGATGGGGAGAGGTGCGAGTTTCTTAGTGTGTTCATGCCGGGGCCAAGTGTTTCGTTAAAGCCGGCCGAACCGTTCAAGCGAGCCGGGTTCGGTTGATTAAGGATATATAGAGCCGGGAAGTTCTGCCAGACGAGTCTTGTCTGACCTTCTGGGCACCAACTAATGAATGGTGCCATCAATGTCCAAGCCCAAGATTGAGGAACTCCAACTTCAAACCAGACCGGCATTGGAAAGAGACCATCAAACTGCCTGAAAATCATCTGCTGGCGGGCTTCTGTAGTGATAGACTGGAGTAGCAAGGTTGCTGCTTCCCGGGAATCTAAATGTTCGAGGAAGCCATATACCCCCGATTCTCCAAATCGAGTGAGCTTCTGGCTAAAGTCGACATATTCGCGGACCGTTGTGAAGGGATAATTATAGGCACACAGCTTAGGGGCCTGAGCTCCCAGCATATTGCTGATGAGTGTAGCATGCCCGCGCTCCTGTTCTGCCATGAATTGGATCAGGTATCGGTCTTCGGCTGTAAGTCCAGCCGCAACGAAATCTTCATCTGAAAAGGCAGCAAGTCCATAATAGAATAGATCGAGCTCGATCCATTCCTGATACAGTGCAAGGGCCTGGCGGTCGTTAAATCATGCATTTGAGTTAGAATGAATTATTACGCTTACCAGCGACTGGTAATCGAAATCGCTTCTAACATTGTAGACAGGTTCTGTGCCATCAGTTCCTATGCCGCCAGCGGGCGCATAGGGAACCGGCTGAGGGGCATGGAGTTGTCCATCGCTTGGGTAACTCGTCGCATTGGGGTTTGGCGGCTTGTGAGCAATGCTAGACGCGAGCACGCTTGTGCTCAAGGCGCCAGTCGTCGTTGGTGTCCCTGTGAAGGGCCCATGGCTAGAATGGATCGTGTCGGTTCTAACTGGCGGCGGAGCAGCGACAGCAGAATTGAGGTATGCTAGCAGAATAGCAATATATGCGGTGTAGGGCTTCATCCTGAACCTCTTATCAAGTGTATTTCATCAAGTTTCAAGGGACAGAAAAAAGGGGGGATCGGGACAAGCTTAAATATATAGATGAACTCGCCATAGATCAGGTATCTAAGGGTGACGCAAATGTCATAAAACCTTAAATTTGATTTCTTTCCCTTCCATAAATAGTGGTTCCGTCCTCTTCCACCTGAGCAAGGCACTGAGAAATACAGTTTTTCTCATCGCTGTTGTTTCCATTTCCTCGGGCGGTCTGGATTTATGGCTTGTGGACAATGGCGTCATATGGGTGATCCTAGGTATTGATAGAACCATTTCTCAAATCAGGTCTGACCAGTTTTGATTCCCAAGCAAATGACGAACAGCAGCGAGGGCGGATCCGTCATCCTCCGGCCCATAAATTGGACCAGGCAGGGCGGAGGACGAGAGAGACCAACGAGGCTAAATATCGATAAGTTTTGGGGTAATATTCAGTTTTTCATGAGGTCACCCTCAAAATCTTCATTCAAGCTTTCCTGTATTCTGTACAGAGCACAATGAACTGAGTTCAGTGTGATGAATGGGGGATTTGGGACCACTATTCCTCTTGAAGCTAGGCACTTAGCTCCATGTAAAACTATCAAGGAAAGCTGAAATAGCTCTTAGAGGTCTTCCAGGCTCTGTGTAGATTTATTCACATTTGTGAACTCGAAATGGTGCCACAGTGGACCAATCTGCTATACAAACACATGAGTAGCTGTACGAGAATCTGAACAGATCCCTTATGATGATTGCTAGGATAGCACCCGGAAGAAGCAAGGTCCGTTTGTAAAATGCTTGAAGGTAGATAAGGAACGCTTTTCCGATTGGACAGAGGGTAATTTGAGCAACGAATGTTGTCCGGATGAAGGGATCCAATCTGGCCTTAGCTGGGGGACTGCTGCACATCGGCAATGGATATTTACTGAGATAAATAGCCTCTGCCAAGCCTGCTTTCGTTTCCATTTCTCAAAGCCGAGCGGCGAATACATCTAACTACAAAGTAAAGGTGTTCGAAATTCCACGGATGATTATAAACCTGGATTGTATTAGTAAACGGTGTTCCTATGAGTGGATGGGGGAAGGAAACTGCACTTTTCCCGAATGCCCATTTCATAAGAGGACAACAAAGGCATGTTGTAGCATTAAATTGGGTGGGTTCGCTTTATTCCTGTATACATGAATGGGTGGAAGGGACATGCCACATGGCATTGGAGAATACCTATCGTTGCTGTTTATAAAGACCCAACAAATTCAAAAATGGCCTTCCGAGTAAGCCCACGAGGAAACCTGCTTCACTGTAGGTGTGGCGCGTCCACCCGCTGGTATTCTAAGCCATCCATCCGGTGCCAGCCGATGCTCCTAGTAACCGCCGTGGCTCAATTCTCATTTGCCGTCGGCAATTTTTGCGAAATCCTCTCGTTGCTGGCAACGGAGCGATAAGACACGAAGCAATATTTGGCACGTGCCCTGTTGGCCTTGCTCAAACGGCCGACGATGCTGTACCAGTATTGCCATCCGGGGGGATATCATCGATAACTTGGCGGAGTCCAAGAAAAACACTACTCTTCATCTGATGAAGCTTCCATGGGGACATCACTTTCATCTTCTTCCATCGGGGCCTCTCCCTCACTTTCTTCCTCTCTTGGTCTCTTAACTCCGTGTGGTACTTGCTGCTTCGACTCATCCACATTTCGGGCCTCAGTCGTTGCTACTGCTGAAGGGGGCGCGTTAAAGATAGATTTCTGGAGATCGGTAGAGATTCCGGACTGTTCCGGCGCAGTTTGAGGTGCATAAGTGCCGCGAAGCTTTGCAATTATATCAGAGTTTCCTTTTGCATAGACAATTTTCTAAAGCTCGGTCGTAAGCTGAATCGTCCATTCTCAATTTGATGAAGGCGAGGTTGTGGTAACTGACCATCTCTTTTCCGAAAAAGTTGAACCCTTGTAGGGCTCGCATGGCTTGTGTGCTGGTCTGGATGTCCCTGAACACAACGTGGGCTTGACCCCGCATCTTCTCTGTTTTCATGGCTACGACGTCGAGAACTGTTCCATAGGTGGAAAATAAAGTGTAAAGGGCGAGCCTTAGGTCAAGCTTTCGCAATTTGTCGGGCAGGTTCGTGCAGTATAGACTTCGCACTGTCAGCACTGGTCGTGGGAGAAAGGGGACTGGAATATAGCTTACGTTTGATTTGGAACCCCGACGCCTATCGACGCGGATTTGGTAGCCATATTGACAATAGAGTCGACGAGCTTGAAAGCCCTAAATCAATGCACGATCTAGCCGTCTGAAGCTGGGCTAAGCACGCAGCTGAAGCACTGAAGCAACTCCTCTTCGTCGCAACCAGTTTTGTGCTGACTCAGCGGGTGGCCTTGTTGCACGTGACTCATACCCGCCCGCCAACCCGACAACTACGTAAGTCAGGGCAGCTGTGCAGACACGCGGGCACCTTCAACATCCGTTACCGAAACGCATAGGCATTCTGCTGCGGTAGTAGAGAGCTACTCCTATCGCAAATCTTTTCGAAATGACGTCCCCCGAGGTTCATCACCTCTTTCACCGTCCAATTGCAGATCACTCATTTTCTGCCGACAAAGATATCCTCGCTGTCGCCAAGGAGAATGTCGTAGATCTCTACCAGAGATCAGGTTCCAAGTTTGCTTTGACCGACGAATTGAAGGGCCATGACAAGACAGTAACCGGCGTGGACATTGCTCCACGCAGTGGAAGGATCGTTACCTGCTCTCAAGGTAATCCTGATCCCCCCCCCACCCTTGTGGGCTGCTTTTGCTACACATCCCCGTTGGCGGCCTATTACTGACAATGGTCTAGACCGAAATGCGTATGTTTGGGAGCGCACCTCGTCCGGCTGGAGGCCCACGCTTGTACTGCTGCGTATCAACAGGGCAGCCACTTTTGTTCGATGGTCGCCGTCCGAACAGAAGTTTGCTGTTGGGTCCGGCGCACGTGTTATCGCTGTGTGCTACTTCGAAGAGGAAAATGACTGGTGGATTTCGAAGCATTTGAAGAAACCTATTCGTAGTACAATTACTACGTTGGCATGGCATCCCAATTCCGTTCTCTTGGCTGCCGGATCGACCGATTCTCATGCTAGAGTGCTGTCGAGCTACATTAAAGGCGTCGACGAGCGACCGCAACCAACAGCATGGGGAGAACGCTTGCCATTTAACACCGTCTGTGGAGAGTTTTTGAATGATTCTGCTGGTTGGGTTCATGGTTGCGCGTTCTCACCTAGCGGGGATTCCCTGGCGTTTACATGCCACGATAGTAGCGTCACTATTGTCTATCCAAGTGCTCCAGATCAGCCTCCGCGAGCGATGTTAAACGTTAGCACCCGGTTGCTGCCATTCATGTCTTTGATCTGGAATGGAGAAAATGAGATTATAGCGGCGGGCCATGTGAGCTAATTGGACACCCTTGGTCATGGTCGCACACTAACCAGCTTTTAGGACTGCGAAGTGTATCGGCTTAGTGGTGACGAGCGAGGTTGGAAATTAACGGGGTCTGTGGGGACGAAGTCCACCCAGGGTACTGGCGCTGCCCGCGAAGAATCTGCGCTGAATAAGTTCCGGCAGATGGATTTGAAGGGCAGTACTAAAGACGACTCGAGACTTGAGACATTGCATCAGAATACCATAAACACTATACGTGTTTATGAAGAGGCAGGAGAGACTGTGAGAAAGTTTAGCAGTATGTGATTCCGCACCCACTTTGGTTTTTAGGGAGCAAGTTGCTGACCACATTCAACAGCCAGCGGTGTTGACGGACGAGTTGTAATCTGGCAGCTTTAGTCAATGACAGTACATATATCACAATCTACCAAGGCGTGCTTTTCCAGTAGAACATACAGCTATGCAGGCTATAGCTATTCTGTACTCTTCATGCAGATTCCTCTATTCTTTTCCCTGCAAAACGGTGTCCTCACAAGTCCCTCGTGGGTGCCATGAGGCTGAAACAAAGTTTAGGGTTTAGCTTGTTGGTTGGCTCGCCAGCCAAATTAACTAGTTAACCTTAATCTGACCAGCTCCACAAGTTCCCGACACCTCTTGGCAGTTTCAACGTCACGAGGCCCGTGCTGGGTGATCTTTCTGTCACACGTTGCTTGTCCGGGTATTTGCATATATGCATGCTCTTGCCATCTTATCCTCTGTAGAGCTAAAGTATCTCCGATGATAATTATTATGACAAGCAGATATTTCATATCTCATCGATAGGATCTAGCCACGTTCCTCTGATGCAGTAGGGACTCTTCACCCTAACGTGGAACCCATGACTCGAGCGCGGCCAGGTCATTCAATCTCAATGACCTATTATTTTGTTCTGGCGACGGTTCTCTTTCTCTCAGCTCTTGCCCAGCCGTATGACGGTACTAGCAGGCGGGTTTCACAGAAGCTATTTGACTCCCTCGAAGAACTCGCGCGCATTGTCGATATAACTTATTGCGTGGGCACCACCGGAATATACAAGCCATTCCGGTGTGCTGGGAGATGTAAGGAATTCGAAGGGTTTGAGCTGGTCAAAGTACGCGTGATCTTGTCCCTTAATGCTGCAGTACCTATCTGATGCCTTAAAATTGTTTTGATAGACCTGGAATACCGGCCCTTTGCTCTCGGACTCATGTGGTTACTTAGCGCTTTCCCATCCTCCCTGGCCGAAACGGATTATTCTTGCTTTCCGCGGAACATATTCGATAACTAACACCATTGTTGATCTATCCGCCGTGCCGCAAGTTTACGTCCCGTATCCGGAACGGCCTGGACGGGATGACGGTGGGGACAGGTGCCTAAACTGTACCGTACACGCCGGCTTTATGACCTCCTGGGTTAATGCCCGTGCTGCAATATTGGGGCCACTCAGTGATACCTTTGCCAAATACCCAGACTACCAACTTGTTGTAACTGGACACTCTCTTGGCGGTGCCGTTGCTGCCATTGCAAGTTTGGAACTGCGTGCACGCGGCTGGAACCCGCAGGTTACCACATTTGGAGAGCCAAGGATAGGGAATCGCGCGCTGGCAGAATATTTGAATGATCAGTTTTCGCTGCCTACTGATAGCTTACCTCCAAGTTTCGTGAGGAATGAAGAAAAGAGTTCTCCATCTTTTTGTCGCGTGACCCACGCAGATGACCCCGTTCCCCTCCTCCCTCTCTCAGAATGGGGCTATTATCCACATGCGGGGGAGATATTTATTTCAAAGCCAGACTTGCCTCCTTCCCTGGATGATCTTCGCTTTTGCATCGGAGACGCCGACCCAAGATGCAGTTCACATCAGCGGTTTTTGGGTCTCGAACAGGTGGCGCAGTTGTTTAACTCAGATGATAAACTTTACGAACACGAGTCGTGCCTTGAGAGAGTGCACGTCGAGAAGTATCAAGATCAATACTCCATGTCTGTACCAATGGCCTACAAGCCTTGGGATTTGATCTTCGCCCACAGAGATTATTTCTGGAGAATTGGTGTCTGCCTGTCTAAGCCAGAGAATTGGATTCCCGGGTGGAAAGATCCGAAGTGGCCGTGGAAATGGAAATGGAAGTGGCCATGGCAAAGCAGAATTTAAGGCGTTTTCGATGATAAACCTTTGCTTGCTATTTAAATTTACTGTTTGGCGTTTAGACAATGGAAATATGGGCTCAGCGGTTCAGTTTCTGAGTGGTGATGGGTCTTGGAATTTCTTGGTATGTTGCCTGAGTACATTTAATATGTGGTTAATATGTGTTTTGGCACTGCACTGGCTCTTATAGATGGATACCACATTCTTGTTCGCTATTATATAATTTTATCATCCTGTGAAATAAATTATGAATCACATCAGAATCAAGCAGTACATGCCAGAATGTAGAAAGAGGAACAAAAGCAATGGGTAAAGGAGAACGCAATGGAGTGAACGCTAACTATGGAAACCAAGGCAAGGAAAAATGCTTCATTCACCATCACATCACTTCATAATGAAGCCCTAAGCAGTAACTTTAGTGCAAAATGAAGCCGCGGAAACTTTAGTCTCCTGTTACCTTCCCAGCTCTAAGCTTGGAACAATAACAGGGCCATACTTAATAACATTCCCGAATGCTCCCTCGCCTTGTACCAAAAAGTCCACGGCGAGACTCAACTTAGGGAACGCACCCGGCGGGCTGCCACCATGACCTTGCTGTGGCTGAGGCATGCCAGTATACGCGGCATTCACAGAGTCGGGATCATATCCCACGATGGCAACGTAATTCCTTCGCCCCATTAACTTCCGGTGCTCACGTTGTTGGCCAGCAACATCGGTTTGGAAGAGCTCCATCATATCTTCTTTGGTGTCAGTAGGTTGGGATGGAGTGGATCGGTGGCCATTTGGCGGGACATATAGTGGCTTGTTGTTGCCGTGCAATAATTTCAAAATATATGAAGGTGGCGAAGCGTTAACAACGGAGGAGGAGATGATTTGATACATAGTTTTGTGGTCAGTAGGATGAGAAGGGTCATGAACTAGCCCGGCTCCGCAGAGGTTGACAGAACCGGAGAGGAACGTCATTCGGATGCTACGTTGATGAGCAATGCCTTGGAGGGTGCGAATGAGGTATGTTCTCTCAAGATCCTGTACCCGGGTTAGCAATAGCACGATACCATTTAAATAGCCATGTGCCTGAGGACAAACCTTTGAATCATGTGTCCATTGGTCTCTCAACTCGTCGAGGAAGTCGATATCTCCAAATGGACTCAGTACACTACCCATCAAACCAGACTTTCCCACAGCTCGCTTCACTGAATTGAATCCAGAACCGACAGCTCCCTTGGCACCAACAACACCCGCAACAGAGCTAGTCACTTTCCCTAACATATTATACGCACCAGTAACAGCCTTCTTGCCAGTTGCAACGGTTTGTGCGAGGTGTTCAGCAGTGTCAAGGCGCGGATATACGAGGGGCACTGAAATCATCCAGATACAATGCTGAACGCTTGGAGGTAACATGGCAACCTTCGGAAAAATCCCCTGGTATGACGGGCCGGCCAGTACTTGGTGTGGGTTTCTCTCTGATCGACAGTCAATACCAACAACGGCAATTGCCGGACCTAAGTATTTGACAAAGTGCCACCCAGTTCCTGTGATCGTGAAGAGATCAATATCATCGCTGACATGTCGTAAGACCTCCAGTGTAGTGTGATGCTGGAAAAGAAGATACATTTCAATGCCAATTCTGCCAATGTTTTTAAACATATTTGAGAACTGCATATGATCGGGGTAGGAACCAAATCCGTCGAATCTAGTATAATTAGCAATGAAAATGAAAGACAGGGAAATCTTGAAAAAAAAAAAATAAAAAATAAAAAATAAAAAATAAAACGTACATATCATGGTCATCCACCTGCAATACGTGTGGAATCTGAGCAAACGCTTCCCGCAAATGCGGCTGGTCAAAATGACTGGTATAATAATGGAAATATGCGTGGGTTACGTCTTCTTCCAGTGCAGCAGTCCACGCTGCATTTTTCCTCACCTCCTTTCCACTGATAGACAGCCATTGTTTGAGGGATGGGAGTTCCTTCCATAGGCGGTCGGCATTTATTTGGCCACCCAACCCGAGATGAGCGTGGAAACCTCCGCATTCGACGTGTTTCTGCATAATATCTTTCCATAGATATCCAACACCACCTAGTTTGGACCGTTCATTGGCGTTGACGTTGATGGAAAAGTCATTTCCCGAGGTAGCAATGAAGCGCCAGTTCGTTTCATGCCGCCCTGCAACAAGGAACTCATACCGCGTGCATCCAAGGTGCGACGTAATTGCATATGTCCACTTTGCAGGCCCGGCGTCATCCATTTGCAAGTCAATGTCGTATCTGTAAAAGGTCCATCGTTGATGAGCTGCTATGCTTACAGGAGACAGCTGCCGTGGGTTGGGAGAAAGATCGATGCTTTTGTGGATATGGATTGTTGGTGGCTGTGGAGCATCGGTCACTAGAAGGATCGAACCCAACCACTGGCCCCGCTCTATGTCCATGTTTTTGTAGCGTAAATATGGGCCAAAGTAAACACCATTTGTAGGGCTGACCTTGTAGAGCTCTATTCCGCTGGTCGGCGGGGGGCCGATGTAACCACTGTTGAAACTCATGACACTAGGTTCATATCCAGGACTCATTGGCATTCCGGGTGAAGGCATAGGATGTCCAAAGGCTGAAAATGCAGGAGATGCTAATGGTTTACCAAATGTGGATAGGCCTGGGGAGGATAGACCATGGCCACCAAAGGTGCTTTGCGACGGAGATATGGGTGCATCGTTAAGATTTAATGGCGTTGGGCCTTTTGGAAATTCCCACTGTGTGGATTGCGTTGGTAAGTGAATATAATAATACTGCCCTGAGTTCGGGTCTAGGTGCGCTATCCAGCCTTCAGGCAACGGTGGAGGTGACGCCGGACCAGGGGTTGGAGTTGGCGCCGGATGTGACTGCACTCCATTCTGAGGAGGATGCTGCGCCGGTGTGCCAGTTTGCTGCTGTCGTGGATCATTCGCGAATGCAGGATGGCCTTGGGCAGACCCTTGAGTGGGAGCAGAGGCACCACTTGACATAGCTGCGCTTAGGGATGTCTGCTGCGCAGCCTGTCCAGCACCGAATTTCTCAGGAGGATACCTATGAGGAGTGACACCTGCTAAACTAGAATATGCTGGAGGAGGAGAAGCTGTCATGTTGAGTCGTTGGAAGTCATCTTCGATACCGTTAGAGGGCTGATTGGCGTATTGGATTTGGTTTCCCGGTGGTGCTTGCTGCGGTAGCTGCTGCGGTGGCTGCTGAGACGGCTGTTGAGGTGGTTGCTGAGCGTTGTTTCCAGGCGGTGCTTGTGCACCTCCAGCAGGGCCCACTACAGTTGAGCCTTGATATACCTGTGGAGGGCCATGCGGCTGGGTGCCCGGTTGTTCAGTCGGTGTCCATGGCCGCGGCTGTGGTTGTGGCGGCGGTTGGACCTGGGCTCGAGCAGGGCTCGGATATCTGTTTGGCTGAGGTGCAGAGTATTGGGTTGCACGTTGTTGTGCGGCAAAGTTATGCGAATTCAAATTGTTCAAGGTAGAAGTTCCCGCGATGCCCGAGGCCGCATATCGGGCTTCGATGCCGGACGCTGGTTGTTGGTTGGGTGGTACTATGGGGGTCTCGGGAGGCGGAGGAGACCCACGTTGGGCCTTTGTAGTAGAAGTGGAGGCCGTAGAGCTCAAGCGATTAATGGCAGAATTATTCTCTGGCTGTAAGGTCGAGCTGCTCGTCGGGGGAGGCCAGTACTGCTGGTGGTATTCTGGATACGGATTTACCGCGGTTGAGCTCTTGCGCACGGGTTCAGGCGCTTTCTGGGTGACTCGCTCACGCTGAGGTAGTCGCTGAAATAGGCCTTCTCGGTCTGAGGGCTCAGGGTTGGGCGACTCAGGAAGGGATTTTGGGACAGCACCTCTTCTCTCAGCCAATGTAGGTTGCGACTGTTTCGAGTCTTGACGGGGACGCAGCGCTTCTGGAATTTCGCTAGCGCCAGGTCCAGGCGAGGCCGGTGAGCTATTCTCCGTGGACCGAGCGGACATTGATGCGGACTGCCCGGCATCGGGGTAGGGCGGTCGCGACACTGAGGTATTTCGATCCCTCGCCTGTGCTCGACGAGAGGGGTCGTCTGGGTAAGGAAGAGGAGAGACGGACTCCGCGCGATTCATTGGTCTTGATGAAGCTTGCTGGCCAGCTCCGGAAGCTCGCGAGGGAGAAGGGGAGTCCCTTTTGACAATTCTTAACGGAGAGACCGTGGATGGATGGCGATCGGAGGGCGAGGAGAGGAACATCTCGTCTGTCGCCCCGCCGCCGCGACCATTACTGGTCATGATGGCTATCTAACTGGGTCGTAAAACTCTCGCGCACGAGGTCACCAAATCGCATGCAGTCAGCTGCCTTGCTGGAAACTCGTCGCCAGGTTGAAGCCTTCTCGTGGCGACGTTTTCCAGGAGACCCTGGCGGAGAGCTGCCGACAGCTTAGCTCGTAACTGCGGGGCAGCCTGGAGGGTTCAGAGGCAAACAAGATTAATTCCAAGATTCGACAAGGAGCAAAAACGTCAGAGCAGCGAGCAAAAGTTGTGCGAATGAGGCCGCTGAAACTTGACAGCAAGTCCCGAGCAAGCTGGAGGGAAATGGATCGTTAACTCAGGAGCCATGAGATCACCCGGCATGACGATCGATAAGTAACTCGTCACAACCATCCCGCCAAGGGTCCTGATCCTTCTCGGCGCCTGCAGACAGAGGACAGGATGCAGGCCTGCTCGCTAAAACAACTCCTGCATCCTGCCCATGATTGGACCCATCATGGCGCTTCCACCGCCGGCAGCTGATTTGCCAACGGCCTCATCAGTTCGTGTCACACGATGCCGTGATTGGCCTATTTACGGGAGCTGACGGTCTCACGATGCGGTGCCCAGACGCGACGGCGACCCGGATGGCCAAATAAAAACGCGCAAAAAGAAATCTCAGCCACGAGGAATGGCGACAAAGGGGCCGTCAGTGACTTGCATTGGCAGTCCTGTGAAATAACGCCCTGCGTCCATGCGTCCAGTTCGGATGCCCACGAGCTGTTTAATTAACCAACTGCTGCTGCTGCTGATTTGAAGAGTCACACTTGGCTAAGCACAGAGCGCGGCGTTAGGCCCAAAGTATCCAGTGGCCAAAAAAAGAGAAGCTCCCGATCAAAAAGTCGATGTCCTGGACGAAGTAGTTGCATCATGATGGCTTCTGTACATCCATAGCTGAAATACTATTAGCAGTAATTTCTGACAGACCGCATTCTTATGTTCGGAGACACAGCATGTTTTCCCATCGGATATTTCAATTCTCTGAATATGCTCCATTAACACCATCTCACTCTCGTATCCAAACCGTCGCTCCACAGCTGATTGGGCGGCAGCAAACAGTTGTCTTGCAACCCTGACTGAAGTTCGCCACATGGCCAAACATGCATGCTAGACTTTTGCGTCCAAGCCTGGCATTCGGTTTGGGTCGGTTGAGCTTCCGGATTACCGCCATGCATGGTTGCATACATACAACTTCCTGGGTCTTCTTTTTTTTTTCTTTGCACGATATGCTCATTCATTGCTCCTGACCGTACAATAATATGTAACTACATAGAATCGTTACACCTTTGCACCCTCTCCTCTACTTGGACTCCGGGGTTTTTCTTTAAATAGTCAGCAGGTGATGAGCTGGCTAGGAGATCCCACGGGAGCTTTCATGCTATGCAATGCATAGTCGCTTCGCTCGTTCAAAAAGCACTCTTGTGACTAACTATCTCCATGTTAACCTGATGTCGGTGCTTTTTGCATCTTTCCGGTAACAATATTCAACAGCACTTTAACTTGTCCCGACCGCTCCGCTGCACTCCACCTCTCGATCATCTGCCTCCACTTTGGCTGTAAATCAATATCGCCGCGTGTGCAGACAACAATGAATGAGTCAATTGCTTTGGCGCGTCCAGCTCTCGCGGTTTCCACCAGTGCTTCTATATCGTTGAATAATAACCGATCAACTAAGATTGTGAATGCACCTTGACATTCCTTGATAGAATCAGCTGGCGATGGCGACAATCGGTCGAAGAATGCTTTTAGCCCAATGTACAATACGTTGTGGACGGCTTTTCCACCGTTTACCACTGCCGTTTCGACAAGAGCGACTGACTGAGATATCTGCTCTCCCAAGGCTAGAAATAATTACGCATCTTTAGCATAAGGTTGAAAATCCATCCGGGAAAGGGAGACTTGCCTGCGTATGGTACTGATGGATCCAGACACTTTAGTAAACATTCAATGGATGCCGCAAACGTTTCCTCTTCAACCCTATTTCACGGTTTAGTATACGGATGTCATGTTCACTATGGCTGCGACACCTTACTTTGATAATTTGCCGTTGTTTGCAGAGTCGATGTCCATCTTATCTTTAGACATATCGGCGCTGTCTTCCATCACCTGGGTGACAATCTTAATTGCATCAGAAGCCAAATCTAACCCACTGAGGACCACCGACACTTCTCCCAGGCATTTGAGAGCATGAGGCCGATAAGATACATTGTTCCTTTTCGCTTCTCGAAGAGCAATTGTCTGTTCAATGAGTTTCAGCCAATATCTTTTTACCCTGAGCAAAGTGGATAGCTACCCGTATTTGGTCCCTGATGTCGTTCTCCGCATATGATTTTGCGCGGGTTACAAATTGGACCATAGAGTGTAGAACCTGTTCCTTTCCTTCCCAAGACTTCCCACCAAGCGCCTTTTCGACGCTTGGCCAAACCATCTTTGCCGTCGTTGAATTGACCTGTTTATCCAAGGATGCAACGACCTTCGCGACAGCGAGAGCTGACGCATGTTTGACGGCCCACCGTGGCGAGTCAAGCTGAGTAGAAACTAGGCCCAAGATTTCCTTTAAATAGAGTAAGACCATTCGAGAACCACTGGCATTATCACTCCATGCCTTGCTGAAAAATTCTTTCACCTCGTTATCGGTATCATGCATTCCAATAAATACAACTGGTAGGAACGTGGCTAGAACCCTATTCACCCGGTCGTTCGCGTACTTCGAAATCGAATGCAGGATTTCACCCGCGACAGCCCGCTGCGACGCATCCTCCGAATCAAAGTATAGCTTTTGAGCGTATGCAATGGTTTTCAGCATCTCATCATCGCTTGCCAGCCGCATCATATACCCAATGGCATTGCTATATGATGCGCTCACCGTATCGTTGCGATCGAGAACGTACTTTCTCGTTAGTTGAATAAAACGGTCCGCATACGGCTGGAAGAGCACGGTCTTCGAGCTTAGAATCACCAGGACACGGCTACACCCAACCTTTGAAGGTAGTCCAATGGCCGACTTTGACACATGCTCAATTTTCGCCGCCACCTCTTTCATACTCTCATCATCCAAGGTATCAAGTAGGTGAAGCTCAATGGATTCCATCATCGGGGAGCTCCGGATGGCCGATAGTCGCATTTTATCAATTTGTTGTCCAGTGAGTCCGTACTTATCTGCATTCAAATGAATATAATTCACTGCTTGTGGCTCAACAGAGCTCAGAGATGTAAGAAACTTCTCTAATATATCCGGGACAAATCGCCTTAAAGCTTCAGCAGGGCTCTTCTTAACAATCGTAGTCATCGTCGCGATAGAATATGCTTGGATTTCCTGGACACTGGACTCCATGCCGTTCTGTAGTAGAAAGGGGACGATATGTTGTAGCATTAATTGAGCTTTCTTTGAGTGTGGCGCTCCCTCTTCGAGTGCCCGTAAGAGAATATTGCTTAATACTTGACATAGCTTAAAAGCTTCTTCACGAACGGTCAGCTTAATATCATCGAGGACCTTGAAGGCTTTGTTAAGTATGTCGTTGAGAAATTTGTCGTACTTCTCAATAGGTCGACCCTGAATGAGATCTGCAATCGCAGCGCAGCTTGCTTGCCTGACCCTCCACTCTTTACCGACAAGGATACTCTTCAGCAAGTCTTCCATAATCGCGTCGAAATTAGTGTTGATTACTGCATTGGAATCCTTTACTAGCGCATTCCAAATGTCATTCATCGACCTTTGCACATTCGGATTTGGATCAAACCTGCAGCGGTATAGTTTGGGATAGATCTTTGGATTTTGGGCGAGATATCCGTTCACGCTTGAATCCGATAGAAGATTGCTAAGACCAAACCGGCCAAAAGCGGCACGGCTGGACCAAACGCTGTTGTTCGATGCCAGTGACATGAACCGATACACAAGACTTGGATCTCCGACTTCCGAAGCTAGCCCAACAATATCTTTATAAGTGGTGACAGAGCCGTCTCCAGTTGGTAGTGCGCCAGGCTCAAACAATTCAGTATCACCGGAAACCTTTCCACCCCCCAGATTGGATTGTTCGGTGGTGAAGGATCGTACCAAGTCACGAACCAGGTCATCTTTGAGGCTTTGATTTCCCATTTCATAAACAAGGCTCAATCCACGGGAGGCGGTTTCCTGAACGATTTCTTCGCGATCAGAGAGGAGCCAGATAAAAGCCACTTGACATTCCCGAAGGCGATCTTGCAATGGCTGACAATGGCCGCAATACTGAACCAGGCTTAAAAGCCACACAGCGGAGGCTCTTCTTAACGACGGTTTGGAGGCTCTGCAGTCGAGGAGGATTTTTTCTAGCATATTCGAAAGAACATCCGACGGAATGTTCGATTGGGGTCGTTCAGCATCTACATCGAACGCAGTGAGTAAGGATTTCGAGGCCCAGCCAACAGCAGTAACGCTTAATGCCTCGCCAACGGTAAGTTGAACTTCGACACCACGGATATCGTGTAAATCATACAACGATTGTAAAAGGCGGTCGAAAACGCCAGATGAACTGTCATTCTCTTTTGGGAGTGCCAAAGAAAGTCGACCCAATGCTAGTATCGCGGACTCCTTTCCCGCCTTAGCGTCCACCAAGATCCTCTCGAACAACTTCTCCAGGCTTATATCTTCACTGAGGAAATCTGGACCTAAAAGCGAGCTCAGACTCAGTTGTCCCAGACATACTATCGCTGTATCTCGAAGGGTTGAGTCTCTTGAATGGGCAAGAATTTCAAACAGAACCACATTGAAGTGCCGGACCTGGGTGGCTAGTAACGTTTGCTTGAGTCCTCGGTATGACAACCGTGTCAAAAAGTACATCAACATGAGGATGTGTCCGCGAACCCCATCGGCAGCCGATCCTACAGCGTTACGCCAGGACAAGGTCTTGTCCAAAAGATCTCTCGATACCTTCTCTCGATCCCGGGTTTCCGCATTGGGGAGCGACTCCAAAATGCCGAAACTATGCGCAATCATATCTTGGTTATTCGAGCGAGTAGCCTCTACTCCAACTCTTAAAAATATCGCAATTGGATCAAGCTGTTGCAGAACATTGTTTGGCGTCAAAGAGGCAATTTCCACGAAGTGCTCAACCGTCCGCCCAAGCGGCGTTCCCAGCTTCCGCACTGTTCCCTTGAGAAAAGCAACCAAGAATTGTTTAATAATATTGTCGGATTGGAACTGTCTAAGATACTTTCGCACTGCCTCGCGCGCAGCTTCACTTGTCGAGATTATTGTATCTAGTCGCTCCTCCCAATAAGGCTGCTCAGCGTCAAAGGGAACCTGTGAGAATGACAACGCTTCACATAGGAAAATATTTCGAATGAAAGTCATTGCCGAAGGGTAGGCATTGGCGTAAGAATCACTATAGATAGGGGTCGACTGGAAGCCGGTTTTCACGTTAGGATTTCTGTCATCTGTCCGAAGAAACACAGATTCCACTAGTTCTGAAAACCTTGGAAATCGATAGAGGTCTTCTGCGTCCGATGATGTGGGAGAATTGGGAGAGTAGTTGATGTTCGGAGGATTCAAGACACGGTACCAGTACGGATCGAGCCCCTTTCGTCCTTCTTCGACGAGTTTAAGGTCTCGGTCTGGATCAGCTGCCAGGGCCATCATATTGATCCAACGTCCCTCGACATCACTAAACGGGAGACATTTATTTGCAAAGCGAACAGCTGCAAATTTCACACTGCGGGCAATTGTATATCTTGATCTTTTATCCACCTCGCCCGGTTCTGCAGTCATGTAGTACATCAACAGAATTCGGAGTCGTCGAGTTATATCGGCGTTTAAATTTCGTGCAGCTGAGTTCATTACATTTCCCAGGGCTTGATCAATGCTGACGAATATCTCGTCGCTCGACGTGTCTGAGGCGAGAGCGATAAATAACCATTTGATAAGACTGTAGCCAGCAGCCCCGCCCTCTTCCGAGGTATGATCAATCTTGGACGATAGCCAACCAATGGTTTCGTAGGTCAGACTTCTCAGCTTCTGTTCGGAAGCGTTGCCTTTGTTTGAAAGAGCCGGCCAGCCGTGTGCTTCGACAGATGCTTTCAGGAGCTTAATGATTCCTGGAGCCAATACTGGGGCCGAGGGAGCCATTCGAGCGAACCACGTAATAAAGTTGAGCAGCTGGGTTCGTAGCTTCGAGCCCTCCAGACCGCCCTGAAGCATCACGGTTGCAAAATTAATTTTGTCTTCAAAAAGCTGCTTGATTCTGTCCGTTTCAGTTGTGGCTTTGACCGATTTGCATAATAGGCTGAATATCTTAATTTGTAGCGCTGGACGAGTAGTCGATATAGCCTCTGCCTCTTTGGCTCTCGGGTATAAGTCGAAGAGCCGATGTACGACGTCGTCACTTTCCATGTCCGTTCCGGATTGCTTAAGCATCTCCTCGCCGATGGTTGAAATCTTGTGATTGGGGTCTGCACTCGCAATTATGGCTGGAATAAACCGCTCGCTTTCGTTGAATGCACCACTGGCCAGAAAGTTCAGAGCAGCGATTTTACTGTCAGTCAGATTTAATCCCCCAGGGCTTGAAGGATTCCACGTTTCGTTGAAGGGGGCATTTTTGTTCAAAAATTTGTATTCTGCTTCCGACAGGCTGGTGCATGTGGCTTTGTTTCCAGCCGGTACGAGCAAGACAAGGTTGCCGAACCACTTCGATAGAAAGCGGGCATCTTCGTCGGAGATGCCTAGGTTCTTGCGAAACGACAAGTTTTCATCACTGCCTTTTTGTGGAAGCTTTAGAGCTATCAAGCACCTCAATATCAAATTAAAAGCACTGGCAGCGTCCGCAGCCTCTTCTTCGAGCTGTGACACGCCCTGGACCAACTCGGGGAAAACTTCTGCCCTACGAACTGGGGTAAAGCGGTCTAACGCCAGTTTAATATAAATTAAATCAAAATGCCTCACAAGTGGCGAGCGTATCTCCTTGAATTGCTTCAGCAAGGCTGGGAGGGGGAGGTCTATTGTGAGGGGTTGGATACGAGTATTCACATGCTGGCAGACTGCGATCACTTTATTGCGCACCGCGACATGTTCGGAAGCCAGCTTCAAGAGCAAGGGAGCTAGGTACTTTTGCAAGAGTTGCTGGAGCTTCTCATCGGAGTCTGCAAGAGCAATTCGAAACTCCACGTTTGAGACTAAAGACAGCTCACGAGCTTCGGCGCTCTGTTGCTGGTCGGACATCTTGAAAAGCTGGGAAGAGAAGACAAAAATAAGGGAAGACGTAACCTTCAGATGAATAAAATAAAATTGCAAGATACCATCATGGCTTGAAAGCGCTCTTCGTAGAATCGGCGAACCGCTCTCCAGGCAGGACAATGATTGCGCAGACCTCGAGACAACGATGATGTTGCTAGGTTGCGGGGACGCCAACACAAGCACGAGAAGCTTGCTGAGCTTATCTTATCAGCACAATCTCATTGGCTCGAGCAGATGGGCCAGCCTCCCTCCCTTCTTGGCTCCGGCGGACACGACGCCTGAATCGCCCGAAGATCGCGGCTGCACGTCACCTGTTTTTAGGGACTCTCGGGGCGCTAAGCCTAGTTGACAGCCATCCCCCGCCAGGGCCCCCGGGGAGTTCCAGATCGGTCTTACGGTCTTATCAATTCAATGCTTTCCAATACAATTACTTCGTAGTTAGATGAACACGATGTACAGTATCTCGCTTGAACGCTATCAAAAAAATAGAGTCTCTCCAGAATTGAGTGATTACCACCTAGGCCCCTATATGGCGGTTTATTCCACGGCAACTTACCCCAGCGCATATCTACATCGCTAATGCAAGAAGCTGTATTTTGTAGTCTGGATCCTGTCTCTTAGCGACAAAACACCGATCATCGCACCTGCGAGTGGGAATGCGGTGCAGCAAGTAATCATATATAAGGTCACGCTCCGACGCATTCGGATTCTCGACGATTAAGTATTCACAGGGATTGGTTCCTGAAACCGGCCCTGGTTATAGGGCATATTTCTTTGGTCTTCTGGCCAGTTAGAAGGGGCTCCGTCGTTGATAGCAAATCCGCGATGGCGATTGGCCATATCACCCATCGAGTCTGTGGTTAGAGGCTGCTCATAAGCTATATCCAGCTGACCTTGTTGGCCGGCCGGATAAGACACCGATACCATTTCTGGGAAGCGCTGGCCTTGTGGAATATGGCGTCGTGTGCGGACGGCAGGGGCAAGGTCGATGACAAAAGAAAACACATAAAATGTGAATATGAAAGCAATAACTGCCATAAAATTTCAGTTGCTATTCACAGCAAGATAATAATGATAGGGACACTATACCCCATTCGATAACGGCTGCCTGGTTTTTGCGGCCTCTTCCTCGACCTGTGACTCCGAATGCAATCGCGAGAGCTAATTCGACAATAATAAATATGAGTTTAATCCAGAAGCTAATCGTAAGGATGCGGTGTTCTCGGTAATGGATACCGAGGCGCAAGTATTCGAGACAAACGAAAACTGCACTGAGAAGATATCCGCCCCTGGGAATATGATCGGATTAGTTCTCTGCTCACAGCCCCGGCTCCCACCTGAAAAAAGTACTTACATGAACAGGACCAGAAAACCATTGTGCTGATGGCGGTATCGGAGTGTGTCGAATATGGAGAGGAGAATCAAGCCCACAGCGCCGCAGATAGAAAAGATAATAGCCAGCGTTGACAACGCCTTATCTAGCCTTCCTTTATTTCGCAAAAGCCGCCCATTGTGCCGCAGCCAACGCTCTGACACAAATCCGAGGTCGAAGAATACGCCAGTGATTGCACATCCAGCAATGAATAGTGGTTTAAGGCCATGGGCAGCAACGTCCGAGATATACCTGACGAATTGTCAGCTTAAGGCCCAAATAAGTCCACAGGCATGGGGGAGGTGCATACGCAATAGTCTGACCCGGCTCCATGCTCGAATATATGGGATATCCATCTGCTGACCAAACTATCAGGAGAGTTAAGATAGTGGCTGGCGTTCATGGATCAGCTGGTACTCGGCAGAGGTTGAGATGTAAACGGAAGGGTTTCTACACACCAAGCCACATCCCAGATGCTATTACTGGGAACACCCAGTATGATATAAGCCACATTGCTGCAAGAGTTATGTGATGATAGAAGGGAAACAAAGTATGTAGATGTCGACGGTCGAGCTGTCAAACTTAAGCATAGGCATCAAAAGTAATCCGCCGGTCCAGCCGGCTGGTTTCGAGCTGGTGAAATCGAAACGCCAATAGGTAAAAAAGACTGGAACTCTATAGCAACTGCGACATCCGGTCCATTAGCACCAACTAACCAGGCTTCTGTGGCGATGGTAATTACTCACGACTTGGAAAGAAAGCTGAACGCAAAAAGAAAGGTATCCCGATACTGTCGAATCGATCAACAAACCGCACGCTCCAAAAGGTTTCAAGGCAGAGCACGATCAGGTCGAAACAGCTCCCGATTCAACAGTCGACATCAGAGCACCAGATGAGAGGGCTGAAGTCACCGGAGACTGGTCTCTCCAAGAGAGCACCATCCAAAAAGAGAAAAGCGACAGGGAGAAGCTGGTGGTCGCACCGCGAACTTGCCAAATCGCAAGCCAGGGAGTAAAAACCACACAAGGGGAGGATAAGTAACAACGGAATGAACTTTTCAAGGACCATAAAAAGCCCGTGTTGAAGCCATAGGAGACCGGAGAGTATGGATATTTTTCAATATTTGTAGGTGCTTTTGCAGCATGGCTGGAGCTGAGTAAATTGTCAGGAACCCCGGAAGCAACTTCATCGGCAGTCGACGTCATCTGTCATTCCGGATGAGCCACCCAGTCACTTCGTCATTTTCGTCGGCTCAGCAACAATATCCAAACATCAAGCTTATATTCACCATACATGACAGCAAGCATTGACAAGGCACCAGCGAGCCACTGCTACGATGGTGGCAGATTAGTAAAGCATGTTATTAGGGTGAATTGAAGTGGTGAAGTTTTCCACTTGACTTGATGCTGGCCGCCATCGCTCAACCCTTAATTCTCGGGAAGAACAATTTCTATATCAATTTATTTCTGCTATGAACCCCTCGAATTTGGCATCCCTTACATGCTGGAATGCATGGTTGAAAAACCGAGAACATCTTTGTCCTTTTCTTCAGGACAAAAGCTATCTCTCTTCAGACATTAAATTTCTTGGGCTTACACCGAAGGGTGATCACGCATTTATCATTAAAGTACAAATCAAAAACATTGCCTATGCTCTAAAATCGGTACAGCGTCTTGAGTTACTTAAACTCTTTGATACGGATGCTCAAAGGGAACTAAGCCGTTTAATATCTGTTCACTTAGTACACCATTCTAAACCCTCGCTGGGCCCGCTCGCGGTTTTAGAACACTGCGTTGGTGAACGATCCGTTCATTGTTGAATCTCAAGTATACAATTACTTGATTGACAAAAAAGCTGGTTGGCGTGGTTGGCCCTTACTCTCATGGCTGGCTTACCACCGACACAACCCAAGAACACACGTTAACCCGAAAGCTAGGCAAGAACCTAGAATGGGGGTCGGAACATCGGCCACTGCAAGGTACCCCGTTCGCGGGTTATTACTTGAATATATTGAAGGTTGTACGCTTGACCAGGCTTACATGAGTGCCACAGAAGTTCAAAAGTTTGCGAGACCAACCAAACCATCTCTACTCCCTAGATATCGCCCATGGCAATATGCGCCCGCGGAATGTCACGATCTCCGAAAAATGGTCGAGCTTTCCTAATCGATTTCAATTCCGCAAAGCTATGGCCCCATCCCAATGCGGCCGTGCGTGAAAGGGAAGATTTTGTTTCTTATATGGACGGGGAAATATCCGCACTCGAGCCGTGTCTATTTCGACTCCAGAATGTAAGGCTTTAATCCTGCAAAATTATCGGCTCGCGCTCATATCTAGTGCCTGAAACGAGATTGCAGAATGATCTTCTCGAAAGCTCAAAGCAAAGAGAAGGCATACGGTCGCCGTGTTTCGAAAATGGGCGGACTTTCAATTCAATGTTGCCAACGAGCCGACCCCTTCAGGATTCGGCCTAGCTTGTACGCCCTTCAGCACAGGGTTTGCCTCCAAGGCTACTGAACCAGTGGCGGATGGAGAGTTGCCTAGTAAGGCACACGTTAGGGAGGAAACCTTGGACGAAGGAACTCTTTCGACTCCTCCGTCTTGGGCAAGACAGTGCTGCAGATACGAGATTGTGATGTGGGAACTCTCAAGGCAATCAAAGAACAATAATACACTGTGAATCCTATGGCTATTTGGTCTGTGCTTGATATTTATGGAGAAAATGTCCGCATTTTTATTCCCATTTGCTTACACGATAGAACTCCCATCTGTCAGTGGAAATATGGCCCGTTTCGGGCCCATGTATCTATAGCTGTTGGAAACAACGGACAGAAATAGCTGATTTAATTGGTTGTCCATTACCGCTGGCTTTCTTCAGAGATTCACATAGTAACTGTCCATTATGTATTGCTTGCAAGCATGTGACTTGGAATCTTGCAAGTTCACACATCAGTTCCAGTATCTTGTGAGCAAGTCTCTTGTCTTGCAAAGTGCTGTTCTTTGTTGTAAGAGTGAATCGTTACTCTTAGCATTGGGACTGGGTGGACCAGAAACATGGTGCCGAGTTTTAATAAGAAACACATTTCTTTGACTTTTTGGGAAACACAGCTTCGGACTGCATCTGGCGCTTTTCCTAGCACCCGTGTTTCTAATATTAAGAGTCAACCACAGGAAATAACATCGAATAGCCAACCTTACATGTTGCTTTATGTCAAGTTTGTTGTACTTATTGCTCAATCCCCTTTGGATTGGAGCTGCACAAGGCCTAGAGACCTCCTGCCTTGCATTGTATGCACCTTTCTACCATCACCAACCTGTGAGCCTCTAATTAAATATATTCAGTAACCTGTAAGTAATACTGCCTGAAGAATGTAAATGAGAAAAAGAAAAAGGAAAGGTTCGAATCAGGCCGACCACGATCTACACCATGCCAGATAGAAAAGCGAACACAAAAAAGAAAACAAGAAAGGAAAAGGAAAAGGAAGCGTAGGGGAAAAAAAAAAAAAAGCCATTCCATAGTCTATTCACTTGCCGAGTAAACTCCCACAGATATCGCCCAAATAATTTAAAAAGAAGTTAACTAAGGTCACAATGGAGATCAAGGAGCACAGTTAATTAAGCATCCAATCATTTGCGTGTTCGTCTGCCACGGGTCGCTTTTCCTTTGGATACGCCGTTTGTCTTGGAGCCGTTGGCTTCGGGGGGCTCTTTGGGCGCCTCAACCTGGACACCGTTATCACTGCTGCTGGCGTTACTGCCGCTGCTAGGATGTCGGACCGGATTAGCCCTAGGGGCTGGCGGCAAGACGACGTGATTGTATGCGGCGGGGTCGATGTATGATTGACGGGACGAAGGTCGATATACCGGCTGATACATGGAATCCGGTGCCGTGCTCATATTATAGTCAGGGCTGGTAGACATGGAATACCGTGGGTCGAAGCCCATGACTTGTGCTGGCGAATATGAAACATAGGTAGAAGTGGACATTGGAATGGCATTTGATGACGATCTTGAGCGTGGCACCCAGTCCGGGTCGTCAGGAAGAGGCCGCGGGAGAGGCTGAGTCTTCCCGGATGACGGGGGACGACCGGACGGATCATCCTGAAAATTATATGCGCCAGGTATTCGAGGTGATGTATTTGGCTGATGCATACGTAGCGTTTGCGTGGGTGTCCTGGGGCGGGCTTGCGGTGCTTGCAAAGTAGGCATATGGTATCCAGACGCGGTATCGGTTGCAGACGAAAAAGCCGCCTCTTGAGACCACCTTCCATTGGATTGCGCAGGTAGGACAACCGGGGGCAACATATTTCTGCCGTTGACCCGGGCGGATTTACTGCCCCGCGATCCGTTTACCATCTCGCTCTGCATCCGCCGCCTCTCCAATGCCTCAAGTTCACGCTGAGAAAGCTTGACTTTAGATTTACCGAATGTTTGTGCGTACCTGATTCGCTCCAGTGCTCTCTCCACCAGGCGATCGTCCCTGTCCTTCATCGCAAGCTGCATGGCATATGCCAGAGTGCTGTCTTGATAAGCTTCATTAAGTGCATATTCGTCATGTTCGTCGTCCGAGCTCTCTCCATCACTTTCCATCGGCAGTCCATTCATCATATCCACAGGCACGGCCAATCGGAGATGATTCATCTGTTGTCGACCGAGAGCAACGCTCGGCTGTAGGGGCACACCGTCTTCACTCCCGCTATCATCACCATCACCCTCCAACCGGTCCACACGATTCTTCTTACCCTTTTTGCTCCTCCCCATTCGTGCCCCCGGCGGTCTTCCCCATTGGGGCATATCATAAGGAGTTCGCGGCCGACCACCTAGACCGCCTCCTCGGAAAAAGCATTCTCAATTGGTTTGTCCATGAATGCGGCGTGTCCCAGGACCGTTACGCCGGTAGCGCCAATAAGCCATAAAACCGCACCGATCGGCGAGGCCCAGAGGCCAAGCGGGACAGCAACGATCAACAAGCCGGTGTAGAGCTGAGAGGTTGTCGCTCTGAAGACACCGACGTCAAGATCCCGGCCCTCGAGCTTGCCAATCCCATACGTACCGCCGATTACGAGAAGAATGACGAACAGGAGCAGCAGATTCGTCAGCAAGCTGTAGATGCTGAGCATGATGAACACGACGATGTAGTTGCTGGAGAAGTAGCTGAGGTTGTAGTTCAGGCGGCTTTGCATTTCACTGAAATTAGCAGGCTTCGACACCCTCTTGAAATCGAAGAACTCCGAGATAGGTTTGAGATTAGCAAAGCGCGAGGAGAACGATTGCGCGCGAACAGCACTGAACCTATCGCCGAAGTTGAAGCGTGATGTCAAGGCATCGAGGGGTATCTGGATGGGCGCCATGATGAGATACGGCAAGCTGTGGGCAATTGAGGATGTGGATAAAGAGCGTTTGAGGAAGACCTGTCACCAAGCACGAGGGTCAGCGAAACGAGTCCAAATTTGTGTGCTTTGGATGCTGGGTGCTGTCTTGGATAAAGCTCTGGGTGCTTTTGCACATATTGCAATTGTTTCACACAAGTGGAACAAAACTGACCTTTCAGAAAGCCTTTGCAAGAGATGCACGATTCAGCAGCGGAACACGGCCCTTTTTTTGTGATTGAGGAAGAGGGTGCAGAGCGAGCGAGCGAGCAAGCGAGAGCCAGGCGTCCAAGCAATTATTTCCGGCTTTGACCTCCTGTCTTCAAACTGCAAACTTTCCGATGGGGCCACAGTTTCTCTCTTCCCCTAGCGCTAGCCTAGATACGGAATGGCGCTCTACCTTTAGCGCAAAAACTAGAAAATGCTTATGTAAACCACGACCCCGTTTTTTTTTTAGTTAAGTTCAAAAAAGGCACTGAAGTTAACTTGGGAGTGAAGAGTCAAGACTTCGGGTGGAAAACTTGAGGCCAATCGAGAGGGATCGAGTACACACACACACACACACACACAAAGTTCACGATATTGCTGGAATGGGGGAGGCACCTTGAGGAGGATCTCCCGCCTCATGGCACCTCCATCTTTGGGAAAAAAAAAAAAAAAAATGGAGATGTAGTTATGTATCGGTCAGAGATTAATTAGGTTGTAGTTAAAAGACTCTGGCAGACTGCTCTGCGCTGCTTTGGAATTGCTGAAGAGAGAAGAGGACGGAAAGTGAGGAAATGGGGCTGGGCAGAGATTTTAAGAGGGGTAAAAACCTACGGCTACATTGAGGTCCTGCAGGACTGGGTTCAAAGGCCTCTTTCGTTATTCCCTCTTGCATGCAGTTTCCGCCTCTTGGATTTCCCTCCGCCGGCGTGCAGAGCCCATCACAGGCCTCGCAGCCCAAGCCAGCCCTCGCTTGATGGCGGGCGGTTGACGAGCCTGGGGCATCGAAACAGCCCGTGGAGCCCGACCCATTTGGGCTGTCGATCCAGTGGCCGTGATTGGGCCACGTTGTGGTACCGTTCAGAAAAAGTTACCCGCAAGAAACTGCCACTCTCTCCCGCCGCTCACTACATGTATCTACACAGCTACGGAGTACTACCTGTCCTCCTCGAGTTAAACTGCCGTATATCCTCTCTCGTCTCTGAGCTTTAGCCTCCGTTGGCCCATTATCTGTGGGCCGGCCCAAAATGAGGCAAGCTGCGTTGTTCCGAGTCCTCCTTCTGCTCGCTGGCTTCCTTGCCCTTGCGGCTGCTTGGACTAAAGAAGGTGTGTGTGCCTTTTTCTGCCCACACGACCGGCCGTAACTCGATACTGACTGCTGTGCGATTGAACCAGATCACGAAATATTTCGCCTTCGTGAGGAGATCATAGCGACAGAGGGCGTCAATGTTACCTTTTACGGTATGCTGCCGTCCTGTCATCCCAATCCAAACACAGCCATCCAAGGTTCTCACATCTACCAGATTTCCTCGGCGTAAAGCCCAGCGCTAGCCATGTCGAGATAACAAAAGCTTTCCGCAGGAAGTCCAAGCAGCTCCATCCAGACAAGGCGAAGCGCTCCTTTATCGCGTCCCGCGCTAAACCGCCCCGAACATCCTCGGGGAAGAAAAAGGACGGCGTTCATGTCAGCAAGCGGCCTTCCGACCGAGAAATCCAAAAGGTCGTCAAACATGCGACGGAGCGATATGCGCGACTGGGTATAGTCCACGACGTCCTCAAAGGCCCGGGGAGAGAGCGATACGACCACTTCTTGAATAATGGCTTCCCCATATGGAAGGGTAGTGGGTACTATTATTCGCGATTCCGCCCCGGCTTGGGTACTGTCCTCATAGGTCTCTTTCTTGCCTTCGGCGGAGCTGCCCATTACCTAGCTCTCGTCCTCAGCTGGAAGAGACAGGTCGAATTTGTGGACCGATATATCCGACATGCTCGCCGAGCTGCGTGGGGCGACGAACTGGGCATTCAGGGGATCGGAAATCTGAGTAACTATAACGACAATGCGTCCACCACGGCCGCTGCTGAAAATGGCGAAGAGCACGTCGTCCTGAACAGAAAACAGAAACGAATGATGGAGAAAGAAAACCGCAAGGAGAGCAAGAAGGCGAAAAAGGAGGGATCTTCCGGTACGGCCACTCCAACCAATGTTGTTACCTCGGTTGGGGATCGAAAGAGGGTTGTCGCCGAAAATGGCAAGGTTCTTATCGTCGATGCCATCGGAAATGTGTTCTTGGAAGAAGAAACTGAGGATGGGGAAAAGGAAGAATTCTTTCTCGATATCAACGAGATCCACCGGCCGACAATGCGTGATACGCTCGCATATAGACTTCCACAGTGGCTTTACCGCAAGCTTGTAGGTCGATCCGTTCAGGATACGCCTTCCCAAGCCCAGGATCCTGTCGATGATGAAGTTACCACTTCTGCCGAACCGGAGACCGATAGCGTATCTACTCCAGACGTATCTTCAAAGAAAGCAAGAAAGAGGAGAGGGAAGAACGCTTGAGTTGAAAAAATGTACGCTGCTACTTGTGTAAATTACTCTGTATTTCTATATTTGGCAACAAAAGTTTTCGTTCCATGACGAAGCATTCTGTGTCCGGCATATGTACATGCAGGTAAGCCTGCTTCACGGCTCGGGGATTCATTGCGCTGTCATCGGCCTATCAAGCTCCGCTTGCGGAGTTCTCCTGAGCTGGATCGGGTATCAACGTGGAAACCCCATCGGGTATGCATACATGACCAACTATGTATGCACATACAAACATGCATCTGGACCATGCGAAGTGTGAACTATTCCCTGTTGACTCGGAAGAATGCCAATAATGGCTGTCGGTTCCTTTGAGCTTGTCAGGAAACCTTCATATACCCCAGACCGACCCCCACCCAAAAAATCAGCTTCTGAAGACATACTCTGAATTCTATTATTTATTCTCAGACCGACGGATGTCTGGATTGATATACCGAAACCAGAAGAACGTAACCAGATTTTCAGAGGAAGCCAGGATAACAGCTCTATACAAACTATGAAAGCATGTTTTCGTCCATCTTTTCTATCGTTACTCGCGAAATTCATCTCGCGGTCAATTCGCAAAAAAGTTCATCAATTCGTCCCAGGCCGCGGCGTATCGAGTCGGGGTATCTCGCCATTCGTTCGACCGTATCATTAAAAATTTCCCGCATGATCCACATCCTCCAAAAACGGAAAACCCGAACAGAAAAAAACAAGTCCCTCCCCGTTCCTCCAACTCTAACAGAAGAAACCGGAAGCCAAACAAAAGTGAAAAAGAAACAAGCGCAAACATAGAAATGATCACAAGAACATCTTCGCAACAGAGACCAATCCCTTGACACTCTCACCGATGCCATTCCCACCGCTATCGAACCCGCCAATACTACCTCCCCTCGATCTCCCACCCATCAAACTCTTGGGAAGACGAACTCCCACGGCGCTCAGCAGCTTCTGCAGCACCCCTCCCGTGATCAGCGGCATGATCACCATCAGGAAAACCTTCACTGGATGCCGCTTCGCATAATGGACTATATGTCTGAACAGGCGTTTGATCTTATGCACAATGCGTGCCACAAACCCCGAGCGCGGCTTTGCTCGGCGTGAGGAAGAGCCGCCGGCGGAATAGACGGAGGAGGCCGAGGAGCGATTGGCGTAGCTCCCCAGGCTGAAAATGGAGGGCGCGCTGGTGGAATGACGCGAGTGGTGGTGGTGGTTTGAGCTGACGGTGGAGTGTCGGTCTTTGGAGCGACGGCGGCGGTGGGAGGTACTGGAGAAAGGGTACAGCCAGCTCATTGTGTTGGAAAAGCGAGGTAAGCTTGCGACTTGCGTAGGGAAAAGTGTGTGAGAATCCGAGCGGCGCGTGGTTGGGAACCCGGATCCGTGCAATTGCGGTTCGCGGCCAGGTGGTAACTCTGGCGGTTGGGTTCCTGAGTGCACGAAGCCGAAGCGCCTAGTTAATTGGACGTCCCCTGGCTGCGGCTGTTCCAACGGAAATATAGTTAACTACTGTTGCCAAGCCACATATAGTTACCTGGGTTCCGTTCAGTAAAAACAACACACGGCCTTAATAATCAAACCTAGTGGATTGTACGGAGAATCGCCTTTTCATCCCAAACCGTGGCCTTTGGATTTCCTTTTCGGGCATGCCGTTGCTGAGGTTGACGTGTGATTTTCTGCAGACCTTTGCCTGCTCCGTATGCGGTTTCCTCAACATTGGGCATCAGGACGCGCCAAAGCCTTTTGTCAACCTGGAACACCATGGGATTTCCTGTCACTCACCCTCGGAATGCCCAGGTGAATTTACGGGCGCGTAGGAGCCAAACGTGAAAAGGTCGCCTCGGAGACCTGCTTCTCACGGGCATAGGTCGCAATCTAGCCCTAGACCGTGTTCACGGCTCGCATGCGCCTTTGGATCCTGCCAAATCCCGTGATGACGACGACTACCAAGAGAGGGATAAGGGACGTTTGAAGTTCACCAAGCGTCATTTTACCAGCCTGGGCCACTGGATGTGCTATGCTACCCATCGATCTTGTTAGGGAATCCTTGAACCTCCCGGCGCAATTGCAGGATATGGACGACTTGGCAAACGTCCTCCATACGGAATTTTTGTTTCAGTTTTAAAATTCGACGTTCAATGGCTCGAGTCAGGCCTAGGCCTGATGATCACAGAAAGCCTTTTGGACTCTCTTAGTACGAACTCATCAGCTTTTGCTTACTATGTCGATATGCTACTTACCTAGCTACACCTAAACGCAATGAGGATTGCTGAAGCCTGGGACGCGACTTAGAATCCCTTTAAGGTCAAAGCATTTACCGTGCTCATTGATCGAGCACAAGCCAAATTGGTTCTCAAAACGAAAGAAATGCCAATTTTCGGTCAGAAGCGCATAGCTCGAGATCTAGGATATTGTGCCTAGATTCTTGATTGAAGGCCTCTCATCAGAGGCTCTGGAGGTCCGGATTTGACAATGGGACGGAGCTTGATCACATGTTTGAGCTTAAGGACTTGTGGCAGAATCGCAATATCGATTGGAATACCCTCTTTCGGAGAGCTAGAAAATATGCTATTGTCATCAGATGTTGTCCCCCTCAGCAATCGTCGTCGACTTCTCCCGGTGGCTCACTCTATGATTGGATGAGCTTTCAGATGCGACTGACTTCGCTGCCACGTAGCCAGATACAAGCCCTGAAAATATTCACTGTTCGGCTCGGAAGTCGACGATATGTAAGTGGGTTCCCGCTTAGCAGCAAGCCAAGGAGACTCGCATACTATCATCAAGCCAGACATTCAAGATTGAAACGTGTCAAAGTAGACCCGTCCTCAAGGTTGTCTGCAACATTGATCGCATAGGGGTTTGCGGGCGCTCTGTGATCGCAGATCGTGGGTGGAAGGCGGGTATCAACCCCCCGAGCCACGTTCAATGGAGGACACTGGGAGTTTTGCCTCTCGGGAAACATTTGATCACCTATTGTGACGTGTGTGGGACCTCCTCTTCTTTTGCTTGATTTGGTTCCCCATAAAGTTGATTGACAGTCTTGTGTCCAGGCAATCAAAACTCTCCGCCTTGGGAAGTGAGCAACCCCCCCCCCCCCCCCCCCCCCCCCCCGGCATTACCACGGTATAGCTGCAACTACCTACTTTGGCGAGGAAGCTTCCCTCCAGATAATATGACAATGGATGTAGAGCGCCGCGTGTATCACGAAATGCGTGCGTCGGCGTATTCCCTAGAATATCAGATATAACCCAACCCAATACTACATTTCCAGCACACAAGATCCCTTAGTTAGGATTACAGGATACGTGGGTTATCTGAACCGGGTTCTTCAGGCCCTTGAGTTTCCTTGTTGGAAAATTAACCGTACAAATGGCAAGTTGAGAATATTCTCGGTCGGCAAAGCACAAGGGACACCGATGCACTTCCCATTGATGAGCCTGGTGGCGAGGACATCACCGGACGTACAATTGACTACAACATCTGCAAGTGTGCTGGTGCCAACCATCTTCGCTTTCCTGCCCGTTAAATCATGCACCAACCGCATCTAAGAAGGGACCAATCTTTGCCTCACGCACTCCTTGTGCCCGTGCTCCTAATGTATGCCTTGTAGTTTACGCAAGTATTACAGCCTCCGAAGGCGGCACTGGCTCAATAAGGGCACGGTAGCAAGCCCTCCCAGACTCCCCCCAAAGAAATTTAGCCACAGAAAGGTCAAGAAAGAGCTGGCAAGAAGGAGCACTTCGACCAAAGGATGAGCCGCGGTGTTTAATCAACCGCTATGGTTGTTGATTTCTCAAGGGAGCCCCGACACACCAAAATGACAGATTTTATGTACGGAGTAGTTACGGAGTAGACTTCGTAGTGAAAGAGCGTCACGTCTTTGATAGGATCTGATTGGACGAAGCTGCTGATTACCCAATTATTTTATTAACTAGCTTATGATCACGTGGAATAAACTCTAAAACGCTTAAGTAATTTGGTGTATTACATAATTACTGAGTGGATTGACTTTCTGTGATTGGAACAACGTCATCGCCTGCCATAAGAGAACGCGGTTGGGCGAGAGTGCCGTCGACGGGCCAGCTGGCTTTATTCTTGCTTCCACCTGGATATCCTGAAAGATTTGTTCATTTCACATATGAATTCAAAGATAAACAACAGTATTCCCGAGGAGTTTTAGGAATTGAGGAGCATTGAAAGATTAGAGAATGGCTGGTAGGGAAGCCAGAGCCTGAGCGTTGTGCTGATATGACCTTAACCACAGATGCTAAAAAAGACCTCCTCTCGCAGATACCCGTGTAGATTATTGTACGCTTGCGGGCACATAACCTATCCTAGTATCCACGAACATCCTCACTGATCCTGGATGTCCAGACAAGATCTTGGAAATAGATCCCTCCGCCACACAGCAGAAAATCCGTGATGCCTATAAACGGTAAGATTTCCCACCGTCATCGGGCCCCTTTTAGTTCGTGAAACGTTACTGATGGCTCACCATATCCTGGCAGCGCCGCCCTCAAGCACCATCCCGACCGCGTACCCGCAGACTCCCCCGATAGAGCCGCCCGAACGAAGAAATTCCAACAGATAAACGATGCGTATTACGTTCTCTCAGACCCGCACAGGCGCCGTGAGTACGATGCAGCACGTCGCACCTCGTCCTCGGCGGGATCATCCTGGGCCCACGAGCACCCTCCCCCGCAGGCTGAGTCGTTCGCTTCCGACCAGTTTGGATCGATGTTCGAGGAGATGCTTCGAGAGGAAGGTATGTCGGCCAGTGAAGCTGAGGCCGCCGGGGGATATCTATGGTCCATCGTAGGAGGTCTTAGCGGCGGTGCTATAGGGTTCATTGTTGCGAACTTCCCGGGAGCTGTGGCGGGAGCAGTCGCAGGAAATAGGCTTGGAGCGGTGAGAGACAAGAAAGGGAAGAGTGTCTATGAAGTTTTCCAAGAGTTGCCGCAAACGGACAAGGCTAAGATATTGAGTCAGTTAGCCACGAAGGTCTTGCAGTCAGCCGTGTCATAACGGCTCCGCGTATGGAGTTTTGGTTACTATGTTAAACGGGACGGCGTTTGTTAGGATGGTACTCGTTCGTCGAAAGCACCGCGATTACCTTTTTTTTTGTCTTTTTTCTTTTTTTTTTTTTTTTGGTTCCCTCTTTTATTTATTTATTTATTCATTTATTAAATCCCTCCTTGTCGATTGCGCTCACAGCAAAGGCGCGAGGTTTTCGAAAGGGTTCTCTGTTAATACAATTGATATGACGTATGTAGTGAACAAGTCCTGGAACCAGGGCCAAGATTTCGAACGCCATCGATCTGGTTTGTTTGTCACGGGTCGTGTCTTTTTAAAGGAGGGCCATTACCATAGTGAAGTCGCTGTCGCCAAGTCTGGCTGCTTCGTGATAACAGTCGGCGATTCCCGTCTCGAGGTCGGAGAGAGGAAAGGTGTTTTCCGTCCTTTCGAGTCTCTGTTTCATACCTGGAGAGAATTTTTCATGGCACAGCGCAAGGATCGGAGGGTCGGCGTGTACGCGGACGAATGTTCCTCCACAGCCCGAGATCGATAAAGCATCATTGGTCAAGCGCTGCAATCATTTGGAGGTCTTAGCCTTACGATTGGGCGCGTAGCGCCTCGAGCCGGCGGTCGCTCGAGTTTTTGTGGCTACTGTGATTCACGGGCCAAACCCCCTATTTTTCCAAGCTTGACGGTTGGCTTCAATATGAGAGCAAGTGGAGGAAGAGCACTTTGACAGTAAGCTACGTGTCCCGACTCGGACGGGGCTGTGAATCACTCATGGAGTCCTTTTTTTTTTATTTAAAAAAAAAAAAAAAGAAAATGGCTCTGGCCTTGATCACGCTCGTATTGATTTTCGAAAATTTCGAGTCGGCGACTCGCGAGGCACAGCTTGGCAAACGTGTAATTTTTTGCGTTCCGTGACCCGGGCAGACTGAACTTTGGATTGTTGACCTGCACAGAAGAAGCCGATACAGAGCTTCCCGGTTCCGACGCAAGGACGCGAAGCGGTATCTCCCAGTCTGAACCCTGAAAATTTTGTGCAACATGATCTTCAACGCGCGCAAGCCACATTCCGGGCGGATGACAGGTCTACGCATTCCGGACTGACATCCATGCCAATGGAGACTCGATAACTGAACGGATGATGGAACTTCCTGATAACAGGGGCATCTGCTTTCGTGGCCGATCTCAACAGGACGATCGGGACGTGCTTGGCTCAAACTCCCAATGTGGCAGTCTGCCCGACACCGATCCGTATCCTCACGGTTCCATGCTAGCTGAGAACTTTAATTTTCTCTGTTTTGGGCCAGCACAGAATCAAGAGAATCCCTTGATAGAACGTCCAAAGCCTGGGGGACCAAAATCGCCGTGAAAATTCTCCATCCACGACAAGATAATCCCTCTAGGCAGTCAAATTCCTTAGCGTCTGCTTGATTTTCGTGACGGGGCATGGGCTGGACAATTCTGTGGACGATTCTGTCTCGTGGCGCCGAGTAGTTTAAAACTCCCAAACAAGCGGCCAAGCCGCCTTCTTTACCCTGATGCCACAGAAACCGTGAAGAAAAACAACCTCCCGTTGTTTCTTCAGCGATGCAAACAATCTCCTAGGCAAGGGTCAAAATACACCGAGCCTCCGACAGTCGGCAAAACTCAGAGTGGTAATCTTGGGTCATCTGCGAACGGCACGGGGGCTGCTTGCTTGATCCAAGAGCTGCCCCGTACCAGTCTCCTTAAACACGAGCCGGGGCTCAGAACCGAAGAGCCCTTCTTTTTTTTTTTTATGCAGCCGTTTGCTCGGAGCTAATTTATATGCTTTCCGAGATTTTTTTTCTTTTTTTTCTTTTCTTGCAGCCAGGGTGCCTATGACGTTGGCACTATCGAGTCGTCTCGATTCATATTTATATATACTTCGTATCATACCTTGCTTTTTTCTCGACCATACAGGAGTCAAATAGTGCACGTTTGAGCTTTCCTTTTACAAAGGTCCTCCGTACATACATACATCGCTGCTTCTTGAGTTACACCGATTGTTCGGATACTTGTTTGCTAAGATCCCCACGGCCACATTCTTTGATCGACTTTGGGATCGTCGTTTTCTTGTTTTTATTTTTTATTTTTCCATCCAATTACACGTGGATATCACTTTGCACATTTCGATAACTCCCTTTCTCGTCCCAAAAAGAGAGAAAAAAAAAAAAGGAAGAAACTATCGTCCTTCGCTGATATGACATCCTGGATCAGAAGATTTCGAAAGGAGTCCAGCGAGCAGGTTGCGACGAAGGAGCCCGGATCAATCACGACCGCATTCAGCGACAATCCGTCCTCTGGAGCAGAAAATGATAAAGAGGCGGCCTCGATGAACTGTTCCATCCCTGGGGAGCCAGCGGCAGTCGCGTCACTTGAGCAGCCTAGGGACGCGCAAGAAACAAGCGAAAAAAGTGAAAACGCAAGAGCAGAACCTGAATATGCCTCGGGAATAACTTTATTGATTATCATCATCGGGCTGTCCCTTGCTGTACTCCTCGTTGCATTGGTAAGTTTCGTTCACTTCATTCGTGGGGATGATGGAGCTTGCTGACCGAGCTACCCTTAGGACAACACGATTATCACGACAGCTATTCCAACAATCACTAACCATTTCAAGGCTCTTGATGATGTCGGTTGGTATGGAAGTTCATATCTCCTCACTACCTGTGCCTTTCAGTTGGTGTTTGGGAAGGTGTACACTTTCTTTCCTGTGAAATGGGTGTTTTTGACCGCCATCGGCATTTTTGAAATTGGCTCAGTTGTTTGCGGAGCTGCGCCAAGCTCCGAAGCTCTCATCATTGGCCGTGCTGTTGCTGGTATGGGCGCATCGGGGATATTCTCTGGTGCTTTGGTGATTGTCGCTTATACGGTTCCCCTGGAGAAACGACCCATCTGTATGTCATTCATTTCCCTCTCTTCTCTCCTCGTCCCCACCCTAAAACATCATCTTTTTTTTTTTTTTTTAAACCTAAGCTGATTTGTTTTTGTAAACGCTAGATAATGGTCTTTTCGGGGGCATGTACGGTATCGCTTCGGTTGTTGGTCCACTGATGGGCGGTGCTTTTACAGACCATCTCTCCTGGAGGTGGTGCTTCTATATCAATCTCCCAATTGGTGCCGTGACCATCTTCGCCATCCTGGTTTTCCTCAAGGCCCCAAAACAAAATCTCAACACCTCGTTAAGCTGGAAAGCCCGCCTATTGCAGCTTGATCCAATTGGTTCTGCAGCGTTCATGCCCGGTGTCGTCTGTCTTCTCCTCGCTCTCCAGTGGGGTGGCACCAGATATGCCTGGGGCAATTGGCGCATCATCATTCTTTTCATTCTCTTCGCGATATTGATCAGCGTGTTCATTGGAATTCAAATCTACAAAGGTGATAATGCAACTGTTCCTCCACGCATTTTCACACAGAGAAGCATTTCATCCGCAGCTTTCTTTGCACTCACATTAGGATCCTCGTTCTTCATAATTGTCTTCTACCTGCCTATTTGGTTTCAGGCTATCAAAGGCGCTTCGGCCACAAAGTCGGGAATCATGGCTATTCCACTAGTCTTGGCTTTGGTGATTTTCTCCTTGTTGAGTGGAATCGGAACTACCGTTACTGGATACTATACTCCGTTTACGTACGTGGCAAGCATCTTATCGACAATTGGGGCAGGTATGCTCACGACCTTCACTACGACCACCGGCCATGAAAAGTGGATTGGGTATCAAGTTATCTTCGGCACTGGGCTTGGGTTTGGATTCCAGCTACCGCTCATTGCAGCCCAAACCGTACTGCCGCTGGAGGATGTGGCAGTTGGAACTGTGATTGTTATGTTCGCCCAGACGTTTGGTGGAGCGTTGTTCGTATCTGTTGGCCAGAACGTTTTCGGCAATCGCCTTATGAGCGGCATCAGGGAAGCAGTGCCAGATATAGACCCGTCGCTGGTATTGGAAGTCGGCGCCACCCAGCTCAAGGAGCTGGTACCGCCGGCCCTTCTAGATAACGTTCAGGAGGCATACAACGCGGCTCTTACCAACACCTGGTACGTGTCCGTTGCCATGTCTGCGATAGGCATCATTGGCGCCCTTGGCTTGGAGTGGAAGAGTGTCAAGGGAAAGCAAATCCAGCCAGGTGTAGTCTAAACATGGGTCCTTTCGGCCTGCTTGGTGACCCAAAAATGTCACCCCGCGGCCTCTGGTCCCGCCGTATTGCAGGAGGGACATGGTACCGACTTCGAGCGTGGTGTTAAGTGATCGCTGTACTTTTATGTTTCCTTGGGAGCATTATCTGGGAAATTTATTTGGCTTTTCGTTTTTCATGACAATGTGTTCGCTGCGGGAGAGGATCTCTCATCTGCTCTGAGAAAAAGAGCTTGGCGTTTGGCGGAAGAAATATCTCATGCATATGTACAGTACAAAGCTCTCTGCTTTTGCCAAAAAAAAAAAAACAGAGTGATAGATGCAGAAATCCATATAGCATTATTTAATGGACAGGGCTGGAGAAGCGTTCGGTTTGTGAGCTGTAATCATCTTCTTTTTCCCCTGGCTGGCTGTGGCAGCTTTCACGGGTTAACTAACTCGTTACACGCTGCTGGGAGAAAGTGTCTGTGCTTGAGTCCGGCTCCACTTGATCTGGATGCTCAAGCCAGGATGCGCGTTCAAATCACAGAGCGTGCTGCGGGCATATGGATGAGGCCAGCATTCGATCTGACCCTCCAGGCTGGTTGGGAATGCTGTCTGGCAGACTTGTTTAGCCAGATCCGTCCGTACGAGTTTTGGTCGGGAGGGTCTTTTTTGTGCAAACCATTGACCAAACCCTGGGAGAGTTACGTACGTCCTGCCCACGGATCAACCCCTGACTCGGGTCCTCGCCGGCTCGTAAACTATGCTGTGAGGGAGAGGGGGGCTCCACAATGGAGATCAGAAGCCAACTCATCTTCGTCCTCTTTCACCGTCTGTGGAAGTGCTTTCTGCCCCTCTCTCATTTCCTTTTGCTCTGAATCGCATAGCTCCTTATTCCCGATTTTTCGTTTCTTTTTTCCTTTTTAACTTTCTTCGCAAGTTTTCAATTCGTCTTACTCAGAATTTGTAGCAAGGCGCGGTGCCTCCTTTTCTTCTTCTCCTTTTTATTCCGTTTTACTTGAGAACGCAGGATACCCCGCATAGTTAGACCGCGATCATGACCGCCGAAGCAGCAAGCGTGTACCCCTCCCTCGAAAACCGTCCTATCAAAAACACAATTTGCCTGTTCGACGTCGATGGTACACTGACCCCAGCGAGGCTGGTGAGTGCATCTCCTTGCCTGTGAAAAAAGGAGCAACACAAGAGAAGAGCAATTCTTTAGCTTGCAGTGGAAGTTGGACTGACCGCCCCTGGCAGGGCGCCTCGCCCGAAATGCTTCAATTGCTGTCGCAGCTCCGGCACAAGTGTGCGATTGGCTATGTACGTTCAGATTACCAGTTAACCCCCCGCGCTGTTCCCTCTCCTTCCTCCCTAGCCAGATGCATAACTTTGCTTGTGCAAAATGCCAGTCCCAGCCCATCCCGGACACTGTGCGACCGTCCGCCGATCATCCCGCCTTCTTTCAACTGACATGTATGATCTGCCAATTCCCCAGGTCGGTGGCTCAGATCTAGCCAAGCAACAAGAACAGCTCGGCTCCCAGACCACGTCGGTGACATCCCTCTTCGATTTTTGCTTCGCCGAGAATGGCCTGGTCGCGTTCAGAATGGGCCAGCCCCTGAAGAGTAATAGCTTCATCCAGTGGCTCGGAGAGGAGAAATATCAGAAGCTGGTGGATTTTTGCCTGAGGTACATCGCGGATCTGAGGTTACCCAAGAAGAGAGGCACATTCGTGGAGTTCCGAAATGGTATGGTGAACATCAGCCCGATTGGACGCAATGCAAGCACGCAGGAGAGATTGGACTTTCAAGAGTACGTGTTACATGTTCGATTGATCTCACTTTTTCGGTGTTCTTTTTTCTTCTTTTCTTTTCTTTTTTCCTTTTTTTTTAATAGGAATGTGGCGTGGAACGCTAACTAATTCGCTGATCGTTTCTCCCCGTTAGGTATGACAAGGTGCATAACATCCGAAAGACCATGGTGGAGGCGTTGAAAAAGGAATTCCCCGACTATGGACTTACGTGAGTCTTACCATACAGTTCCGGTTTCGCACTTTCCACCTGACGGGTGGTTTTTCAATAAATGGGTGTTACGGCATTTCTAACAATCCGATTGTGTGTCAGATACTCCATCGGCGGACAAATCTCCTTCGACGTCTTCCCGAACGGCTGGGACAAGACGTACTGCCTCCAACACGTCGAAGCCGAAAAGAACATCTCTGGCGTTGAGTTCTCTACCATCCACTTCTTCGGCGACAAGGCCTTTGAGGGCGGGAATGACTGGGAGATCTACATTGATAAACGTACCACGGGCCATGCCGTTAACACCCCGGAGGACACAATGAAGTTACTGAGGGATATGTTCGATTTGAATTAAAAAAAAAAGGTTGTTAGCATCCACGACTACACAAGGGGTAAACGAGGTGAATCGCTGAAGAGCTTCTTTCTGCGGCGTGGTACTCCGTACGCCCATAGGATAACTACTTTTAGCCAGAAATGCCAGATATTTGGCCAGAGGTTCTCCTTGGTTATTAAAATGGTGTCACATGTTTTAACTTCCGAATAGTAGGCCCATTGAGGCATGCATGTACTATGTATACAATTTCTTGAAGACCATCCAACTTTGTTTTCGAGAATAACTTTGTTGCATTATTCATGTCCGGTTGATGATACGGGGATCATCTTGCCTGTAAAGATTAATGTAAGCTTCGGATCTTAGCCTCACAAAGCCCGGCGGTGTCTTTTCAGTAACTGGTCTTCGAGACAGATATTCCTCGGGCCCTTCTCTCTTTTCTCCATCGAGAAGTCTCACTCCCGCCTGCAGCTCATTCCGCCACAGTGGACAGGATATATCAGGATACCGCGCCGTCCATTCTTTCAGAGACATAATCGGAAGTTTTTCTTCCACGTACAGTGCTGGAATGAAAGACTTTTCCTCCTGCAGGAGGACCTCCGCGGGGATCCTGCTTCCGCCAACGATAGTCTTCCATACCCCGCCCTCTGCAAAATCTTTCAGTGTCCAAACCGTTGAGAAGATCTCCCGGCCATCCGGGGTGCGAAGCATCCAGCCATGATATTGGTTTGTAAAAGCAAAGATACCGAACGGGAGGGTGTAAGTAGTTTGAGATACCATTTCCGCGCGTGCAAAAGCGGTGCAGCTCCTCTGATTGGTATTGTTGAGGGGCAGAGAGCTGAGTACGAAGAGCCTGGCTGACGGTGGGTGAGAGCCGTCTTGTTCAACCACTCGCTTTAATGCCTCGGTCACGGAGTCCCAGCCAGTAAATGGGTGACGTGCCACCTTAGGGTGCTTGCAGTGTTTTGGAAGATTTGCGTTATCTGCAATGCAATCCACCATGAGGGTCTGTATGTTGGGCAACGAGACAGGTTCAAATGGCAGGCTGGGATCGGAGGGCATGTTGCCCGGGAGAGGCGGTCCGTCCCCGAAAAGCTGCGAGCACATAAATTTTAGCTGAAGACGAACGTTCCTCATGCGCGGAAGAATGCGGCGCAGTGCATTGCAAAAGTGAGCACCGTCTGCATTGGGTGCAACATCGGAGGAGTTGGTATCAATTTCTAGATTGATACAGCTTTCAGGAAGCGCATCCACAAGAGATATTAACTGGTCCCGGGAGAGGGAGAACGAGGGCACCGGCTGACGTGTGACGCGGAATGCGAAAGTAGTCATTCTCGGCAGCTGGACGAGAGTGCTCAGCAGGCCAGGGAGCAATGTAGCCGGTGCATCTTCAATGGGAGCAATGCGGACGGTCAATGTTCGAACGAGTGAGCCGTGACTTGCGTTGAGTTTTCCGCAGAAAACACTGACATTCGAGTCGGACAGCACAACATTGCGGTAGAGCAGTGGGAGTCCTAATTGATACCATGACCGGCTGACGAGGATGCAGCTGAAGAGATTCGAAGAATTGACCTTGACTTGAGCAAGGATCTCAACTAAGATCTCGCCCGGGAGGCAGTCAATGCCAGCCATTTTGATATCCCAGGGATAGCAGTGGCTGCGTGAGAGAACGGGGGGAAGAGGGAGAGAAAGGTGGGAGTGAAGCTTTAACATATAGCATCCGAGGCTTACTCCTCGTTTCAAACGGCTAGTGTGTCAGGCTGGCTTCTTCATAGCTATAATATGTTCAAACTTCTCAGCTTGAGACACAGCTGTCTTTTTAATACAGGGACGCGGAAGCATGCTGCCCGGCGCCGAGAGCGCTGATTTGTGATCTTTTCCCTGATTCTCGACTCAATGTTCGGAAAGGGAGAGCGCCTGCCGAGTAAACTGTTGCAGTCATTTTGGGTATAGGATGACAAATGCCATTTTTACTTTCGGAATTGTGATAGCTTCAAGGGCCTTTTGCGCGACGAGAGTGACTTTTTGGGTTTTCGACGATCAATAATAATAAATGTTCCCCGCAAATCGATTTCCGCGCATGCAGGGAAACGCTAGCACCAAAATGGACTGGCGCAGGCGTGCTGCTGAGTCAGCTGGTCCATCTGATTAGATCGCATTCCCCGCGACTTCCAGACGTTGCAGCACAATCGCTTTCCAATCGGCAACACGGTCAGTGGGAGGTACACGGGCTGGCATACGATGATCACCCGGCTGCAGGTCTGACTTGAGGGCCTCGGCAGGCATTTTACTCTGCCCATATATATTCATCATGGCGACCTCGAAATCCGTCGTCGAGTTGCCGCGCTTTCTGTGCTCCTCACAGACCGGCTCCTCGCGCATCACCCCCTCAAACCTCTTTGGATCGGGTGTTTCGGCCAACCAAACACACAGGCGTCGGTCATTCCACGCCACTGATGTTCGCCAGCCCGTACAGCTCAGAGGTCTATCTACCTCGCTCTCCTCGTCCTCGGCGGCCCTCGTTCGCTGCTCCAACTTCGCCCCATATGCCCTCCGCTACTCCTCGCCCACTCCCGCTCCTACGGCCCGTCGCGAGACGGACGTCCCTTCTGTTCCTATTAGACATAATGGTGTATATGTCGCGGCATTCAACCCCGCTCGCCGTGCGTTCCATGCCTCCGCAGCAGCACAAAAAGATCACCGTTTCGATACGCTGAAGCTGGTTCAGCGCCTCAAGGGCGAAGGCTTCAGTGAAGAGCAGGCTGTTGCCTTGATGAGAGTGCTTAATGACGTTATTGAAGAATCCATACAGAATTTGACCAGGACGATGGTGCTGAGGGAAGGTCTGTGCTCTATTTTCCTCCTTGCCTTATGGCTTCTCCTCCGTGGGGGACTAGTCTTAGATGCAGCGAATAAGTCACTGTCTCTTCTTAATCCTAATTTTTGAACAGATGCCGAACGGTCTGCGTACACTCAAAAGGTTGACTTCGCCAAACTCCGCTCCGAGCTTCTAAATTCCGATTCGACAGAAGCACAGCTAACTCGATCCTCACATGATCGGATTGCCGGGGATTTGGCTAAACTAAACTCCCGACTGCGTGACGAGATCAACCGCACACAGGCGTCAGTCCGACTGGATCTCAACCTTGAGAAAGGAAGAATAAGGGAGGAAGCGAACGGGCAGGAGATGAGAATAAAAGAGACAGAGACGAGAATAGAGCAAGAGGTAGCCGGGTTAAGGGAGAGGGTGGAAGCTGTCAAGTTCTCAACTCTGCAATGGTTGATGTATGTTGCCCCAAGCACCCTTCCCCCCCTTCTTGCCTCGTTTCCGTCGCTCGAATTGTTATCAGAGCTGTCAAGCATGAGCAAACGTTTTGCTGACCACATTTTGTTTTTTGAACAGGGGTGTTTGCACTGGTACCGCAGCGCTAATACTAGGTGCTTGGCGCTTGTTGATGTAAGAATAAATGGATTGGCGTTGGGCTTTCTTTTTGCATGGAGATGGCGAAGACTTAGCCATCCTGCACTTCTTTGCACTCCAGGAGTTTCTTTTGTTTTAAGATTTGCATGTATGTACCCTCCATTTATCTACAGAGAAAGGAGATCATTGCCCCTCTCGTCAGCACGGAATTAATGGCCTCAAGAACGAGAAAGCATATATACACATCTGGCAGATATCCTGAAATAGCGATGATTAAATCTTGATCCCCGCTTTGAAATATATTTTTTATTGTTTATTTTTATTTTTATTTTTATTTTCTGTTTCTTTGCACATTAGATATATCCGTTTGGCACCAGATTTGAAAACAAATCCGGGTTCTGTTCCGTCAGCCGCTGGACCGCGTCGTCTGTGCGGGCGCGGATCATGACCTCCGATCCGTCGTGACGAAGCAATAGGTTGGGGCCATGGGTGAACCAAGAAATCGTATTTCCGGACTCTGGAGAATAGCGGGGGAATGGAAGTGGCGTGAACCTCTTTTCGAGTTCCGATCTACCACATTCTTCAAAGCTGATGTATGTTAGAGCGGTGGGGTCGAACATCGATTCGATCAGGATGATCTCGACCAGAGCTTCTGAGAAGGTGGCGGTCCACGGGAGCCATTGTTCGGCTTCCTCTTCAGATAGGCCCAGGCGAATGAAGACCGGTGGATCGGGGTTGGAGAAATGGCAGATCTTGATCCCCCAGATTGCAGCGTTTTGGTTTTCGGTGCGGAAGACTAGGACGCTGATGTCGTTGGTGGTGGTGTGTTGGTGGATGTATAGCTCCTCCGGGGCGAGGAACCTGTCGTGGTTGGAGGTGAGATCTGGTCGGTGGCCGAGTAGTTTGTATGCCTCCTTGAGGGCGGGCGGAAGTGTGAGCTTGAGTCGCTGCTCTCCGGCTGCTAAGCCTATTTCCGTAGAATTGGCGTCTGCTGGCGCCTGGGTATTGTTAAGAGTGCCCGTCGAAGCCCAGCTGCGGGTGAATTGGCGAATGAATGCCCATCGTGCAGGAGGACTGTCTTGGCAAGCGGCGAGGGCGGTTTGGAGGTCAAAATCGGTCGTCGGGGTCATCCTAAAATGTATATGTATTATTGTTGGTGGACAAAGAAACTATAATAATAGGTGACGATTTTGGTTCCATTTTTCCGGTTACATATTATCAAGATGAATAGTTACGCGCTAGTTAACTATAAAGCTACGGAGTCCGGAGTAGGATCATGCACCGAGGCTGCTTATCCGAATCGTACGTTTTCTCGTCCAGGGAGACCTAGGAGCAGTTAACTAAGTTAGCCAGCTCGCCTCGCGACGAAGCAAAGGCAATGCCACGGCGATATGAACAGGACTAGTTTTGACTGAGGAACAATAATGCTGAAGCAAAGTACGAACCACCCGGAAATGGCTACAATTTCAGCCATCAGCGGGTTGAATGGAATGCCGACCGGATGTGGAGTTTTACCCCCACGACCTTGCCACCCGCCCTTGTGATTGGTGCTTGGTCGGTGTCAAATTTGACTCCCGAATGTGTCTTTGCACCCGGGTAGTAATTGGCGTGGCAGGATTTTGCGATGCGTGGTGAAGGGGGCCACTTGTCCTGTAGCGACCATATCTCGACATCGGATGTGTGGTAGCTTGAAGAAACTATGCAGAGTAGTTACCCCGTACTCCGTACTACTAAAGGATTTGATGGGGGTAAAGTAATTCCGGTGCAATATTCTGTCTCAGTGAAAGGGCCGTTTTGCGTGCTCTTTATAGTCATAGACATAGACATAGACATAGACAGTGTCATAGAAGCGCTGCCAGACACTTTTTCAACTCGAGCAGTTTTGTTTTGTAAGCAGTCAGTGGTCCTGTGCTAATCCATTTTAGGTTAGTCTCCGGCGCCACAGAAGCATGCTTTTGAGCCACTCGGTGACTAACCCAATATAGACTAGCGGGCCACTTCGGCGGCCGTCAGCGACATCATCGGCCCGCCCAGGGGCTGGTGCTGCCGTTACTGTATCGATAAGCTCGCGGCTCAAAATGCGTCCTGTTTTGTCGTCTTCCTCTTGCTTTGATCTCTCTCTCACTACCAGCTTGGGGGGAGATATCAATCTGCCATGTCGACCTTCGCATATGAGCTGCATATCCCAGGTAACGCCGCTGTCTATCACTTTGTCCTTCCCAGTCCCTTTCTTTCGTTTTCTTTCCTTTGTTTCTTTCCTTTCTTTTTTTTCCCCCAATCCTAGTTGTCCCGGCTTCACTGACCCCAAGTTCTAGGCCCAGTTTCAGCTGACTTAGTCTCTCTCTGCACGAGGGATAGCAGCAGCATCACTGAGGATCGCCCTTCGAAGCGGCGCAAGATCCAAGGCGGCAATAGCCGTTTTAACGTTGACAATGCCGCGAAATACCTTCCTCAATACTTGGTAATGTGCCGCCTCTTCTTGAAGCTTGTAAGAATACGTCCCACCCCCGGGTGCTTGCGCCATCTGCTGACCCGTTGTTTCTAGAGATTCACCGAACAACCGGATGACAACGTAGAATATGGAACATCTACCCGGGTACCAGTGAATCTACGCCGCCGACGCTCGGGTGTCCACCGCTTGTTTTCCCTAGAGCTCCAAACCCGCGATACCGCCGTCAGTCTTGACGCTCATGACCTAGAGTCCGCTCCCCCTCTACTGAATTTAATTTTTACCATCCCATCGATCTATCGCATTTTCGACAAGGTGGCCACAGCATGCTACCAAGCCCTATTACACAGGGACCCTGCCGACAATCTATCCTTCCACCTCGAGGTCAAGGTTCTTTGGAATGACTCCCCGAACTTACCGGGAAGATGTTTCGGTGATGCCAAAGATGCCTTTGCGCAGTGTTTTCCAAGTGAGCACCCCCGGCCCACCGATAGCGAACTCTCAGAGGTAGGCCAATGGACGCCGAATGAGTTTTACTCAAGTGTCCATGTTCCGAAGAAGCAGGTCATCCTCTCCCTAGTCAAAGGATTTGAAGCTATAAAATCTCAGCTATTTCCGTTTCAAGAGAGAGCACTAGGCTGGCTCCTCGAAAGAGAGGGCGTTGAGGTCCTTCCGGACGGTACCCTGCGCCCGGTTGTCGAGGACGAAGGCTTGCCTCTATCTTTCGAGCGGACGACGGATGCCGAAGGTCGTCCATGTTTTGTCAGCCATGCGTTTTGCATCGCTATCTCCGACCTGTCGAAATGGCCCTACTCTACGCGGGTGAGGGGTGGAGTTCTTGCGGAAGAGATGGGTCTGGGTAAAACCGTCGAGCTGCTGAGCCTTATCTGTATTCACCGACGGCCCCAGTCAGCTATTTCGGCGCCTGACTCCGATTCGGAGCCTGTGGCCTCCGGCGCGACTTTAATCATCGCACCAGCGGCGATTCTAGAGCAGTGGAAGCAAGAAATTACCAAGCAAGCACCGAACCTTCGATTTATGCATTATCAGGGAATTCACCTGAGCAAGGTGTCTGATGATGTCATGGTTCAGCAGCTGGCATCTCATGATATCGTGCTCACCACATACGCTGTCCTCCAAAGAGAAGTCCATTTTGCACAAGACCCTCCCGATCGCCCCCTGCGCAATCAGCGAAGACTGCCAAGGCGCAAGTCCCCGATCGTTCAAATATCTTGGTGGAGGGTCTGTATTGACGAAGCCCAGATGGTGGAAACGGGCGCGAGTAACGCAGCGAGAGTTGCTCGTATCATTCCCCGTTGTAATGCGTGGGCCGTGACTGGCACGCCGCTACGGAAGGATATGAGGGATTTATTTGGCCTTCTGCTCTTCTTGCGCTATGAACCATTTTGCTCCTCACTGGAAACTTGGGTCCGGATCTGCGAGCTCTTCAAGCCTGTGTTCAAATCCTTAATAAACAAGTTCGTCATGCGCCACAGCAAAGACATGATACGGAATGAACTACATCTGCCCCATCAAAAACGTATTGTTATTACCATACCTTTCACTGCGGTTGAAGAGCAGCATTACGAACAGCTTTTCCAGCAGATGTGCGATGAATGTGGCCTCGACTCGAGCGGGGCACCCTTGGGAAACTGGGATCCCAATTCGCCTAGAACCGTTGAAAGGATGAGGTTTTGGCTAACCAGGCTGCGCCAGGCATGTCTTCATCCTGAAATAACGGCCACCAATGCTCGGCGTTTATTTGGAAGCGGACCTCTCCGCTCCGTTGCCGAAGTTCTGGAAGTTATGATTGACCAAAATGAGACGCAAATTCGCTCCGAGGAAAGAAGTCTTCTGCTCTCTCAGCTACGCAGAGGGCAGCTGCTTGAAAATGCAGAGCTTCCCCTGCAGTCCTTGGAACTTTGGATGAAAGCGTTGTCTGCCTCGCAAGAGATAGTTTCGGATTGTAGAAATCAGCTCGCTGTAATTCTGAAGGATGTGCAAGCCGAGAATTATGACATCCTAAGTATATCGGATGCCGGCTCTGACGACATAGGGGAGGCAGAAAAGAACCGAATTGGAACCTATCAGCAGCGGCTTCGGGGCGCACTAGAGATTGAGCACATGTGCAAATTTTTTATTGCCAGTGCGTACTATCAAATCAAAAGTGACCAAAAGCTTACGGAGCCCGATTCAGACGATTTCAAAAGGTTAGAAAGGCTTGAAGAAGAGAACTATCAGGCTGCGAAACTCATTCGAAGGGAGATGCTGGCCGAAACAAGTCGCAAGGTCAATAAACATATCAATGTCGTGAGGGTCAAGGCAAAGAAGAACGAACTTGTCCGGATTCCTCTCATGGCAACTGATTTTCGGCCTGGCGGTATAGAGAGCCAGCGTATCTTGGAACGGCTTGAGGACTTTTCCGAGGCTATGAATCAACATACAATCAAATTCAACAAATGGCGTGACCACATGGTCAAGCTCATTTTACGACCACTAGTCGACGAAGAAGACAGTACCAATCCTGAGGGAAACGAATATGAATCTTCAACAAAGGTCCAAGATGAAATGTATGTGTATATGGAAACGCTACGTGCCATGGTCGCAAATCATCATGATGCAATTACGGGTCAGACGAGTGCTTTGGTTAGCCACGAATTGAAGCAGGCCTTAGAAAAGGCGAAGACGGGCAATGGCCCTTCTCCTAATCTTTTCATTTCCTTAATGGAGGCCTGCGAGAAACTGAAGGTTCCCAGGGAGTTAGGCTCCCTGCGTGGCATCTTGAACGAGCTTCGAACATTGGTGACTTCGCTAGAATGGCAGGAGAGCGGAGGTAGCTCTCGGGCTCGCGCTGAACTTGGTATCGTCGAGGAACTCCACAAAACCGTCAGCAAACTGTTCTCTACGCATTCAAAAATCGCAAGTAAGCTGGAGAGGGAGATTCTTCTGTTTCAACGCGTGACGAATAGAAGGTTGGAATATTACCGGCATCTCCAGCAGATATCCGACACAGTCGCACCTTATGCTGAAGAATCTAAGGGGCAACCGTTAGATAAGGAACAATTTGATTCTAAGTTACGCGCTGAGGAGAAAATGAAGGCTAAGCTTTCAGGCTTAAAGGCGAAACGCCGGTATCTTGTCCACCTGCGAGAGGACGCTGGTGGGGAGGAAAGTTCAAGGATTTGCATCATTTGCCAATCCAGTTTCGAAATAGGCATGTATAACTTCCGACATTTGCATCTGTACCTTTTCCTCGGGAGGCAATTAGCTGATATTTCCCGCTCATAGGCGTCTTAACGGTGTGTGGTCACAAGTATTGTAAAGACTGTTTGGGTCTTTGGTGGCGTCAACACCGGTCATGTCCTGCGTGCAAAAGCCGTCTGCATGCCAATGAGCTACACCAAATCACCTACAAGCCTGCTGAGCTAGTAGCTCAAGAAGAAAAAGCCCCAGGGACTTTAGAGACACATCACTCAATGAAAAACGCAATCTACTCGGATATCAAGAGCGACGATCTGGAAGAAATTAAAGATATTGAGATCTCTGGCTCCTTTGGCACCAAAATTGACACCCTTGCCAGACATCTGATTTGGCTACGACACCACGACCCAGGCGCGAAGTCTATTGTGTTCTCTCAGTATAAATCGTTCCTGGGTATCTTGGCTAGTGCTTTTTCTCGGTTCAGGATCGAGTTTAGTAGCTTTGACAGCTACAATGGAATTGAGCGTTTCAAGCAAGACCCTTCGGTATGTTATGTGATGTCGGCCTTAATTAAGCGTGCGATGCCTGACGTGTCAGTAGATTGAATGTTTCCTTCTGCATGCCAAAGCGCATTCGTCCGGGCTAAATCTTGTCAACGCCACCCACGTTTTCCTTTGCGAGCCGTTAATCAATACAGCCATTGAACTTCAAGCCATTGCTCGAGTGCACCGTATCGGCCAACATCGCGAAACCACGGTTTGGATGTACCTTGTATCCGATTCAGTCGAGGAGTCCATCTACCAACTCTCAGTGTCTCGACGACTAGCTCATATAGCACAGAAGCGAAAAGAACTAGACAAGAGCGGAACAGGCTTCTTGGTTGCGAATGGAGATGACGGACTAGATCTCTCTAATCTGAACGAGAATGTAATCGACGCAGCCAACTCCCTTGAGATGCAAGATGCCGCCTTGGGGAAACTGCTCCGTGGGCGTGCAACCGAGGGTGAAAATGTTGATGATAATGATCTATGGCAATGTCTCTTTGGGAAGGTTAAAAAGAACGGCACCGGCACGGGGGGAGCCATTGAGCACATGCGGTTGGAAGTTGACCGGATGCTAAGAGCCGATGCTGCGGAGGGGAGGAGAGATGCTAACAATTAAGGAGCATCACCCTTTGCGACGTCCACCACAATGGCATTAGTGGAGCTCTCGAAGTACTCCATGCCCAGCTCACTCATAGAAGGCATCGGCTCGGTTTCTTATATATGTCCCATCTGCAAGGATGATCACACAAGATCGCCCTACACCCAACGGAAATTTCACCGAGTCTTGACACTGCCTTAGCCCCTCCGCTCCCCCCTTGATAAAAGAGGTTCAAATCTTGGAACTTATTTCCTTGTTTGGCCCCGGATAGCATTAATTCTTCGAGTCGAATTGGCTCGCGCTTCTCAACTTAAATGGGTTGCTTGTGTGCTAGAAAACTGGCTGATAATGTATTCTGCTATATACAATGCATTACATATGATTTATGATGGAGGAAACATGCAGGGTTGGGGTGCGGGGGCCGCCCGATTTGATATTGAAAAATCTGAGGCTCGTTGGTCATAATCGATTGATGTAAGTTAGACCGTTCAGCGACGAATCCAAACTACGGAGTGAATGTCTGCCAAGTTTTGGCGCGGCGGAAGGCGGCGGAGCGGAAAGCCAAGGGAGTCTAAGTCATCTGACCTAACCAAGAAGCGCCGGAACTCAACCTTACGAGCTTGCCCGGTTGACCGTTTGGTTTCATCTGCGACGTCATCTGTCATTAACGGAGGCAATTGAGAAAACGGTTCAGCCAAACTCTCCAGAACAGGTCTTGCCGTCGCGCTCCGTGGATTGCTGTACTCCCCTCGCTGCTTGGATTCCTTCTCTCTCTCTCTCTCTCTCTCTCTCTCTCTCTCTCTTTCCAGCATGCTTGGTCATATTAACCATGCGTTTCGCTTCCCATTTGTGTACGATACTCGTGAAGAATGGATATTATGTCTAATGCGCCGCTACCCAGGCACGACCCTCGTCAGGGGTCGGTAGAGCGTGGCCCGGACTATGGTGAGTGCCATTCTCTTTCGCACGGCCCCGATCCTGGCGAAACTGCGATGTATTCGTTTGAACTTCTGCAGACTAATTGCTGGTTAGCCACTTCCGCCGCCCACTATGTGACCAGGACCACGTATCGGCCGATAAGAGGGGAAAAGGAGGCACCAAGGAGAGCGGCAGGTTCAGAAGGTAATTGAGCACTCGCAACGCAATTGTGGCGGATTAACCAGGCTGATTCCATCAATTGGAAATAGCAGCTTCCCGAGAACAGACCGGAACGCGCCCGCGGGCTGTTAGCGGTTCAGAATATGCGGTTGCCCCTGAATTGGCATCGAAAGGCGCCGCGGCGAGTCTTCGTTATCCGGCGGAATTCCAAGAGGTGGATCCGACCACCGAGAGGCTCATCACCGCAGAAGAAGCTAAATTGAGCAGGGCCGGGTCCAAGGCGGCGTTGCGATCGGCTCGTGATCGTGCTAGGACGCTAGAATCCAGGGAGACGGCGCCGGAGGAACTGTTTGAAAGCGACCAGGGGGCGAGGATGGCTGCAACTGGAGCCATGGCTAGCACCCACAGAAGAACGGAGTCTGCAAGTTTCCAGGAAGGGTTCCCGGACTTGACGCATGCGATTTCAGCGGCGTCCATAAGCCACCGAACAGCTCAAGAAGAGGAGCGAGGCGGGATGGAGCCGTCGCGTCAGGTTGCATTCACCAGCGCGCCACCTCAAAGGGCGCAGGATGAAGCTGCCAAAAGGAATTCGCACGCAGCTGCTGTGATTATGGCGAAGCAAATGTACGCGGTAATGCCGCAGGCCCGGGATATGGCAACTTTTGAAACTTCGGGTTACCCTGGCCCAGTAGACCCGCTCTTAACGGGTTTAGACCCCAGCCGCCCTTCCGTGAATCTGATGTCGGAAGCAGAACGGAGAGTGGCTGCGCGTTTGGCCCAGATGGACGAGGAGCAGAAATCAGTGAAGGCGTACCATAGCGCTCGTGCGTCGCCCAGGCCTCGCTCTGTCAGCTCTGCAAGGAGACGACCGCAATCCGTCGCCGACATGGAGACAAGCAGCTTTACCAGGGGCCATGCACAGAGAACGGGATTCGCAAGGTACACACTTCGGGAAGAAGAGAACGGCGTTGCCAGCCCGGTGGAGGATGATGCGGTCATGGAAATGGCCCGGAAAAATGCCGACGATACGATCAGTGCCATCGATCGGGATTTGTATACGTACACCGGAAGGCCGTCTCCTGCTGTATTGCGCGAATGGGAACGCAGAGTGAACGAGCGTTCAATGGCCGTCACGGCGCCTCCAACGTCAACGTTTGTTCCAATGACTGGGTCGAAATTCGAGGATAACCCGCAGGTTCGAGCACTAGCTCGATCGAAATTACAGCCAAGACTTGATGAGATCGACGATAGGGTTAATGAAAAGAGAGCACGGGAGATTGAGAAACAGCTTGATGAAGCACAGCAAAAGCGATATGAGCAAATACAAAAGGAGAGAGATGTGGAGACATTGAAAGTTCACAGCCAATTGCTGAGTGAGTGACTTCCACTACGGATGCGAATAGATATAGTTATGCTGATGATCTTATAGAACTTGAGCAAAAGCAGGCAAAGAAAGACGCAAAATCGGCGAAAAAGAAGAAGAAGGACTCAAAGGGCAAAGGTCGAGATGAAGCGGAAGAGCATCCTCCCGAGCAAGGGAACCCTACGGAGGACGCAGGGTATGCCGGGCTAGACGGCGGCCCGGAGGATAAGAATGCCCCGCCCAAGTCTCTCATTGAGCGAGAGAGGAACGGAGAGTCATCAACAGCGGCCACTAAGCCCATTAGAAGAGAAGAGGCAGAACAACAGGCCTCGACGGACCCCGCACGGCAGCCGAATGGAACATCATCGGAAGCAGTGCCAGATACAGCAGGGCCGCAACAGGCCCGCCAAGCTGAGGAGCCTGCCCTGGGAGGTATTGTGAGCCAGTGGAGTACCTCAAACTATGGTGAGATGGCCCAAGCCGCCGAGCCGAAGCAACCAGTACAACCAGCGGCGGAACCGTCAAAGCAAAGCCCCAATCGATTCAGTTTGAAGAGCATATTCAGCCGCTCCGGTCCGCGAGATACGGGAAATCAGGGTTCATTTGAAGCCCCAAAACGCCAGATGGGTTCGACTGCAGGAGATGAGATCGGACATGAGCCCGAGGAGGCACCAGAGATTCAACCAAGTCAGCCAGGTCAACCAGCGGACGCAGAACCCCAGCCAGGAATTACTCATCGAAGCTCTAAATTCCAAGAGAATCTGTAACGCTATCACCTGTCTTTGCGAGCCACCAGGGACGTCTCTTTTCTTTTCTTTTCTTTTCTTTTCATATCGGTGTTGTTGTGCTGAGTACTTTTTTTGATGAGTCTTCATCAGCTCGCTACATACCTTGACATGATTTAATAAGATTGACCTACTTCATTTTCATATCCCAAATGGCTTTGTGCACTGTTCTGCCAGATTTTGTATGCTGGATCATTCCCTAGCTCTTCAGGAAGTTGAGACTCACTTGGTATTGCGGCTATGGGAACGTGATGGTTTACCCGTCCTTTTCAAGCAAATTTCTCAGCCAGAGATGCTAATATCCTAATAATCTTATTCCCCGTAGCTTTTGTTCAATAAGGACATGACTTTTCGGTATTTGATCTGTCTTTTTGGAGCGATTCCATGATGGTCAAATCGACTTCGACTGTTCCTCTGTATGGAGGACGGTTAGATAGCCTGTTATATCGTGTCCCTCTCCAAGGTTGCCTAGCAGTACGTATTATACAGGGATGCCGGTGGAGCTACACAATATTGATGACGTTGAGGAAAAATTAACCCTAACCCTATACTCCGTACCCCCTAGACCAATCGCCCAGGTGGTAAAGTCAATATCCCTAACACAAATTCCATCGTGGTTAACTAGTTAAATGATTCTTGGCTCCAAGCATTGTGAGAAATACCAAGTATCATAATTCTGTTGTACGAATTCAACTTTTGAGTTATTGATCATTTTGATGATGACCAACGAGAATAGAGGTAATTTTAGGCGCGGCCTGGCCTAGCGAGCTTTTGAAGCTGACAACATTTGCTGGTGTTCCCAGCCTGTATTGTAACGGCCGGGCATTCATCTTCCATTTTCCTGCTTCCCATTTCTCAGTAATATCACGCGTGCATCCGAGTCCAGGGATTATTCCAATGTTGGTTGGCCATAGGAGCATGGATAAGAGTTTCAACAGATTATTGGAAGGTTAGCCAAACCAACCTATGTACGCACGGATAGGGAGAAGATGATCATTTCGGCAGATTAATCACTATGTTCATGAAGAGACAATATGACTACAACCCAGAAAGGAGAATCCAGATAAACAGACCAAGAAAACCATTCCAAGTCATATCAAGTAAGGCATTTTATCGAAAGAAGCTCGGGATCTAAAACGAGGCAATGATGGCAAAACATGGGATATAAAAGGGCTGAAGAAGGGGGGAGAGACTAGGTCTAATATATAATCATCAATAAATCAGAAACGAAAAAGAGAACACAATCCCCAGACAGAATAAACATAAGATGTTCTGGATATAAAGCATTCTCGTCCCAAAGTCGATATCCTAAGAAGTGTATAGGTGAATAAAACGGGAGCACACGAAAGCAAAAGGTAGAAAAGAAAATCAAGATGCACTACAAGTGATGCTGAGATTTGAGAGAAAACCGTAGGTAGAAAACACCCATGTCCCACCAGAGAGTACCCAAAACAAAAGGTTAGAAAACAACAAAACACCAGAGGGAATAAGACTAAATACAGAACAACAGGCATACTACTCATAGTCAAAAGACCCTGGTCATGTATCGTACATAGATCAGGTTTGTTTAGGACTCAAAGACTCGGTCCCTCGCTCCTCCTGCACAACATCCGGCTTTTCGGCGCTCTCAAAGCGCTCAAGGGCCGCATTACTGCCCGTAGAGCCGGGCTTGTTGTGCTCGCGAAGAGAAGATGACCGTGGAGGCCGTATGGGTTCGGAATCGGACTGCGCACCAGAGGGGTGGAAAGGAGGATACTGCGATGGCTCTTCAATTTCGGCCGCAGGGAGGAGCTGCGGCTCTGGCGACTTTGTGCTGCGGTCAACGGGGCTCAACGCCGATGGATTATTGGTGAGAGCATCTGTACTTGAAGCGACGATGGGTTGGGAAGCCAGTATATCGAGAGATGTCCGTCCTTGGATAAAAGTCGGGCTCTTCTCATCGACAGGGCTAAAGCCTTCGACCTCCTCAACTTCTTCATCTTCAAAATTATGACCCTCGAATAACTCTTCTTCCTCTTCAATGATTTGGCTTTTTCGAGGACCTACCGCAGGTGCCTCGGCGGAAGGCGCATCAAAGAGTGCTTCTCTCCTCCGTGGCAGGAGAGGAGTTCCTGCACCACCTGATGCCATGAGGTTAGCAGTATTAAGTGTTGGCCCTT